ATTAACCGATATATAACGAGCAAACTGGAATCATTTTGGCTTCGGCGGTCGGGCTGACGAACGCGGTTGCTGTTGTTCTATCTCTTTCTATCGCACTTGTATTTATTGCTGTCTCCCTCTTTAGGAGAAAGGCGCCAATGCTCTGCTCAGGCGCCGATTTCTTCCTCCGGGATGGGATTCCACAAAACAAAAGCTCCATTGAAACAAGTTCTGATGGTAAAGATGCCTCAGGTGGTTGTTAAGAATGATGATTCCAAAATACATCCAATTACGAACCCTTTGAGTAAAGATGAAAAGTAGTGTTCTATAAAATACGATAAATGTATAATTATAATGTTTCAGAGAAACGAATAGAAGTGATTGCTATGTGAATATTTATAACATTAAACACAATACAAAAAAAGTCTCTCTTTTCTAGAAATATCTTGAATAATATAAAAATCAATTTAATAGAAATATGTGAGCTATGTTTTTAATAAAACTTATATTTTTTATTGTGTTTGTAATAAAAAATACAAAGATATATACATAATCATATATATTATAACTATTAAAAATCACAAAATAATGCATTTCACATTTCAAAGTAATTTTAGGAGCTTACATTCTAGTCTACAAACGATTTAAATATCACAACGGGAACGTGGTATTTTAAATGCCCAAGAATATGATAAGTTTAATACATAAAGAAAACATTTATATGAAATTGATTGAGTATATCTCTAATTCTTAATCTATGTAATATCTTCTTCTTCCTGGCAATTTCCCAGCTTTAGCCAGGGTCTGCCTAATGTAATATATAAAAATGAATCCCTTTTTCCCTTGGTCACGGTATCACGTGTGAATGGCTGTATCGGTTTCACAATTTTTTTTTGTTGTATTTATTATTATTAGGAGAAGGATATAAAGTAAGAAAAAATTACGAAAATTACTAGAAAAAAAAACTACTACAATATTTCACTTTTTATGTGTATAAAATAATGTGTCACTGGCAGTAATATTCACGTAATTGACATTAAACCAAAGAAAAAATTAAAACAAATTTACATGCCCTTTGCAAATATATCAGTCGGAGTTAGTCTGTGGCCGGAGTTGACATGTCTGTCGGGTCAGCTATATACTCGTACTTAATAAAGAAATTAACTCCATTCAGATAAAAAGGTAACAGATATTTTTTGATTATAGGGCGGCACAAAGTTCGCCGGGTCAGCTAGTATAATTATACAAATATTTCGTCAGGCACTGTCTCGTGAGTTACCGTTAATACACATTTCTCTCTTTTTTCTTCTTCTCTAAGTTTCTACATAATATGTAATTAGAAATATTTTTCCAATTCTATCATTAAAAATATTCCAGCATTTCTGTGGAACCGAAACCCAAAACTAAGAGGATTCTTTTGTTGTCTGCATCTCTCTAAAATTTGTTTCTTCAGAACTTGAGACGAAAATAATATCAAATATGACGCTAACTGCGTGCAACTTATAAGCCGTCATAATTTTAGTTTAAAACAGTAACTGTCCTTTTGTTTTGTATGTTAGTCAGACATTCCAATCTTCATTTGTATCGAATTTAAGACAAAATTGGGGAAATAATGCAAAAGCAGATTTTTTTTGTATCACAATTGTAATTTTGGAGTTGCGAAAGTTATTCGCTTTGGACTAAAGAACCTTTAGCTTCTGCCACTGTGGAATTTATCAATTCGTTAAACGAATGTTCAACAGTTTCATTACTTTTTAATAATGTATCAACAGTATTATACAGGGTGACTGGTGAATTACTATCGATATTTGAGGACGTGATATTGACGATCATATATGACAAAATAAAAATTAATTTAACATAAATATTAATAAACTTCTAAGTAAAGTTAACCAAAAGTTATGTAATTAATTACGCATCGTGTGAACACCCTACAGATTAGGTATACACACACACACACACACACACACACACACAGACGCGTGAAGCGGCGTGGTGTTGTATCAGCACGCTGCCGCACGCGTCCACACTTGGAACACTTGGAACGTGTCCACACTTTATTTATTTATACGGAAATTTGGTCATAAATTAAGTACCTATTTTTTTACATAATTCGAATGAGAATCATGTACCGAGTATTCTCCTTAAATATTGATAGTAATTTACCAGTCACCCTGTATATACAATTAAGCTCTACTTCATCAGTTTTATGTTACTGAACCGCTGAGTTTCTTTTAGTATAATTTGGTTTCGTGAAAAGAAATAAGGTTCATTTATTTCAAATATAACAATATAACTTCTACAGAAACCAAATTATGAGATAAATTAAAATAAAAACAACAGTTCCTTCAGTCGGTACCCCAACCTGTCATTTTCAATATTCCTTAGAATGCTATCAAGCGTTCGTATAATCAGATGGCCGCAGAAATCATAGCAAAAACAACTCCATATATTGACAACCATCAGTCAAAGAGTTGTAATTACCAACATTATGTCTGCCTGCACGTATGCCGTTAAATAAATTATTCCTTTTAAGGTCTGATTGCAAGGGAATATCATGTATTTATTGCTTTCTTACGGATCTCCGTACATTAACTCTCGTAATCTAAAATGTTTTTGTACTCAGCAAGAACAAAATATACAATTGCGGCATTCACACATCTCCGCGATGTCCGGCCCTGAAGATTAGAATCTCCAAAAACTCGTTAAAATATCTATGCTCTTAATTATTAAGAATAAATTAGAAAGCTAGTGCTATAACAATTATCCTCCTACAGCTATAAAACATGAATAACAATAAACTTTATTAAGAAGTGTGAACTAGTGTGGACCTGAAACATTGAATTTTATCCATATAGCTAGTTTATTTCATTGGTCTATCACAATAAAGCAATAATACGAGTTGAATGTCTGAATTAATATGCTTCAAACTATTATTCTAGATGTTATAATTTTTTATAAGAATAAATTCAAACACAGATAGCATTCCGTTTTGTATTTTATAGATTCTTAATAACTGGGTACGTCTCGTTTGGACGTCCATCAACGACATTCCAGTATAGAAGTTATGCGGACGAGCGTGGCTTACAAACTTTAAATTCAGAAACCCGTTGCACGTTTAATGATTATTGTATTATTAATGGTGTCTACATTCCAAGTTTTGTTCATTTATAATTTCATATTCATAACTTATAAGTTCTGTGAATAAAAACGTTTAGAAATCATATTTTTAACGAACTGTGAAAAGAATTAGTTATTTCTTACTAAGTATAATGACTCGATTTAAGCAATGTAACTAAAACAAATATCAAGTACTGAAATAAAATATCTCGCTATTAAGCATATACAGTGAAATGGTTATTTAAAAAAATTAATTGACTCGCAAGTCACCGAGAGCAAATGTACATTTTTATCCTTCTTACTTAGTAATGTCAATTTAACTTTTTTAAATGTATGACAAGCACAACCTTTAATCGTCAGCGCTTTCAATGCATCAATACTTAGTTTTATAATGTAAATTGCAAATAAACTACTATCACTGTATGTAAGGTGACGATACGAACTTCTTGTAAGCGCACTGGAAACAAAGTGTTAAAATATTAAAGATATTTTTTTTGCCTGTTAATATTTTAGATCGTATGAGATTATTTATAATTATACTCTAAAGATATAACTGTTTACTTTACTAAATTTTTTCCTAATACTATAAAGTTTTTTTTAATTTTCTTGAAATATTTTGAAGTCACTTATTTTTCATAAGTCAAAACAAAGTGGAAAGTTGTAAACTGTATTCGAAAGGTAGAATAATCGCAACTTCAAATGAAAAGTATTAAGAAACTTCAAGTATCTTATTTTCAGAATTTCAATATAAAACTACTAGTTATTGTATTTCAGCATCTCATAACAATAAGCTAGAGTATTACTATAGAAATAGAACCTTTATTTTGGGTAGATTGTATTTTTACTGTAACATTTTCCCAGATTGTGTTGATATAATGGCGGCTATGGAAAGCAAAAATAAAAAAGGTAACAATCATTGAAATTAAAACTACAATGTTGTCATTTAATAATTTATTTTAATTATTTGCGACTGGGTATTGAATGTATCTCACTATTACTGGTACATTTGATAGTTAATACTATTAACAAAGAAACTTATTACGGACACACATATTTTTTTTGTATTTTTTTTCTATCTTCTGACAGACATTGCATTAATTTAACATCCAAGTACCAGAATACAACCAACATCAATGTTTTACGATATATATCACATACAATTTACTATAAAGTAATTTAGTACATTATCTTGGGGTCTCTGCGAAGTTTCTAGAAAGAAGCCGATTTAAAATCAGATAAAAAAGTACAGATCATTTAAAAAGTAAATATTAATTAATGAGTAAAATTTTATTTTTTTGCTTGAAAATTTTCTATGATTTAATTTAATCATTGTTGAATACATTTTTGAACGAACAAAATTATGTTCAAAATGAAGAGTACTAGAATCATTGCAATTCTTTTATCTGATGATGACAGTTTTCAATGAATTTTTTAAAAGCACATCACATAATTCAACAAATAAAGATGGAATTGTGATTACAACCAACGTTTCGTATAGAGAAAATAAAAAAAAAACTAACATTTCAACAACTGTCAAAGTCAAATTCAACGAACGATGAATTATGATTGAATATGAAAAGTCATATTATAAAAAGAATATACAGAGATTAAGTTAGTATACGACGCGTTCGCTTTTTGCACTAATTTATGACAAGGTACTTGGTTAGTTGTAGTATACTTAAGTGAGAACAGAGAATCTAAAGATAGTGACATACATACAAACTTACATGTAACAAAAACTATATTAAAATAAGACTCAATAGGAACACTCAGTTACAGAGAGTCGGGTGAGCAACTATATAAAATTGTGCCGCCGTTAAATTCAGTACAAAAAGAGAACGACTCATTATGGACATTAAAAATAAATTAGACTAAATAAATTAAGGTATCCCATTTCACTATTATAATTCGGAATGTTCTACTGTATCATCACCATCAGCATCACCTATTTGTGGCACTTCTGCATCACTTTCCTTATCTTTCTCATCATTATTAACTTCGGAATTTTCATTTACCTCCTTTTCTTCCGGTTCAACGACCGTTTCGGTTTTGTTTTCCTCTTTCTTGATAGGTTTCTTCGGCTTCCATATTTTCATTTTATTCAACAGATATTTAACTTCTCTGTCGAGACTCGCCATTTTCTCCCTTATACTGTCCACCGATAGCTTCACGTCTTCGTTCTTCTTCATAGCCTTTTGCTCTTCTATTGATTTCTGGAGCCAAGTTTCAGTTTCCTCTATTTTCTTTTCGAGCACCGTGATTTCTACCTCGGTGAAGACATCTCTCTCCGAATTGGATTCTTTGGTGAAGTTCTTGGACATTTTAAGGAAGTCTTTGGAACTGTTCAGTAAGTTCCTGATAGCGGCTATTGCGTCAGGTCGTTCCCTGTGCTCCCAATGTTTATAGAAGATAGGATTTGCTTTTTCCTTTAGTTTATTCAGTTTTCCTTCGTACATTTCTGTTTCAGCGTCGTATCCATCATCGTAAAGCCAGTCCGATGTTTCTGAACACATTTTCCTGATCTCTTCTATTTCTTCCTCTGTGCCACACTCGGCGTATTCGTCCATACCTATCTTTAACTGAACATCAACAACGAAAGCCTCCAAATTATTCAAGGCCGTCTCTCTCTCGATGCGTTTCTTGTCAACATTGTCCAATATCGTGATCTTGGTCTTTGAGTTTTTGAATTGCTCGGGAGTCATTGGTAGTTGATTGAGTATTTGTTCCTCAGATTTAATAGGTTCTTTCATAACAACTATTTTCGGTTTCGGCTTGCTGTCAGTTTCTGTGGCATTCTGTTTGTCCGTGGATGTCTCATTCACTTTGGCGCTTTCCTTATTTTCTGTTTCCGGTGCTTTTTCTTCCGGTTTATCCTCAACTTTCTCTGGTAATTCCGAGTCAGATCCGAACAGTTTACTTATAGTGCTGCCTATTTTGGATAGAGTGCTATCTTTGTCCTCTTCTTCTGTGACAGTTTTTTCAGCGACAAATTCCACGTTAACTAGATTAAGTATACCAGAATCGTCTAAATTGAAATGCGCTTTAATGCCTTTATGTTCCACATTATCTCCTGAATTCTTCGTGAGCGCCTCACTGACCCCGGTAAGGACAACATGACTCAAGTTGAGAGAGCCAATATTCTTCAATTCATTTGACGGTATATGATCTAATTCAGCGTAGTTGACATTAAAGGAAAAGTCTTCTGTGTGCTTGTTGAATGTAATAACCTTCTTCTGTGGGTAGGAGTTCATGGGCCCAAACAAAGTCCTCTTTATCTGCAACATAATAAACATTTATCATATCAAATATATATCTATGAACTCATAGAAAAAGTTAAAAATTATGTTAAAATAACGACCATTAGAAGAAAGACAAGAGGATGGTAAGGAAAGTGAGAAGAAATACTTGATTTAAATTTATCTTACCTCATCCTGTAAAAATTAAAGATATTTTTTAATAATTAACTATGTAAATTAATTGAATATATTTTGTAAGTCTTATAATGTTCGAAGTTTATATAGGATATTTTTATGGATTAAAAATTTCATACCAGTTTATCATTGCCGTCAACATGTCTATTGAATACCACTTGAATTGGCAACACCACTGCATCTCTGACATTCAAACTTGCCACTTTGTAGCCGGTTGCTAAAGACGCCGCTCTAAAACAATGTATTGTTTTGTTAATAATTTACTGTATTCGGTATTTTAGTTAAAATTATTATTAAAAATACATTTTATGTTGATTTAAGATATTTCAGTAATAACCAGTTAATATGCTGATAAAAAAAAAAGTTTATAGATTTTTTTGGTTAAAAGTACAGCATAATATTTTTTACTTATAAGAACATTACAATCACATCATTTAATCAATTTCTTGTATACAAGCCAGTAATAATTGAAATAATTTATTTCGTCAAAGATAAATTTGCAGCATATGTAAAATAAAGATCCATAATATATACAAACTTAAAGAATTCAACTTTTTAAACATATGATTGAATTTATTTATAGACATATATTAAAAATAGTTTTTGTTATACATATTAGTTTTCATCTAGGTTTGCATGTTTTATTTTTAATGAATAATTAATGTATACTTTATATTAACCAACTAATTTCATATTACAATCATTTAGTAAAGTATTTCAGTACAAATCTCATGTAATGAAAGGACAAGACAAGTCTCTATTAATATCAGCTGATCATGTTTGTTTACAAGATTGTTAGATTCTATTGAAATTAACTATAGATTATATTTAATGTTATCACTACATCTAACAGATAAGTACCATAGAATGACATCAAGCACATTCATACTTTATACACCTTAAAAAACTTTAGCATTAATCCTACTAATATAATTGCGAAAGTTTGTGAGTGTGTGTATGTTTGTTACTTCTTCACGCTCAAACGTCTGAACCGATTTTGATGAAATTTTGTATACAGGAAGCTGACGTCCAGGAACACATAGGCTACTTTAAATCCCGGAAATCCACGGGTAATACCGCAGGGCGCAGCTAGTATTATTATATTGTTAACGAACAAAAACTACCCCATCCCCCGCCGCCGGTTGCTCTCACCATAGACAATTGAGACTATAAGAATGGCTGCAAATCGACGAGAGCTCATTCTATTAGTTGTCATTAGTTGCATTAAGATCTACTTCAAAATGTATAAGTGAAAAGTGTCAAAGTTCTAAATTATTCTAAGTGATAAAAAGTGGCAATAATTTGTTAAAACTAGAAATTTATTAGTTTGTTAAAATCAGAAGTGGGATTCGAAGGCGTAATCTACCCTCCTGGTCAATAATAAAAATAAAATTACGTATACCCACTTTAAAATAATAATTATGTTTGCAGAACCAAATCGGGGACAACAACGGCGTAGGGCTGAAAGTCCTACTCAGTCCAACGTCATAAGCCAACAGTTGGAAACGATCCTGAACCGTCTGACGGCATTGGAGCAACAGACGACATCAGTGGAGCGCCGACCAACGTCGCTGCGAGCTTCAACACTGGAGACAAGCTCTGAGACCGGGGACGTGCGGCGCGATCTGTGTGAGGTACCCGCACCTACCGAGAGACCCCTACCGTCTCCGGGTTCCACGGCAGCCACTACAGAAGTTGCTGAGAAGTTTTTAGAGGCGATAACCTCCTTAACCGCGGTGAGACCAACCCAGTACTATGTTTCTAACTTTGACCCTAATGTGAATGACGTGTTATCGTGGTGTGACGAAGTGGAACAGGCGCGCTTACGTAATAAATGGGACGATGTAGAATGTTTGGCGCGTATAGCCCACTGTCTTAAGGGTGATGCTCATGTTTTACTCTCTGAATGACCCAGCAACGACAGATCCTGGTCTAATTTCAAAAAAGAACTAATATTGTTAAGCCCGACACATATAGACTTAGCTAATATTCTATTTGAGGTCATGTGTACTAATAGTAATGATTATTCAACTTATGCTGAGTACGCTTCAAGGACATGATTACAATTAAAGATAGTCAGAGGTTTAAGTGATAAAATTACTGGTTGCAATAGTGTCATGCGGACCCTCAAATTCGTGCTACAGCTGTTAATTCGAAATTACAATCTTACAATCTATTACATTTTATTAGTTTATATAAAATCAGATCTCCTTTTAAAAAAAAAAACGGTTCAACGAAATTACAATGTTAAAAAGCGGTCCTCAAATGATATTAAATGCTATGTGTGTAATAGAAGGGGACACGTGAGTGCATCATGCAGTTATACATAGAAGGCCTAAAACTGACATTAATAAAAGTAAACAACAAAACTTGTTCAACACTCAAGGTCAAATTAGTTTCAATTTAAATCCCTAGTTTGTAATTTTGTAAGAAAGTCTGTCATAATGAATCAAACTGTTTTGCTAAAGAACGATCAAACAAGGGTAACGTAAATTTTTGTCGAGAAGTCGTATCCGATATTAAAAATAGTGACGTAATTACGGCGATTCTAGGTGGCATCCCTACAGATGTATTAATACACAGGTACATATATCTCGTTAATAAGTTCTGATTTAGCTAAGCATTTTTTTTCGTGTAAAAATCTCATTAGGCTTATGCTAGTCCGGTTTGTAATGGTCAGGTGAGGCCAAGCGAGAATAAGATAAAAGCGTTAGTTCAATCACCTCAGCTACAGGACGTCGAAGAGGTTAGACAAATTTTAGGCTTATCGGGCTATTTCTGTAGATTCATACTCTTATAAAACAATCTCAAAGAGCAGGAAAAGTTGGATAGTTGAATGAAGGGACCGTACCGCATCACCAAAGCACTAGCAAATAACCGCTATGAGCTCTCTCATGGCAAGGTAACACAAGCGGCCCCTGAGTATGTAGTTCCTTGGAATGGTGAGTAGACTCACGACGCTTGCTTAGCATTCTTTGAAAGTAAGTTTAATAATTCTTAAACTTTACCTAAAAGATTATCGTGTTTTAATACATTTTTAAGAGATAATAATTATTAGTGGAGAGAATTTGATGTTCTTATGTGTACTTTGTGTTATAAGTTTGCCAAGAACAGACCTATGTTAGTCTCAATAATATGTACATGTTGAGCGTTGGGGTGACTTGGTAAAGTTCTGTTTAAATACAGAGATGGGTACAGGGTGACTGAGAAAAGACTCTTGTAAGACTCTAAATGAGCCGAGGGGTGACTCGGAAAAGACTTGTATAAAGCCCATAGTTACATTGTCGGAAAAGACCTGTGTTAGACTCTTGAGCGTCGGGGTGACCGCAATATCATTGTCGGAAAAGACCTGTGTTAGACTCTTGAGCGTCGGGGTGACCGCAGTTCCATTGTCGGAAAAGACCTGTGTTAGACTCTTGAGCGTCGGGGTGACCGCAATATCATTGTCGGAAAAGACCTGTGTTAGACTCTCGAGCGTCGGGGTGACCGCAGTTCCATTGTCGGAAAAGACCTGTGTTAGACTCTTGAGCGTCGGGGTGACCGCAATATCTTTGTCGGAAAAGACCTGTGTTAGACTCTCGAGCGTCAGGGTGACCGCAACTTATTTATAGGCACATAACGAGCATCAATAACTCTCTTGAACTAAAGTTACTCATACTTTACCGTAGCTTTATAAGAAAATACCGACTGATTAAGATCTTAGTTTTAAAAGTTTCGTATGTGTGAATTTCAGGCTGTGAAACCGATTGCAACGATGAACAAACTACAGCGGGGCAGAGTAGCCGCGAGGACGCTGCCTCGTCAGGAGAGGCCGTGTTAACGAACAAAAACTACCCCATCCCCCGCCGCCGGTTGCTCTCACCATAGACAATTGAGACTATAAGAATGGCTGCAAATCGACGAGAGCTCATTCTATTAGTTGTCATTAGTTGCATTAAGATCTACTTCAAAATGTATAAGTGAAAAGTGTCAAAGTTCTAAATTATTCTAAGTGATAAAAAGTGGCAATAATTTGTTAAAACTAGAAATTTATTAGTTTGTTAAAAATATTTTACATACCTGTATACGGCTCCCATAGTAGCTGCTTCATCAGCATTAATAGATCTTGATGGTTCTAGACCAACTTCTCTCAAAGCGTTCTGTACAGCGGGTACACGTGATGCGCCACCGGCCACAACTAGCCGGCCTACTGACCATCCTGACACCGCTCGTTGGATAACACCGGAGACACGTGGCCATAGATCAGAACATAGGGCTTCGAATTCAGATCGGGTCACCTGGTATATGGTATAATTATGAGATATTTGTCTAGTTTGTATTAAATACTATTCACTAAATCACTTGACTATTTTATATCAGACTAGCTTTCCGCCCGCGTGGTGTTCGGTTATATCGCGTTTCCATGAGAACCTTTCAAAAGTCTGGGATAAAAACTATTCTATGTTCTTTCTCAAGGTCAACTCTATCTCTGTACCAAATTTCATTAAAATCAGTTCAGTGATTTAGGCGTGAAAGCGTAACAAACAGACAGACAGAGTTACTTTCGCATTTATAATATTAGCAGGGATTCATAATGATGTAATTTTTATCATCATCAGCCTAGTAGAGCCCACTGCTGAGCAGAGGCCTCTTCTCACATGAGAAGATTTGAGAATTAATCAACACACTTGCTCAAGAGAGGTTGGTGATTTCAAACTTATAATTTGAAATTATAAGTCCAGGTTTCCTCACAATGTTTTCCTTCACCGTCTGTCAGTGGCGTCAAAACCGGCTCAGAAAGTACATATGACTTTTAAAAATCACATTGATACTTGCCAGGATCGAACCCGCGCCTTGATTCATGAGAGGCGAGGTCTTAACCACTAGGTCACCACAAGTATGGTATACTTTTGAGCTAAGATATTTGTCCAGTTTTTGAAATATTGTTCGTTAAATCATCTGGCTATTTTATATAAGAGTGATAATGGTGTAATTTTGAGGTATGAAATTTGTCTAGTTTGTATTAAATACTGTCACATGGTGATGATGTATGTAGAGTAAGCGATCACTTACGTGTTCTGTATTGGATTGTTTAATTTCTTAAATCTAATTACACACTTAATACAATGATATTCATTTATTTACCAAATGCTTGAAGTCCTTATCGTCTAGCAGGCTTTCTATCTGTGCGTAATGTTCGTTGTTAGCTGATAATACTATCTTGAGTCTCTCAGCCTCTCGGAGCAGTTTCTCCATAGCACGAGGAGAGGCTCTGACATCACCTCCACCCGATGATTCCCAAGCTTTGATGAGATGCTCACGAAGACGTAAGGTCATTTCCAAACCACCGAGGGTCCTGTGAATAAATTGTTAAAAAAATATAGTTAATGTTTTTAAAACGATAGTAATTTTAGAGAAAATCTAAACTAATATTATAAAGAGGTAATATTTTTTTGTATGTTTGTTACGAATAGGCTCAAAAACTACTGGATCGATTTTAAAAATTCTTTCACCATTATGATTGTACATCTTTCCAAAGTAACATAGGCTATATTTTATTTTGAAAAAATTAGGGATCCTTGCGAAAACTTCGATGACATAAACCACAGTCGATAAAAATCACTATTGAAATACCTTAAATCGCGTGCGCTGCAATAACTATTGACGATGGAGCAAAATAATGTACTACGATTTTGTTGACCGCATTATTATCTACATAAAAGTCCGCGGTAGTGTATATCTAAGTATTATAGTTACGCCAATATAAAAACTTTTATAGTTTAACAAACTATTTAAATCGGCAACGAAAATAAGATGTCGATATTCATACCATGGTATTTATTCTTATCTAAATAACTTACTTTTTATTTAACAGTAGTTCAATACCTTTATATTGCTGTTCAAATTATTTTAATCGGATACTCCATTCTAAAGATATAGCGAGTTTAAAAATTTGGGTAACTTAACAATTAACTAAGCGTTTCGCTGCATCGCGTCGCGATGTTGATTGTGCGTAGCTGAACTGCGCATGTGCGTGCAATGTCTATTTATGTCTTTAGCCAGGGTCTGCCTTACATGTTGTGAACAGTTTTGGCTAATTGTTTTTACAACCAGCCGCCTGCCTGACATCAACCCTCTTTGAGAATAGATAACCATTCCAAGTAAATGTTATAATTATACCTTATAGTAATTGACTAACCTATAATATAATCAAATTAATTTAACGTCTTAAAATGTAAGCAAAAATACGACTGAATCAATATTACCGATTTGTCCTCAATTTTAATGGAACTTATTTATTTTAGAATCGAACGGAGAAAAGTGTTCAAGTTAAAAAAATACCAATTTAAAAGTAGATCGTGAAAATAATATTAGTTTTAAAATTATATTTTAAAATAAAACTTCATTTTATCATAATTCTATACTTATATTTATATTATATTGTTAATTGTTAGGACGCGTGTTTGTTTTTATTATAAAAGAAAGTCGTGTTAGTTACTCCACTTATAACTCAAGAACGGCTGAACCGATTTAGCTGAAAATTGGCAAGGAGGTAGTTTAGAGAGGGGGGGGGGGGTAGTTTCTATCCCGTTCGACAGCATTCCCGTGGAACTTGACATGAAACGTCAGTCATTATAAAACGTGGAATAACGAAACACAATTGACAGAGCCTATGCAATTGACGTATAATGACAGATATGTAATGACGTAATGATGACAATTTGATCTACTATATCAAATTAAGTCCGGTTTTCCATCCTGACGCTTCAACTTGGAAAGGTCTCGGGCTCCGTGAGGTTTATAACAAAAAATTTCAACAGAAAAGCGGGAAAATCTTTTGTCACATACAGCGCCATCATACATAACATGTACTACAAATCAATATTTTAAGTAGATGGCACCGGTGCATGATACATTGTTTGACAGCTACTCATTGTTCTTTAAACGGGTATTGTGTTTGTAGTTTGAACTCTTAAAACCATTTAGTATTTGCGGGATAAATTTAGAAAATCATTGTTTTTCACAAGGCGTTATATTTTGCGTGTTCACGAGTTTGGAAACCATCCGCTTTATTTGTGTTAAAGTTATACCAAAAACCCAAAAAATGTGGTTTACAAGGACCACTTCAATGAAACAGAAAATTTGCGGACACGTATAACGCTTCGATTCGGTATCTACTTTGGATTCACTTCCATTTACTTAGAGAAGTTCAACTAAATAACACTTCATTTTTGTAATCGAAATGAATTCATTACTGTTGTGAAATGAAATAAAAATTTGTCTTTTCAAATATAAAACAAAAAAAAATCTTCATCTTTTAATCACCAAACGAAATGTTATATAAAATCCTTCTGGTGGCGAAACGGAGTTCGCCGGGTTTACTAGTTTAATATATATACAGCTTAAAAGCAAATTGCATGAATATATTTTTTTGGTATTAAGGCCTTATTCTTGAATGCAAAGTTTAGCTACTTTGAAATGAATGTATATTATTTAAATTAGCACTATTCGATGTTGAATAACTTTCCTATATGGAAATTTAAAAACACCATCTCTTAGTATTGTTAGTAAAATTGGTATAAACAGTTCTGAACTATTTTATACAAAACTGAAATATTTTAATATTATTTCATATAATTCATATCATTTTTGAGAAAAGCATTTTAAAAATATGTAAACCAACCTTCACACAAAACATTTTATAATTAAAGAATAATATAGATATAAAATAGCTAACAATACTAATATATATTACATAATTCAGCCATTGACTTAGATATAAAAAAAGTATTGAACTATAGTAACTAACCTGTCATAACCAACTCCTAGGACTTGTAATTGTGGTACAGTGTCTACATAGCCTTTGTCCTTTATCTTGACCGTTTTATACTCAACTAGAGCAGCCTTTGTTGACATCGCTCCCATATCAAAGAATAAAGCCTGCCATGCAGTATCATTGATTTCCTGTAAAAAAAACAATATATTTAATTAGTATTATTTCTCTTGAATTAATTATATAGCTAGTATATTGCTTGCATATAACTTCTATTGGCTTAAATATTATATTATTCATGAGGAAACTTTATTGAGTAGAAAAAATTAGTGAAAAAGGTTGCACACCTTCCTCCTAAATATTCCATAGTTAATAGCAATGGCCGTGTAGTCATTGATAAGTTGTAAAACATTAAGCCCAGCAAGAGCAGCAGCTTCCTTCATAGCGCGACGTTCAGCTTGGTTGAAGTAACCAGGTATTGTGATTACACATTCCGTTATTTGTTGACCTGGTGATGGAAATTTTAATGTCATATATAAAATGTAACCTTTGACAATATAATAGATTCCTCGGAGGTAATCAAGTTTAGAACTATGATAATAAGAAGTAAAAATTTCTAGGTATAAAGAAAATAGGTTAATGTTGGGCTTACAAGTTGGTTGAGAATTAGTACTCAAACAAAACAAAAACAAACTATTATAATATCTAACTTAAATTCCACATAAGATTTTAAAATCTCTGAATCAGTTTGCATCTTTTTATTGTACACACACACAAAAATTTCAAAAAATTAGCAAGAAACAAATTTCAAGAAATTAGAAATTACAAAATTTTGTTTAACATATCAAATTAAATAATTATAATTTGAATACAAAGAAAACTTTGTTTGATAAACCAACTTAAGTCCTAAATAAAGTTAGTATATTATTATTTAGCATCTTTATGCTATAGCATAGTCATGAAAACAATTGGAATACAATATGCCAGATGGCGGTAGGTCTGATCTTGAATGTCAATGAACTCTACATACTTAATTTTTTATTTCAACTCAAATTCAATTATTAAGTTTGCAGTGCTTAATATTAAAAACAAAAAATTATTGGACCGTCATATTTTAAGTAAATTATGTGTATTCTATTTCCAGTAATCTGTAAAGTAACTCACCATGACTAATTTCAGCAAAGTCCTTTGCTTTAGCCAGTAGTTGTGCAATGAGCTCTTCAGGGCTATATCTTGTATTCTCATCATGAACAAACTCAGGTGTGCCTCTCTCTGAAGCAACTATTTCATAGTATGGGAATTTTGCCCTAAAAAGTGAGAAATAATATCTTGTTATCTAACAGTTGTATGAAAAATAAATCTTATAAGAAACATTCACTTCTTTACTATTAAAAATATAATAAAAATATCAGATAGATTTTTTTTTATATTGGTTAAAAAGCTTTTCAAAAACTTGATTTGAAACTAAATTGTGTGAAACTCTGAAATATATGTTATATTTTCAGGGATAGTGCAAATCCATGTATCTACATTGGAAGCAGATTATGAGAAGGTTTATGCTGCAATATTATCTAAATTAATTACCTTTAAGTAAGTTTTTCACAATTAGTAATTATTTAGTGTTTAATCTGATTCCAATGTAGATATGCGGAATTATCTGATGCTAGTTACTGGGATTTGCACTATCCCCAATGAGCTGTATATAATTATGTATATTTTACATGGTAAGGTTTAAATTTTATTGTTTATTTAAATATTCAACCATAGCAACAACATTTTCTGGAAAGATATGAATAACAAAATAGTGAATGAAATTTGATTTTTTACATCTAAAAACTAAACCAACAATATGTTAAAACTATTTAAAATTGTAATGGAAGGTCACTGCAAGAATGTCTTAATTATCATCATAATATATGAAGCAAAAATAATGTGCCAATTTGTAAAATAATTACGACCACAAATATCTTTACCAATAAATGAAAATAGTTAAAACTGATATAACAGATTACATGTGCGTTAACTTACCTAAATTCCTGTACCAATGGATGATCATAGGGCTTTCCTAGAAGATCCAGCAAGTATTTATAGGAATTTTTCGGGAACCGTACACCGACGGTAACAGCGTCTTCACCGAATGTCCTAACATCGTCTCTAAATGCAACGACAGCTGGCGTTTTCCTCTTGGACTCTTTGTTTAAAACAATCTCCATCGGAACTCCAGGTGAAACAATACCGACTTTCATCCATTCTGATCCCAGATCGATAGAAATAACAGCCGCCGCATCCACGTTTTGATTAAACAGTATCGGTAATATTAAACACAATATACTTAAGGTTACCTGTAACATATTAATTGCAAGTTCATAAATTTTTCACAGGAATACTCCGGAAAAATCATGTCAATGCGGCATTCTGTATTCGCTAAATATATGCACTTACGGTATGTAGGGCCATTTTAAATTTTTAATTCACATCAAGTCTCATAAACTTATGTATCACTTTTGTTTTAATGCTATATTAATTATATTTCCTAGTACATTATTACTTAGCAAAGTGGGCCAGCTACTATAGTCCACGTCAAGTTTAACGTGTTTTCTTCTTTTTGGTTGATGACGTTGTTGCCAGATTTTCCTAATTATGCGTTCAATAGTACATTTAATTGTGACATGTAATCAAACAAAACGCAAAATTTAAAAGTTTATCTAATAGCATAATCACAATCACAATAAAAAAATTATTGGACTTTATTTAATACAGCTGATTCTGAAGTAAAGAGGTTTGTTTCCTCTTGAATGTATATAAGATCTATTAAATTGATATTTTCAAGAAAAGAACTCAATATTACAATAATTTTTATCAAATAATTTACATGTTTATAAAATTTGGAGATAATATTTGAAATTAATTAATGTTTTAAATATATTTGTGATACATTCTTTTGTAAGTATTACACTAATGGTAAAGAAAATTTTATTTCTATTAAGTATTCATATTAATTAATGTCTTTGCTACATTTAACTTTTGTATTTAAAATTCTCATTTTATATTAGAAGTTTTTCCTATGATTTATTATAACTTCGAAATAAATAAAAAGTTTTAAAACCTGTAACATATCATATGTAATAAAACATGTTTCTTTTGAAATTTGCTAAACTTGGATTATACAAAGATTTTTCCAAGATAAGGTTTCGATACTATTAGAAATCTTGTGTGTAGCAGCTTTTATCTGTGAACTGTCACTCTCAGTAGTAAAGACAAGTATAGATCATATGTTTATTTATGTAGGTTGCTCTTTAGTTTATGATTTGATTGGGTGTTAAGGTGTTTGTTGAGTGTTGATTTTAAGAACGGAGCCAGCGGAATGCTGTTTATTTGTTATTAATTTCCAAATTGTGAGGAATTCAAACATCTAATACAAAAGGTAAGTACATTGCCTCTGTATTAATTGTCTTTGATTCCACTATGCAGCAAACATTTTGGAAATACGTAAATGATTAAAATATAATTCGTAATAGAGACAACGCACTTATATATGCGCATTTTGGTTTATTTACTACGAAAACAAATATCGCGTTCCGTAGTTTTATATATCGTGAAGCGTATGGTGTCGTTTACATGCGGTTCTAAAAATGTGACGAGACGCCAGAGGAATGTAGAGGCAGGCGCCCTATCTAAATATGGAACTAGTGTCAGTCGAATTGTATTAGCTACATCCTCGTGTCATAGGAGCTGGCCACTGTCCCCCTAGTTATGTAATGGTCCTTGGAGTGCGCGTTAGCACGTGCATACGACAGTGCACGCGGCTGTCCACGTAGAAGGTTGAACGCGCAACGCGCACGCGGTAGAAGTCCGAAAGCCAGTTTCCTAGCAACAAGCTGTTGACGCCACTGCTGACCCAATGAATACAAAAACACATGGTAATTATTGTTACATCACACAGACCACGCGTCAGTATTTTTGCGTGTTACGTCGTTTGATATTTTTATCAACGTTCTAATAAAAAAAATATTAACTGTATTGTAATTTATATATTTTTCTTTACGACAACTTTTTCATTCATAACTTTCGATGGTAAGTGATTTTAAATTATATATATTTATTTAATTTAATTGTATTATTAGACCATGATGGTGGCATGAAATGTTAAGGAAGTAATAAAAATAAAAGCACTAATTACATGTAGACCTCAGTTTGACCTAGTTCTTATTTCTCATCGTACACAAGTTCTAAATATAGCTGTCACCCGGAATATCTCTATTTTCAAATTGAGGTGTTATATTCTGTAAGTGAAAACTATTGGTTCATGTTTTATCATTACCTAATTCACTTTACTTCATATATCAGTATCAGCTAGCAAGGTCACTTAATCTACCTGAATGATAACCATGTACTGAAATTTTATAAATTTAAATAATCTTAATTCCATATAGATATTGCATATTAAAATTCACATATGAATCTTTTATTCTATATGATATAATTGTTATTTGAATTGAGGTAATTTTGTAAATAAGGATAATTATGTTACACCAACAATATAATAAGTTTGAATTTAAATTAATTATGAATATTACTTTAAAATTAATTGCCTTCACATTATTTCCTTTTTTATGGATATCAATGTTAACTTGTTTAAAATATTTTTTTATCCGTATTTTAAAAGGTCACAGTATAAATACTTTCTTTTATATATACCAAAATTGTACTGTGATTAAATAAAATTATCTTTTAAATGTTTCTTAAATATGATTTGAGGAAAACTCATAATTATTGATTGCATGTATATTATTGTTGCTATAAAGCAATTAAAATGTTATGATTATAGAGGGAAAAATTAATATCATTGATTGATTTTTTATTTTATTTTCTATATATAACTTGTTCACAGGTGATTGCTTTTTTATTTATTTTTATTATAAGTAATATTATAGAATTATATAATATAATTTTAGCAAGAATGAAATGCTGAAAATAAAGTAAAAGATATTATGAAAATCTAATTGTCTATGAAAATTATGTAAGAAATTACTGACATACAAGAAAGTTTATATGGGATTAAATCGGGTCTTAATAGTATTAAGAATTCTAATTAGATTTCCTTTCTAATGATTAATAGTTATCTATGAGAATAGTTAATAAAATGACCACTACTTTAGAGAACAATACTAATAAATTCATTTAAGCTGGGTTTTACAAGTATATTTCAAACTTTCCTCAACACATGAACTACAAATTTATATTTTTAATGTAGGTTTGAGTTATATACTATTTTGTATTTTTTTAATTAATTATAATTTTTATTTGGGACATATATAAAACCTATGGTTTGTTTATCATTATTTTATGGTGCCAATTTTGCAGGCCTACAAATAGTGTTTTCTTTTTACCATTTTTTAAAATAAACACAAATTAATATTTATTTAGATATAATAGTGAAAGCTTCTTTATTAAGTCGAATTTACAGATACTCAAACCATGTTTAAGTAAAAAATCAATTAAACAATTTATTTCTATGAAAACATAACAAAGACGCTAAATATTTATGTCGTTACAACATTGTATTGTATTTTTCCTATGAATCATTAAACTGTGATTCCATTAAATATTTAAAAGTGCAATTTTCCATTAGAAAAAATACGCCATTGTTACATTAAACGTCAATCTGTCAAATGTCAATGTCAAAGCGAGTTGTTTTAATTAATGGTTTGTATCTTGTAAACACTTCATGGTGCACGTTACTTATAAAGGTAATTGCATATGCATATTCTGCATCTCTCGAGTCTCGACGTACTGTTGCATTCCATTACAATTTTTAAATACAAAAATAGTATTACTATTTTATTATTTCTTGTATGTATATACTTGAACATTTTTAATTTATCGTCAGCGATAAAAATATATACACTATCTTCGTGAGATTAATTATGTTGAAACTGATTTAGTTGGAAGCAATTCTGCGCAGTAATAGAGCTTCATTAATGAATGATGACTACGGAACCGAAGTACTATACATAATAATATGTAGATTCAAGTGTTTTATTTACATCTATATTCTATTTTAACATATAAGCTCGAACATCGTCTAAGTTCTCTGAAATATAAATTCTATTGAAAAACATCATAATTATTTCCCATGTTTATCTCATTCTATATTCGTGATGCAATCGTTTAAGATCCGCTCTCCGACTCTCAAACATCGTGTTTATTGACGTAATTTATAAGAATTCGTTTTTATAAGTATTTCAATTCTTACTCATTTTAACATAGTATGTATCTATAAAAGTATGTATATATAGACTTAAATTATATGTTAGGTTGTTTGTTTAATGCCTCATGTTTTGTTTACGTTGTAAAACAATTTGTTTGTCACGTTACGTAGTTCTTTTCGGCAATGCGTCTAACGTCCTTTATGACATATTTACTTAATTCCACTGAATTTTATTTATATTACGTTGTTGAGTATTAACTGAATTGTTTGTTTCTATATCTTAAAGCGTGTTAGAGTTATTACTCACTCTTAAATTACATACATATATTAATCATTCGTAATTTGCTGTAGTAATAATATAATTTTTATATATAGATGTACTTTTAATTTTATTATTCTTTATTATATAGAGTACATATTTGTAAAGATAATTTTAAATTCATATATGGTTCATATATAAACGAATATTTTTGAACTGTGAAGCAATCTAGTATAATTCTTATTTTCATTGAAATTTCTTTGTTTTTCTTTAAGTTTTCTATATTGTACTGTAACTAATCTATAATATACGTTTATATATTACATTCAAGGGGTTGGTAAAGATGTTTAAATATGTATAAATAAGAGCATTAATCGAGTATCGTTTCACCAAATTTTATTTATTTAAATCTTTTAACTTAATGTTCGTTTATAAATAAAAAGCGTCACGTAAGTAAATCAAGCAAAAATTTTTTGTCACACGCTTAAACAAAAATATTTAAATTTATCGTAATATGTGTCAAGTACGTAAAATGAAATTCAGTCGAACAATGTGTTGTTAATGTAGAATAGAATAGTATAGTCTTATTTTAAAAGATAACTGGTCGCTTACTATAATTAGTTGTTCATTGATTTAGTCTAACAGACGCAAGGTCAGGTAATGCGCACAGTGAGAATGCTGAGTGCCTGCACAGATTTTATCACTGGGAAGCTAAGATAAAAATCATGAAACATTTATTTTGTGTTACAATTACCTTACAGCATCCGTGAAGTCGTAATGGTGATAAAAAAAAGTTTATCGCAAACAGAAGTATGAAGAAAATATTTTGTAAAAAAAAATCATATTTATATTATGTAGAATATAACTAGCTGACCCGGCAAACGTTGTTTTGCCATAAAAAATTAGGATTACATGTATTTTTATTGCAACATTTAAAAAAAATAAAAACAAAAAAATTCCACCGAAAATTAAAAAACCTAAAGGTGAACAACCCTTATGACTTAGAGGTATAAAAAAAGATATGAGCTGATTCTCAGACCTACTGAAATCGCATCTGTAATTCCGTTTCGGAGGAGTACGTAACTAACATTGTGAAATGGAAATTTTATATATTAAATATTAGAAATATGGCTGTGTAGAGATACATATGCATGTTTGTGATTTATCACTTACACGTAATCTACTGAATTGATTTTAATGTCAATTTAATGTGATGTAGATTAGGCATCAAAATCAGTAAGCTATTTTCTCCGTGTAATTCCCTTAATAATACAACACGAAAGTATTATTTTGTATAATCAAGTAAAATGAACTATAGATAGTTCACATTGATTGTCTTTCTGAATGCTCAGCCTAAATCCATGCGTATTTTGTGGATGCGGAATTAATTCATTTAAATTATTAAAATGGCATATAGAATTAATGGTACTGGAGAGTGAATAATTTTATAAAATAGTAATAGTATTCTTTTAAGACGTAAAAAAAAACATCTCCCATTTTAACTGAATTGTTATCTCATAAACATCTAGGAATTTGTTTTTGTGTTACAAACACGTTAACCTTCTGTCTTTACTTAAACTGACAGCATTTTAACTTGAGGATAACTTAAATTGTATCGTATTGTAATTGAAGATGTAGACATTGTTTTTCATATAAAGATACAAAAGTTTTATTATATTTTTATTAGAAATGATTCTCTGGTAGTAATGATGTGTTGATTAGTGACGTACCTACCGGATTTTGGCTGTTTTTTTCAATCGATATCGATGTTTGTGATTTTGTAACTATCTGGGTAACTTTGATTCATCGGGTAACTTTGACAGCGGGACCATGAACTAGTTTCAATTATTTTTCGCATGAAACCAACATTATTCATATATGTTTATTTTAGATTTGCGATTTTAAACAAGTTTCCTAAACGCACCTTAAAAAAAAGTACGAGGGGAGGTCAATAAGTTCGCGGAATGGAGGGGATGGAGGGGGTTGATTTACTCGTCCAGGAAGTAACTTGTTCAACACCTCATTAATAGTATATATACCAAGTTTGAACCAAATCGGGTCATAAACTTTTGAGTTATTAACCTGCAAACGAGTGAATCGGGAAGAAGTCAGTGAGTATGGAGAAAATTGAACACCGCGCCGTTATTAAGTTCCTCACCAAGCAAGGAAAATCCGCTCAGACGATTTTTGAAGAGCTGTTATCAGTTTACGCGGTCTCTGCCCCTGGTAAAACCATGGTTTACAAGTGGCATGGACTTTTTAAACAAGGGAGAGAGTCCATTGAAGATGACCCCCGCTCCGGACGACCGATTGAGGCCACCACACCGGAAATCGTCGCAAAAGTAGAAAAACTTATATTGGAAGATGCCCGGTTGAAGAAGAAACAACTTGCAGCAATGGTTGGAGTATCCGAAACCAGCATTTTAAATATCCTACATCATCATCTTGGGATGACTAAGGTCAGTGCAAGATGGGTTCTACGAATGCTCACGCCACTTCAAAAGAGCGAGCGTGTCGAGTGTTCTCGCCAGTTTTTGAAGCTCTGTGGGGAGAATAAGGATGAAGTTATGGACCGGATTGTTACTGGTGATGAAACCTGGGTTCACCACTATGAACCTGAATCGAAGTTAGAATCGAGACATTGGCATAAAAAAGGCACAGCTCCTCCCAAGTAGTTTAAAGTGTCACAATCGGCCGGAAAGATCATGGCGACTGTCCTTTGGGATACAGAAGGTATTTTGCTGATCAATTATAAAGATCGTGGTATGACTATAACGGGACAGTACTACGCTTCTTTATTAGATAGATTGAAAGAAGCTATGAAGGAAAAAAGAAGAGGAAAGCTGTCAAAAGGTGTGCTCCTTTTGCACGACTTTAAGTTTATTTTAGGGTGAATAACTTTTTGAATATTTTGTGATTTTGGTTGCTGATAAGGTAAGTGAGATTTTATAAAGAGCCATTTGTGATTTTACTACCACATTTTCATGAAAAATTTGCATATAATTACGTCTTATTTTAAAATTTCATGCATAAATATGAAAATACGTATTTTGAACAGTAACTGGGTAACATAACTTACATAGATACTGAAATGGTGGAGGAAGAGGTGGTAGAAGAGGTGATTGAAGAATTTGTTGTTAAAGATGGAGTTTTGCAACATGCACATCAAAATATATTGAGTTCTTACCTGGAACAACAGTTATATTTAAAACAGAAGGAACACTGTTTCCAGGAAAACTGACAAGTTTCACATTTCCGTATTATACACTTGTTAACATGAGTAGAGCAATACAAGGTGGTTGGAAATGACCAGATAAAAGAGAAATTATTAAAATTAAACAATTTCTACAGTAGATAACAGTAATATCAGTATAAAACAGCCTGGGCTCTACACAATTATTAATGACTATTTTCTCTATTTGGAGTGGGGAGAATAAATAAGTTATATGCTCAATAGTTTACAAAATGTTTATTTGTTTTAATTATTTTTGCTTGTTTTCTTTTTAATTTGAATAAAAATGTTAAATTAAAGGAGTTTTTTAAGCGTTTTTGATGGTGTTAAAAAATGTGTGTAAAATTGCCAAATGTTGTAGACTGAATCTTAGTATTTTTTTTAAATATTAGACAAAATTGTAAAATGGTCGTTATATTGCGTCACATGCATCCATTATTTAATAAATATATACACCAATGTCACCCAGATTGATCAAAATAATACTTATAACTACTTTTTCATGCATGGCTCTGTGTGTGTCAAAGTTACCCATTTTAGGGGGGTAACTTTGACACACACAGAATAGAGATTTTATACTATATTGGTATGTTTTATAAACTTTCTGTGAAAGTCTAGAAACGGAGGGTAATACGAGAGCACTGATAAAATAAAAACACTCGAGTGATAGGTTAATTTTTTTTTTAAATATAGTATAAAACATCACCCTTATCTGTCAAAGTTACCCAGATTGACTGTAGTCGACGTCAATTTAAAACCTGACGAGACACGTACGAACCTTATGTAGAATTACGTATGTATATTGAGAATTCAAGAAGTGAAAGACGTGCTAAAAAATATACGGATACGGATATCCGGTTCATACGACGGTTTATTTGGCTGGTTTCATAGTTTAGATAGTTTTAATTTGTTGTAACCAAACTTGTATTTCCATATATTGTTTACAATAAATCATAATTTGTTTGGTTATTAAGTAATTAAATAGTTAAATACTAGTTACTCATAAGTCAATAAGCATATAATCTATTTTTTTATTCAGAGTAATTTCATGATCAGAGCTTTATTACTTCTTAAATTTCATAATAATATTTGTATTTACATTATAAATCAAAGTTCAAATTAGTTATTTTTATATCGAAGGTTGTTCTGTATCATTTTTTATATTATTGTCATTTCATCTTGTTTATATTAAAACTAACGCTTCCTGTGAATAATAAATACATAATATATTAATTATAGTTTATTTGAAGGAATAAAATCATTTCATAATGTTTTTACGTACCGACTTGTATCAAGACACCATACCTGGTACGTATTCACACGCAGACATTTATATTTATTTATACTAGCTTTCCGCCCGCAGCTTCGTCCGCGTGGAGTTCGGTTATATCGCGTTTCCAAGAGAACCTCTCAAAAGTCTGGGTTAAAAACTATCGTATGTTCTTTCTCAAGGTTGACTTTATCTCTGTACCAAATTTCATTAAAATCAGTTCAGTGGTTTAGGCGTGAAAGCGTAGCAGACAGACAGACAGACAGACAGACAGACAGAGTTACTTTCGCATTTATAATATTAGTAGGGATAAAGCTATTCTCCAGTTATAAATAGTGTAACTAAAACAAATTTCTTTTTTATATATATATATAATGATAATTTTTTTCATAAGATGGCGCCAATGCGCGGCGAACGCGGCGGTTCACCAGCGAGGGGTGCTCGTGCGTCCCTGCCCCTGCCGCGTCGTCTCATCAGGCAGATAGCGAGACACGTGGCATCAAGCGGGAGGTCGCTCAGACGGCTGGAGGTCTCCGGCAGGGTCATTGACAACTTCGATGACATAGACGACGGTTCCGACGAGTCCGACATGGAGACGCAGACGGCGTGAGTAGACCACCTATGAGTTATTATGAGTTACTATGAGTTATTATGAGTTACTATGAGTAACTATGAGTTATTATGAGTTACTATGAGTTATTATTAGTAAATACTCAATTACTTTACCTAAGTATTGCGAATTGATGGAAATGTATTGTGTATCATTTAGACATTAAAAAGCTGTTCTCAAGTTTTGTTACTAACACAAACTCGTGACTCTTCATATTTAGTTTGACGTAGCAATTTTGTGTTGATGGTATTAATCTAGCTAATTCTCTCTATCAGTGAGATTGGCTATTTAGAACCCTCGAGCTATGGAAGCCTCTAAAGGAAATTATTGCCGTTTCATTAATATTCGGTTGTAGTTTATAGCATATAGTCTACATAATACACATAGTGTTGTTGGATTAATGGACTATTTTAACACTAAATAATTTTGCTAATCGGACTATTGGTATCTGAGATTAGAAAGTTTAACAACTTTACAACTTTTTTTAGATTATATAACTGAATATAAATCAGATCATTTACTTACTTGTCGTTCTAATTTTCATAATTTTATTTTTGTAACGATTTTTTTTCTCCTCACTTTGTCAAGGCTAATTGTAAGTTAGAATTATTTTATATATAAATATATGTATATATTATAATTAAATCAAACTACATATCATGTTAGTAGTGAGTTTGTCTCCATTCCTCATCGATCAATGACAAGTTAGTGTTCTGTCAGATAACACTATCAACTGACCGAGTAAGACGTGATAGCGTTCAAGATAATAATAATACAGCAATATTTTTAGGATTTGTAACCTATTTTAATATAAGATAAAGTATGTATAGAATATTAAAAAAAAAATCTTAATTCTTCTCCTTTTGCTGGCAATTTCCAAGCTTAAGCCATGGTCTGCCTAAAATTCTCTTAATCATCACGTCGAATTATATACGAAAAACCGAATGCTAATGTGATGATGCTACAGTATCAGCATAGTAATATTTTATTCTCATTTAAATACAAATACTGTAATTATGTAATATGATGAATATAAATTAGTTAAAAAAGTTTTAACATGCAACGAAATATATTCAATGCTAACAGGTAGACGTTCAAGCTAATAAAATTAATAATTAATAAATCATTCATAATAAATATAATTTTAATATCAATATCAAATGTGTAATAATATTAAATATCAATATTATATTCGTAATATAATATTAATATGATGTTCGTTCCTCAGCGTCGCCTGCGCCGGTAATTCTGGTAATCTACCACCGGCCGATCATGACGACGATCTAACAAGTCTCAGTTGGTTGCAAGACAAGAATTTACTAAGCGGTGAGTTTCTTGCTACAGATAAATAAAGCCAGATACACACTAACTAAGATCTGAATTATCTTTTACTTGTAAGGCTGTGTACACACTTTGTTATAAATAATTCGTTATATCTTTTACTTTATGCATAATAGGTACACACTACTATGATATATAAAGCGAAACTACTTAAAAGTAAATATGTTTTAGTATGCATTACGACCTATGGATTTTCTTTTACTTCTCTTTATTCTATATACTGTTGAAAAAACAATGAATAAATTCAATAAAACTATTGTTTTTTTATATACATAGGCAGTAAAGGCTTTATTTGTTTATTGCTCACTATGCTGCTTATATTATTAAAAACCATTATCTGTGATCCAGACTTTATAGGAATGAGTTCAGAATTTTAACTTAAGTGACATGATACTCCTGGCTTCATTGTCTTTGAGCTAACAGTCACCAACAAATCCTCTATAGTTAATATTAATCCTATGTAGTGTAGTTTAATCAAAATGACTTAAGTATTTTTTGAGCTATAAATCAACAAACATACATTCATCATCACAAATTTTGTCCTTACTAATATTATTGACATTTAAAATATTGTCTTATTTTGTAATACACACACGCATACACGCACACACACTCATACTACACAATATTTATACAACATTCTTACATTATCTTTTTAAGCCCTACAGAGGTCTTTTCAGACTGGTCACGTGATAACGTCAATGTACGGTTTCCGGACTTATCATAGTTTTAGATTTCAAACATTATCTAATTAACCTACTTTATTTGACCGAAAAAACTTGAATTCTACTATTCTATATATCGTTCTAATGACAAGGATTCCTTCCAGGTATAAATCTAACTAAAAGTGACATTGAAGACAGCAAACTTATCAGCAGTCAAGTGGTTGTGAAAGTGAGTATATTTAAATATTATTTGTATACAATATTATTATTTTCTAGATGAATACAAAAAAAAAGTCAAAAAATGTATTTTCAAAGGAAAATTGGCAAATTAGCATTTCTAGAACTATACTTCTACAGGGTGACTGGTGAATTACTATCAATATTTAAGGAGAATACTCGGTACATGATTCTCATTCGAATTATGTAAAAAAAATAGGCACTTAATTTTTGACAAAATTTCCGTATAAATAAATAAAGTGTTGACACGTTCCAAGTGTTCCAAGTGTGGACGCGTGCGGCGGCGTGCTGATACAACACATCGCCGCCGCACGCGCGTGTTTGTGTGTGTGTATATCTAATCTGTAGGGTGTTCACACGATGCGTAATTAATTACATAACTTTTGGTTAACTTTACTTAGAAATTTATTAATATTTATGTTATATTAATTTTTATTTTGTCATATATGATCGTCAAATATCACGTCCTCAAGTATCGATAGTAATTCACCAGTCACCCTGTATAGGTACATAAAATTTAATCCTCGCTACTGAGTCATAGCCAATACGATGAATTCGAGGAAACTTCTATAGAAGTAATTTGTTGTTAGTTAAATCAATATCACCTGTGTTACCAGAAAGTCTATATAATGGAAAGACTATTTCTGTGTTTAGAAATTATAGCATATTACATAAGAATCAGAGCCTTCACGACTAAATAAATATTTACTCCAAATACAGCTTTAATTTGTTCTCTATTGAAACTACGCTTTATGAAACTAATATTTCAAATTTCATTGCCACAGGCAAAATATATTTGAACAAATGTTTTTATTTTACACGTGTCACTCAATATTTGATTAGAAGATTCGTTTTCATAACTTTTAAACGGCCATGTTGTTTGAAGTATTTAATTAAATGAATATAATTATCTTTAAAGGACCAAATTACAACCAAAATTTTATTACAAAAAATATTCAATTTTAAATTTCGAATATGCGTTTGTTATTCATATTTGCTCGACTCCCATTGGTCATAAACTGATGACGTCATCTTTCTAAACCAAAAAGGGTCATTACTGTTATGACATAGAACGAACGTTTTTTCTACTTTATAACTTTGATTTAAAATGCACGTGCAATTATGCAATTAACTTGTTGCGAGATGAGTTTTTATATTGTTTTCAAGTTGTAAGTAAAACGTAATACGTCTTAGTTTATTTTGTTGCACCACACATTTAAATAGTTTTATTTGTTTATAGTTACTAGGTAAATATTTATATAGTGAAGTAATATGATTAAGTTAATGTTTTTTGAAGTCCATACACATAAACACTGTGAGTAATATAATGTATAAAACTTAGTAAATGAACCTAAGCAGATCTAGATCGTTTATTTAAAAAAAGACATTTATTTATGTAGTTATATACTCAGTTTTTGTAGGCAGTAACTGAGTAAACTCAATTAGTATATTTCTGTATTGATCCGTTATTTCTGGTGACAGTTTTTCTATTTTTGAATTGCCGATACTCACCGATACTACCTATATTCAGTAAAAATATTTCAATAGTTTTCTATAATATCGTTGGCCGCTTACGAGAATCAATTCGTGGAAATCTCTGAGTACACGTTAAAAGTTCAGGCAGTAAAGTAAAATTTACTTGTTAATGAATGTGTTTAATGTATGTTTATCTTATCCTTATTTAGTTTCAAAAGATAAACTCCAATAAGCCTTTTTTTGCTAAACATGTATATTATGATGCGTTATTTAACGTTTAAGTTATTCTCTCTACTCGTTAAAGTTAGCTATTGAGAGATCTTATTAATACTAAGATCGTATTAAACTATCGTGTGATATAAAGTTAATAATTTAATTAATATTCCAGACAGAGCCATCTATAACTCCGCCGCCGTCGTCGCGAGTGCCCTCCCCTCCCCGTACTCCGTGTAAGGCTCCTCCCTCCCCTCCCGCTGTGAACACTCACACAAAACCCCCATACTCCTTCTCCTGCCTCATATTCATGGCTATAGAAGCGGCCCCAGCAAGAGCTCTCCCAGTTAAAGAAATATACGCCTGGATAGTTCGACATTTCCCATACTTCAAACATGCGCCGCAAGGCTGGAAGAACAGCGTCAGACATAATCTGTCGTTGAACAAATGTTTCCATAAGGTAGGTGTTGGAGCTCTGTTGTAGTAATATATCGTTTGTGTGATGGGTCTAAATATATTGGTTTTTATAGGTGGCGGCCGCTCCTGGATTAGGCAAAGGTTCGCTTTGGACTGTAGACCCTCAACATAGATCGTCTCTTCTTCAGGTGAGTCTTTGAGATATCGAACATGTGAAGAATTTCATTACAAGTCCATATTATTTCTAAATATTTTGTTTATAACCTAAACCATTACTTGAATATTTGCAAGTTATGAAAGATCAAGTGTGTTGTGAATCTTCGATATTATTCATTACATCAAAATTCTACATCTATATCCTTAGTACTACTTAACCTTTAACCGGACAACGAAAAGTTAGAACGCATATACTTACTATAAGGCATTGAAAACTAATCATACATTTACATCTATAGCCGCGTATCTAAAACATAAAATACAAATTATTACTATATAAAAAAGATACACCTAAATTAATAACTGATAATAATTTAAATGAAATCATCACAGTTACTGTAAATTAAACAAAACGTTTAGAGATAAGTTTTTGAAATAATAAAATAACTTTTAACTATCCGAAATATCTTAAATCTCATTAACCAATAACAATCCCAAGATATATCATATAATTACTTCTAATTAATGTATATATTCATATATTTCCAGGCGTTCGGTCGTCAGCCGGTACCTCCAGTAGAGGTTGAGGAGCAAGACACATCGACCAGTGTAAAGAACACTCCCGACCCCCAGCTGTTTCCTTACTTAGCCCGCAGACTGGCAGATGCTCGCTCCCCGCCCGGCGCTGATGAATACTTGGCCGCGGCCACTGTATTGGCTATGAAGTATGGACCCGCTGTATTAGATCAGGTATATAATAAAATATCTCTTATTGACCAAATAAGTCGTAGTGGCCTAGTAGTAAAAGACCTGCCTCGTGCATGAGGCAAGGCAATGTCAAGTACAAACGTCATTTTTCCGAGTCATTTGTATTATAAAAGTACTAGAAGACCCGGCGTGCTTCGGATCGCCCTATAATCAAGAAATATCTGTTACGTTTTTTAATTTATATTTTTGGAGTTTACCTATTAAAGCCATAAATCTCCGTGTTTTGAAGTGCGACAGAATGATTGACATATTAGTTAGTTGTCAAATCTAATATAAAAAAAAAACGTTTGTATCAACGACTACTAATAAATTAAAAAATTATTAAAAAAACATTGAACAGCGGACTAAATTGTGAATCTAAACCATTCCCAGATCCCCTTGAACACACACAAAAAATTTAATCAAAATCGGTCCAGTCCTTTTCGAGAAGTTCAATGATATACACACTCACAGAAGAATTAATTATTATAAAGATATCTCCTATTGACCAAATAAGTCCTAGTTTCATAATAGTAAAAGACCCGCCTATCGTGCATGAGGCAAGGCAATATCAAGTACCAATGTCAATTTTCCGAGTCATTTGTATTATAAGAGTATTTAGACATCATTGACAGATGATAAAGGAGAACAATGTGAGGAAACCTGGACTTATAATTTCATATTATAATTTTGAAATCACCAACCTGCTTTAAGCAAGTGTGGTGATTAATGCTCAAAATTTCTCCATGTGAGAAGAGGCCTTTGCTCAGCAGTTGGCTCTTATAGGCTGATGATGATGAAATTTTGAAAAAAAAACCTTTTAAGGATTGGATTTTCTTAAATTTCTATTTAATACTAGTTTATGCAAACGACTTCGTCTGCGTTAGTTTCAGAACTAGAAATGTATAAATGACTGGGCGAACTCTATTCCAACTTAAAGACAGTAGATAAGAAGATTTAGTATTAGATCAACTACATAATTTTTTTCTTTAACTATGTCCTCTCTTCACCAATTTCCAGCGAAACCAGTACAGCCGTTCTTGAGTTATAAATAGTGTAACTAGCACGACTTCATATAAAAAGATACTCCATTAATATGGAGAGAAAAATATTAAATAATGACTTATATTATTCCAGCTCCCTCCAGAGGCCCACCTGGTTATATCTCGTTGTGCTCGTGACGAACACTCATATAGCGGCGGGGAGGAGCGTCGCACGGCCGAGGCGCTCCTCAACCTGGCCGGTGTCAGGCCTCACGCGCCCAGCTAGCGACCACACAAGGTAAAAACACTATATTGAGATCTAACACTTTAAAAGGTATTCAGTTAAATAAAATTAGTATTTTTGGAAGCGTATTTTTAAAACTACGGGGCCGTCCATATATTACGTCATTCTAATATATTTATTTACAGTTTATTGTTCACATACAAAAATTATTTCTACAAAGAAATTTCTTCCAGCACACTTAGTAAGTGAGACTGCAAATATGAGAGCAAAATAACTCATAATAAACATACATAATGCAACATAGATGTACACAAATACAGTAAAAATAATAAAAGGTTATTTAATCATATAATACCCTATTTTTCTCAAATTTGTAATGTTTTAATTTTGTCAAACTGGTAATGACGTCAATTTTGGGAGAGGGGGGAAGTCATTAAGAAATTGACGATAGGATGATTGTAGGGGTGGGGGATCTAAAATCTGAAAAAATCGATGACGTAATTTATGGACGGCCCCTACGTAGTTCGACGTTTCGGTGACTTTGGAGCAACCGTGATCATTGGCAGACGAAACGTTGAGAATATAGTTTTTTAAATAATGAAATGGGCACAGTAGTCAGAAAATATTAGTATCTCTCTCTCTCTCTCACACACACACACACACACACACTCTCTCTCACACATACACACACAAACACACACACACACACATTCTCTCTCTCTCTCTCACACACACACACACATACACATATACGCAGATAACATCACTTTCACGAGTTCAACATGTTTAATTCCAGATGGCTGGGAGTGGTTGGTGATATCTCAGGCTGCGCTTGAGGTCGGGGACGGTAACATCTAATGTAAGTCTTCCACAGAACGCCGCGCTTAATACTACTACTACTACTACTACACTACTACTGTCTGACTGTTGTTATTCATTTACCACAATGTTAATGTATTAACTAATTATTTATATATATTTTCCAATTCCGCAGCACCATCAAACGGACCTAGTATAAGCTCCTGTACTATATCTTGTGTAGTTGATACATTAACGCTCCCGTGTTCTGCTCAAACGTTTTATTTAATGCGATTATAATAAGTTATTTAATGTATTTCATAGTTGAATTCAGTTTACGTCGGGGCATAGCTCCGCGAACTTATCGTTGACATGTGAGTTCTAAGAACGAGTGGTTTGAATTTTAATATGTATTCACTTAGTTTGTCGACGGTCGCGTACAGACAAAAGTTTACCATTATCTAGTCCAATAAAGACATATTAAAAATCCAGTGTAAAAAAATATTAAAACGTGAAGCTGATTAATTTAAGTTCAAGTATCAACTTAACATCACATATAACCATATAATGTTCTAAACTTTGAAATGTATATTTCTGAAGCCCTTTTTTATATAAAATAAAACTGCTAACGCATTATTTAATTATAAATATTTCAACAATTTATGTAGTAATAGTTTATAGATGTGATAATACATATTCATTGAATAATAAATTTGATTAGATCCTGCATTTAGATCGCCCCTTTTATATATTTAGTAGATTCATAATATATAAATAACTATTATATTAAGTGAATCGTTACATCCGTCTATCGTGAATGCCGTACATTGCCATTTAGTGTCGCCAGAGCAAGTAACGACGGATATAACTATATAGGTTAAGTTAAAAGTAATTTATTTCTCTTAGAAATTTTCAATATTTAGATTCATATAATCGAAATTGTTCATTTTTAATTCGATCTGACCTCAACATATATGTATACAGGGCTGGTTTGAAATTAAAAAAATATATATCATGTGATCTTCAACACTTGTCAAATGTCAAAAATTACATTGACTTTGTCGAAAATTGTCAAATGTCAAAAATGACATTGACATTGGTGTGGCTGATGTATTTAGTACAAAGTGCTGTTTATGTCATAGATACATACAAACATAGCAGATGTGTTATTTGCATGATATGTACTCATAAGAATAAACATATTTAGCTGTAAGCTGTATTTTGTGTTCATTACCATGTGATCTATTATAAATATTGCTTAGGATATTTCATGTCTTGCATATTGTTATAATGTAACAAATCAGTTGACACACATACATACATATATACGGACATCAGTCTACATTTAAATTAATTACACATAGAAAAAAAAGTATTTAAATCAATTTAATTTTTATCACAAACTATTAAACATTTTTTTTATTATATCAATGCCATAAATTATTTCTGTAATTTTTATTGTATCCGACGATATTAATTTTATTTAAAACCGTAATTTATATAACGTTAGTGAATATTAGAGGGAATTTTTTTTTTATTATTAAATGTATTGCTTGTTTCCAAAGAGGTCTCCGTGTGATGTTCATAATTGTTTAGAATCATAACTAGACTGATCCATGACTGATTTGTAAAGCAATATTATTTATTAGTGAAAATATATACATGCATATATATTTTTAGTTCAATGAACAATGCAATTAAATTGACCACATACAAAATAATCTGCTTACCGTTCATCGAATGGCATGAAGTTATATCATTATTATACACCATCTATGATATTGAATGTGCCAAATTATATATGTATAATGTATTATATGAGAAAATCCAAATGAATAGGTACAAGATATATTAATATATGTTTATCTAAAATATATAACATACTTAGATTAGGTTATAAGTGATATTATAGTAACTTTATGCTAAATTAAATACATACATTTTTGCTGTATTTAGAAGCGTCTTCCATCTTACTCATTGATTCTATTAGATAATGGACAGTCGCGGAAAAAACTGCATTCAAACGGATCATAGGATGATTGTCCTGAAAGTTTCCTTTTAAAAAACATAATAACTTCATATCTCACTAAGTGTATTTTGTTACGGGTTTTTTTTCTATAACTATTATCATTGAGGCAATGCACTTTTTTGCGCGACTGTAGCAATCACTAGCCTTTCTTTTGGTGGTATAAATAAATGTAGATGAATTAAAATAAATTACAGCAATAATTAGTGTCTAAAGTAGTTTTGGACTCCGCTGGTAGATGCTACATGTATATTGTGTGATACATTAAGTGCTATAAATTTTGATTAAAACGCCAATAAACTTTATTCTGTCGTGGTTCCGTATATACATAACTTATTATATATAAGATATAATTTTATAATATGATCAAGAGAATGATTCACCTCTATAACTTAATGATTGGATATTTTTAATTTTATTTAACACTATTTTTTTTTATTATTATTTGGGAAAAGTTATATCGTTATGATATTAAAATTGTTGCGGCTCATACATTATCGGAAGTAATTTATGAATTAATTTATTTTTAATTAGTTTTAATGATTGAGAAAAAAAATTAAAATGTTGTTATTGATTTTTATTTTGTAATTTATAATACGGAAAGTTGAACGGTTCTCTCGAACGAGATCTGTTCCGTTCGAGGTAATCGTTTGTATGGCGTTGCCTTGTAAATGCTGCGAGCGTTCATTAAATGAATTTCGTCTTTGCTACGTCTGCTTGTGGTTCATATTACACTGGCGACGTCATAGTTTGCTTCATTAGGCATACCTTGGTATTTCCGAACTATAATTATGAAAATTATTGTTGTTGTTAATATTTTTCTCTGGCTTGTGAACTACACTTAATGCTATTGTTGAGAGTTATTGCCAAATTTTTATTTGTCTTAAAACTATGTCTGTGTACATATCCATTGAATAAATTATGTACTGAAGATCATTTTGTGTTTTATTCGACTTATCATACTCCGATACCAGAGCAATATACTGTTACCAAATAAAATATAGAAAGATTTACTATTAAATATACATAAAGAAATTAAATACATTTTTGTCTATATCTCCATTATTTTATTAATGCCATAATGTTGACACATTATTCTTGAGAATCTCACTGGCTTACTGGCCAGTTACTAAATTAATAAAGAGGTGATACACTACAGTTTCTCCTCCCTAGCTTTTGGATATGGTCAATGTGCCTACGCCAGACACAGCCGTCATCAGTTATTATTTTATAATGTAATCTCCCTAAACGTTCCTGAATGGTCCCGAAACGCCAGCGCTGCGTGGAGCCGACTGTATAATCACGGGCCTGGATGCGGTCGCCTGGATTGAACTCTTTGATAAGATGTGGCTGGTGTTTAACTAATGGTGGTCGGTGTTCCCCTCTCAAGAACATGGCATGTAGCGACGTGCGTACTTCCCTACCAAGCATAAGCTCGTAGTGGGTCAGGCCGTTAGCGTCCGGCGTTCGACGAAGTCGTTTTTAGTCGTGAGGAGCTTTTGATATATTGTACTTCCTTCCCCCTCTAAGCTTCTTAGTATCCTATTCACGGTCTTAACGTATCTTCGGCTTGACCGTTCGTTGCTGGATGGTATGGAGCAGACGTCTTATGAACGATCATACTGCTTTTGAGAAATATTTTAAATTCTTCTGAGATAAATTGTCGTCCGTTGTCAGAAACTAAAATTCGTGGTATTCCAAAGGTGCAAATAATTCTTTCAGTTTTTGGATGTACCAAGAAACAATTGAACGCCTACTTTCGATTGAATAATATTACCAAAGATCAAACAAAAACCAACATTATACTATCTACATTATCATCAGAGCTCCATGAAAAGCTCTGTGACTTAGTATGTCCAGAAGAACCCATTAATATGTCATTTGATATAATTACCGAAATACTTAATGAATATTTTGATCTAAAACCTAGCAAATGGGCCCTGCAACATAAGTTCATATCAAGAATACAAAAATCCGATGAAACTATAGCATAATTCACAGCCGAACTAAAAAAATTAACAACAAACTGAGAATTTAATTGCCAACATTGTGAGAACACATCAGAAACTTTCCTTTGCCTATAGTTCATACGAGGCTTAAAAGATAATGACACACGAACAAAAATTTTACAAGATCAAAATAAATGCACATTTAAAGAACTAGTTCAAAAAGCAACATCAATCGAAATGGGAAAATCAGAAAACGATACTATTATATTGCTATTGTAGTGCCCAGCATGAGTAACGGCAATATTGACAAAGTTTCTACAAACACACATCGACCTAAAATCTCAAATTCAAGACAAATCACGCCGAGATTAATTAGGCAAATGTTTTCGCTGCGGATCTTCTCATGAAACTAGGACATGTAACGCCAGCAATGTCACCTGCCGGAAATGCAATAATATCGGCCATCTTGCCCGCGTTTGCCTACAACGCAACCCTAATCTGCACTACAATACATCAAGACCCAATTCACACCAAATGGAAGAACCAAAAAATAGTGATAACTATGACTGGAACGACATCAATATGATATCTGGCGAATGAATTGAAAAATTCATGATATCAGTACAGATCGAGAACGCAAAGCTGAAAATGGAATTTGATACTGGAGCATCATTAACGGCAATGCGAGACTATAGAAACATAATATTGGGAAAAGACTGTTCCACACAGATATTAAACTGCGTACTTCCCTACCACCCCATCTCGTCACCAATATTAAATATACATAAAGAAATTAAATACATTGGTGTCTATATCTCCATTATTTCATTAATGACATAATGTTGACACAATATTCTTAAGAATCTCACTGGCTTACTGGCCAGTTACTAAATTAATAAAGAGGTGATACGCTACATTTACTATGTACTTGAAAACAATATGTATGCTATTAGTTATTGTTATTATAAGAACCCCAGTTATGAACTTGGATAGGGTATTTTAAAGATTTTACGTACACTTATTTGATATATTTTACAAATCCTAGTTGAGAATCAATTTTTCTAACGTGCTTATACAGCCTTGGCCAAAAGTATTAGGCACCCCTTAAAAATGCATATTTAATGTTTACTTATCTAATAATAAATTCGTTTCTGGGATAATGTTTCGGGATCATAAACCATTACCTGGAAAGGTGAGCGGCGTATTCATAAGGTCATAAAACACCTGGTAACCGAAAACAAAGGATGTGTGTCTTCTTGCGGTCTTATCAGTCAATATTTGGTCAGTAGCATTTTACCATCTAAAGAGTTAACAACCCTTGGTTTCTATTTAAGTAATTACATTAACATCTAATTCTTTAAAAAATGCCGAAAAGGAGAGAAAATAGTTGTGAAAATCGAGTAAATAATCAATATAACTCAAAATCTGTTTATGAATGGAAAACTTTTAATACACCGTATAGAGTGTGACGACGCGTACTTGGGTTAAGCATACTGACTGTTTATTTAGCTTATCACAGCATATATCCAAATTAACTATCAAGTAGAGTAACAGAAATATAATTAAAAAAACACCATAGGAAATCTATTTTATTGCAAAAACTGTAGCAACAACGTTCACATAACCCACTCGACTTTTTTTCTTATGTATAAAGATTTAAAAATATTGTTTACTGTTAAGTACTACATAATGATTTAAATACAATTTATATGTTCATAAAATGTTGAGAAAACAATTGAATTGTTAAAGAAATGTTGCAACTTTTTGAAGATACAAAATTGAATATTTCAATATTAAAAAAACAATTCCCAATTTACTTGTGTACTTTGTTCTTTTTTTCAGTATTTGAAATATTATTTTTAAATAAAAATATAATATTTTAACGTACTTCTATAAGTTAATACAAACAACAGAAAAATACAAAAAAGTTTATAAATTAGATAAATATAACAACAGATTTATTTTACACATATTTGAAGGGATTTTTTATATTGCTGAATGCCTGAAAATACTGATATCATCCATAATTTTTTTTAAATATGAATATTTGAAAAAAAAAAACTTATTCCAGTTGAATGAGAAGACTTTAATGCTAATTCTCATTAAGTTAAACATCTACATGGTTCAGTTACTTTTAACAAATCTGACTTCTAAAACTGCTAGCATTTATTCAACAAATTCTATAAATGTTATAAATCTATAATTAATTTATCATCTACATATTTTAATAAAATACTAATATATAAAGAGATGTTATGATTTAATACAAAAAATCCTACAATAAATTTCTATGTATTCTTTTACATTCAACACTCGATCTAATTGGTTTTCATAAGTTTTATGTGATTATTGACATAAAAAACTTTTTAAGTAATTTATTGTGGATTCATTGACTTTATTTCATTGTAATGCATTCAAATTTCATGCATGAACTTCATAAACTACATTTATTCTCAATCATTTGTATAGTAATAAGTCATATTTGAAACATTATATACGTTTAGCTACTTAAATAGCATATCATCAGGTTTTATGTATCAAAACTCATTCGTATATAACATTGTGCGTCTTTATATAACTTTAAACATGTTTCGTGTTTTCGTTAATCGATCCACAGATGTCGCTGTATATAAAGATCCTTATAATCTATATACTCGACAGTCATTAACTAGAAGAATGGAAAATTACGACAACGTCCAGAAATTTAAATATATTATATATTTAGAAAGTTTTTTATTTTAGCACAATGCGTTTTTATTTATAAAACTTATCTCTACTAACAGCACTTCTGTGTTCAAGAAAAGTATATTTGTCTAGCTTCAGACGGCGATTGCTCCATGGGACAATATGGACACTTCAATCTGAAAAAAAAATGTATTAAAATTATTAAGAAATGATAGTGATAGTATAAATTAGATATATTTGTTTATTAAAAACAGTCTTTGAGTAAATATATATTTTTTATTATGTACTTTTACGAACGAATCTACATTACTACCTTAAAAAAGTGTAGTTGTATATGCGAACTTAATATATAATTGTCATTTATATGTTTAGAAATCATACACTCATATCTTATTTTCAAAAACTTGATAGTAAATCTGTTTGTATTTAAACACCACTGAATAGCTTGAAATTCGCTATACACTTGTGTGTATGTGTGTGTACGTCCTGTGTATGTACATATAAAATATATATATGTGTGTGTGTATTTACTTGATCCCCATAGCGAGCTTGTTGAGCGCGTCCCGTGATATGACGTGTCCACACAGCAGCCTCATGGGCGGGTTGTGGTCGGACGCCTGTTGTCTTAGTATGGGACACGCGAACACTGAGTGATAACCACCGAAACCACCCTCCTCACCCAACTCCACCTGAAATTAGTAGATAATTTATTAAAACTAGCAGATTTTAGAAGAAAATATGATGTACTAGCTTTCCGCCCGCAGCTTCGCCCGCGTGGAGTTCGGTTATATCGCGTTTCCAAAAGAACCTTTCAAAAGTCTCGGATAAAAACTATCGTATGTTCTTTCTCAAGATCAACTCTATCGCTGTACCAAATTTCATTACAATCAGTTCAGTGGTTTAGACGTGAAAGCGTAACAGAAAAACAGAGTTACTTTCGCATTTATAATATTAGTAGGGATTAAAATTAGAAATTATTTAGACATTTTATTAGCGTGTAGATGGCGAGTCTTGAAGATCTATTATTCATGATTCTCAGTAAGAAATTGTTTTGGACCTCGTCACTTCACTGACAATTGTCTGTTTTAAATAAGTCTTATCTACATATTTAATATAATAAACCAAGTCCTAGTATAGATTGTCTAAACTAAAATGATGCGCCTACTACTTTTTAATTTGATTTAGATGTGTGAGTGCAAATATTGATGATGAACGATTGCATGTGTGGGATAATCCAGTGTTTCGTAAACTGTGACTCGCATGCAAACTTATCGGTGGACTAGTCGCGTGATAAGTCCGATAATGTTAAATGTATGGAGCAGCGCTAGTACGTAGTATGAAACAAGACGTCCTCTTTCCCGCATTATTACACAATCATGATTAGTGGAACAACTAATTGTAAAATTAACACTTTTCAGCAACTACTATCTATAAGGCAATGAAATTAAAAAAAAATTATAACTATATTTTTTATTAGTAATTTGATAACTTTTTGTAGGATATTTACTGGTTGTTTTAAGTTTTTAAATACATATATCCTATTTAAAGACACCTGAGATTTTTTCGAAGTTTTTATTTTGCAGTTCAATTTAGTGTTTATATTACAAATAAAAATAATTTAAGTAAATAATTAAATTCAGTAGTAATAAATTGAGTTATAATGACATTAATTTATTTTATAATGACTATTCACTGTCCAATAATGTTATTGTTATTTTTTTTGTAATTTCTATGGAAACGTATTTCAGAAATGGAGATGGACAGGGCACATGTTAAGGGAACATCAAGAGAAATGGACGAAAATTGTAACAGAGTGGTACCCGAGAGATGGAAAAAGAAATAAGGGACGACCAGCTAAAAGATGGGAGGACGACTTTAAAAAAGTGGCCGGTCCATTATGGACCCGGGTAGCCAAGGAGAGAGAAAAGTGGAAGTCTTTAGAGGAGGCCTATGTCGAAAGACAAGCTGTTTTTAAAACGAACGTCAATGAAGGCATTTAATTATAAGTATTTTAAGATTAGGTTAAGAAATAGGATAATATTATAAAATGTAATTATTTATTATAAGTAATTTTTTTTTGCAATTTAAACGGCAATAAAGCTAATTTTATTTTATTTTATTTTTATTATGGAAACGTGTTTATGTCACTTGCTGATGGTATTTTTGTTTTCGAACGATGCATGCTCCTACGTTTGTGTCTAACCAACGACTGAATGACCAATCACAGATACATTTTTGTGTGTTTGCATCCATTTTTTTTTGTGTGTGTAAATGAAGTAATATGGCGCGACATTTTATTTTGACAACCTATAATAATCATTCGTATAATATAGAAGTGTGTTATTTTAAACTTATACAGGGTGACTGGTGAATTACTATCGATACTTGAGGACGTGATATTTGACGATCATATATGACAAAATAAAAATTAATATAACATAAATATTAATAAACTTCTAAGTAAAGTTAACCAAAAGTTATGTAATTAATTACGCATCGTGTGAACACCCTACAGATTAGGTATACACACACACAAACACGCGTGCGGCGGCGTGGGGTTGTGTCAGCACGCCGCCGCACGCGTCCACACTTGGAACACTTGGAACGTGTCCACACTTTATTTATTTATACGGAAATTTGGTCAAAAATTAAGTACCTATGTTTTTTTACATAATTCGAATGAGAATCATGTACCGAATATTCTTCTTAAATATTGATAGTAATTCACCAGTCACCCTGTATATTACGATGAATACTAGAAACCAGTTCTACTAATATCAAAACTAAAATATATAACAAGAGCAGAATTTGAATGTTGATATGAGAATGTTCTGATGGATTTCTGATATTCCAGTTTTATATATAGCATGATATTTTTTAATCGGTATTCATTAAGGTGTCTCAACCAGTCACAGTGTAGTTTACCTCCAGAGGCAGTTCATCATCAGCCCAGGCCGCTAACACATGTGGGTGAGACATCTTAGCTCGTATGTCATGTAAGGCGGGCAACACACGAGCCCCCGCTAACACAGCGCCCGCTAGCGGCGAGTGAGGCGCAACACGTAGTAACGAACACGCCTCACGAATAAACACCTCCGCCGCCTCCGCACCTGATCAAGATTACATTACATCATTTATTAGGGCGATAAGTCAGTTGTGGCCTAGTGGTTAAAAGGCCCGCCTCTCATGCATGAGAGCGGGTTCGATCCTGGCAAGTAAAAAGTGATTTTTCCGAGTCATATGTACTTTCTGAGAATATTTAGACATCACTGATTAATGCATACCCAAAGAGGGTTGATGTCAGGCAGGCGGCCGGTCGTTGAAACAATTAGCCAAAACTGTTCACAACATGTAAGGCGGACCCTGGCTCAAGCTGGGAAATTGCCAGGTAGAAGAAGAAGATTTATTATGGCGATGTCACAATCACTATCCCTGTCATTATAGAAATCGTGTCATTGAGTCGTTGGGCCATAGGCTTTTTTTGGGTAAAGTTCGTTCCGTTCAAAACAGACAATAACAAAGCCCATACAGCCATGTATTTAGTATCTTTAATGAGCCATAGACCATTTCTCTATATCTATCTCACTCGCACTTGTTAGTCCTATAGTCATCTAGTGAAGGGTGTAACAAAATTACATTATGGATAAGTAAAAACACTGCATTGATAATTAACTAGTATCCAGCGATGCACATCCCTATCACTTATGACATTTATGACTTGACAACTCAGTTTAGTGTTGCAGAACCCTCGATAGTTTGTCTATCAATAGTTGACCTTGAAAACCATTCAAAATATCGATAGTATCGTCACATTGTAATATTATCGATATTATCGATAGATTATAGTAACTATCAGCTTTGCCTTTACTATCGATTTAATATCGATAGTCTATCGACATTGGACTATCAATCTTCTTCTTCTTCTACCTGGCAATTTCCCGGCTTTAGCCAGGGTCTGCTTACATGTTGTTAATAGATTTGGCTAATTGTTTTTACGCCCGGCCGCCCGCCTGACATCAACTCTCTTTTTGGGAATGCATTAATCAGTGATGTTTAAATAATCCTAAAAAGTACATATGACTCGGAAAAATCACATTGGTACTTCCCCGGGCCAGGATCGAACCCGCGCCCTCGTGCATGAGAGGCGGGCCTTTAACCACTGGGCCACCAGGGACTATCAATATACAACATTATAGTGCGTTTGATTTAAGCTGAGCTTTGCATTTGTGTGAGTGCACACGGATAGTGTAGGTGTGATGTCAAATTTTTGAATGCCACGTTCTTTTCTAGTTTTGAACCGGTTTATACTGCTTTTATAGCACTTAGGGGCCATCCATATAATACGTCACACTTATTTCATGAGTTTTCGAGCCCTCCCCCGTCCTTGTCACAGGTGGTCACATTTCTGAGACCCCCCTCCCTAGTGTGACGTCACATGTTTTACAATTTAACATCGAAAAATTATTAAATTAAAATAGCAGTTCCGAAATTAGTTTTATTTCCATTTAAATTAAGTACCTTTTTATGGAATCAACATAGTATCAAAGTAACCTACGCGAGGTGCGGTGCGTTTTGCGGCATTAGTCAAAGGGCTCGTCGGCGATCGGCACCGTGTGTCAGAAGCGGCTCAAGCGGCTATGAATTTGTCAACAAAACAAACCGTATTGCCCTAAAGATAGAGTTGGACATATTTTTAAGTTTAATTAATATTTCAAGTTACGCGATTGGTACCTCTAGATTATGAAATGTGATGTCACGAAACTTAGGAGCCCTCCCACCCCTTGTCACACCATGTCACACTTTGTCGACCCCCTCCCCCCCTTTACGTGTGACGTACTTTATGGATGGCCCCTTATGTTATGTATCTATTTAAAATATAATATTTATTTATTTTATTTATTTACTTAGGAACACCAACAGTACACATATACAACATTTACACAAAAAATATAGCCAAAAGTAAAGGTCTTCACTCTTCATATGTACACCTATTATAGGTGTTCACAGCATTGTCTAAAAAGTTTTTAACAACAACACCTTAATCTAATTAAATTAAATTACATCTACAAAAAAAAATTACACCTACAAAAAAAAAAAATATAAATAATATACAATTTAATTCTAAAAGTTTCTTGTCTAACGCTACTTTTACTTTCACTCACACAAATGCAAAGCTCAGCTTAAGTCTAACGGACTATAACTCAGTTGATACTTAATAACTCTCGTATTTTAATGTATGTGATGTCATACCGAGTGCTTTCGGGTCAAGTAGGTGTGCGTATTGCTGCGGCGGGGGCGGCGCCGCGGGAGTACACCAAGCTAGCGCACACACGGCCGCCTGCAGTTGACGCTCGTGACGGGCCGCGTGTGCTGGGAACTGGGCGCGAGCGTACAAAATGGCCGCTGATACGCCTTCTTCACGCGCTAACTGGAATTATAATTAATATATGAACAATAATTATGTCTATTTCATTTTTAGTGAAATGATAAATAAACAATAAGTACTTGTTGGATATTACTTTTAAAATAATATAATACATTTTTTACTCATTATTATTATGATTATGATTGAAGTTCAATTTATTATTATATCGAATTTTTGACCTATGTAAAATAGATTTATTCTAATAATTAGACAGAACAATGAACTTAATATTTTCTTTCGCCAAAGATAAAAACAATGCAAAAACTATTACTAGGATATAGTATCTATTACTAGTATAGGTTAAAAAGCTGGATTAAACATTTATACAAATATAGTCGACTTTATTCGATTCGAACCCCTCTTTAATTCAAAGTTATCACGCGTTCTCTGCAAAATCTCTTTATATTTCGTACTAAATCAATACATTTTCATGCATTTGGTAATTCGAACAAAAATAATCATTGCTATATGATAAAACGATGTTTTAATTCGAACTCATTGGCGTCCAACACTCCACAATTCAAAGTTGTAGAGAGAAACAGGTCGAATGATTTTAATGTAAGTTTTGGCGACAAGTTAAGGAACCACGATCCTCATTCGATATCTAACAACGCTTCTGTTTACAAAACGATAGTGATGAAAACCATTTCAGGCACTTATTCTTTTTAAAAAAATTATTGACCCGTCTGAGCAGCAGCAATATGTTTTAAAGCAAACCAGTATAACAGAGTTCTTTCGAAACATTCATTAATTCAAATTATGAATAGATTTATGTATATATAGGAATATACGTGTGTAGACATACTACGTATACATATAACATACATATGTACACCCTAAACTTTTTTCATTGTTATACATTTATATGTATAAATAGCAGTTAGTAAATAATTATTATAAAATTTTTAGTAAATAATTATAAAGTATTTTTCTCCCACAAATTTCAAACCATTTGACATTTGAAACATTCGATATTTCGAAATATTTTAGGCGTCTCCTGAGTTTCGGATTAACGAGAATCGACTGCATAATAAATTTGAGTCAGACATGTTAGTAACACTATTTATAACTCAAGAACGGCTGTAGCCTGTAGGGATATGGTTGGAAATTGGTGGCGAGATAGTTTAGAACCAGGAAACAGACATTAGATATTTAATTCTGTTCGATCGATAAAGAAAAAAATACTAAATAAATTCCAATATCTGGTTATTTACGTGTTCTAAGGCGAAATAGAGTTCAGCTTTACATATATAACTAATTCGCAGTCAAAAACTAGCATATAATAAATACACAATATTTATGAATATTAAAACTGTACCATATTACCTTAAGCGCTTGCATCCTATGCAGTACAAACGGCAGCGGTGAGTGTTGTAAGTCGTGTTCCCTAGCAGCCACCCAGGCCAGGGCAGGCGCTGGGTCAGCGGCGGTCAGAGCTGCAGCGCATCGCTGGAGCTGCGCGAAGGTACTACCACGCTCAGCGTTCACCACACGAGCCTCGGACACTAATGTATCACCAACATCCTCTAAACCCTGAAAGTATAAGTCATAGAAATTAGATTTATTTCTTGACCAGCTGTCCGACATCAATTTCGCCCGCGTGGAGTTCGGTTATATCGCGTTTCCAAGGGAACCTTTCAAAAGTCTGGGATAAAAACAATCCTATGTTCTTTCTCAAAGTCAACTCTATGTCTGTACCAAATTTATTTAAAATCAGTTCAGTGGTTTAGGCGTGAAAGCGTAACAGACAGACAGAGTTACTTTCGCATTTATAATATTAGTAGGGATAAAGCCTTAATTTGAAGTGGAAACTATGTAGTAATATTCATTTAAATGAAACTAATAATGGTCACTGAAAAGTAACCGAAACTCAAGTATGTAATTTTTTTAACAAAATTAAAGTATTAATAGTATACCTGAACAATATTAGTTACATTTAAATGAATAAAACTCACGAAAGTCTTAGATCTCATTAGTTATAATATTCTTGTCAAAATTTATTAGATCTACATAATAACAATTGGCATTCAAATACTGTTTCTTTTTATTATTCCTCTCACAATAATTAATTAACATAAATGACTTTATATTCAAATAGAAGATTTTTATGACCCTGAAATCATACTAGGTAGTAATTGTAGTTAATAAGGCTTCATATTAAGTACCTGTCTATATAAATGCTGTGCGATAGCTTGTTCCATAATCGGTCTGTTTGTATCTGAACAGAATGACTCTGCTTTTGGTGCGACGGCTGCATAATCAGCTATGAAATGTCTGTCAATAGACTTGCCCACTCTTGACACTGTTGCATGAAGCTCCCTGTGATCTGTTAGACAATAAATAATAGTTTATATTTAATAATCAGTATATAATAAATATTTATAATGTTATATTTTTGTTATAATAGCATCAATATAGAGTACATAATGAGGTCCAAATTGAACAATATTGGATGTGTATAAGTTGAACATTAAGGGAGATGCCAAAAATTCCAGTTATATAGTTTTCAACTTGTAGAAAATTTCGACTTCGATTTTGATTCAATATAAAGAGATTAGATTAATTCTGGAAAGTTTTAGGTTAGAGAGGTAAAATGAATGAATTTTAATCAAAAATAATAACTTAAACACCTGACACCATGCAAGCAAAGGTGTTGGTAATTCTATTCATTGTATAGTCCTAAATCGCTTTCTAAGAAACAATGATGTCGACAAATTCTTAAAGTGGATAACTTATTTATTTTATAACTAAAAAGGTAATAAGTCTCAAACATTTGAGTTGTAAAGGTTGTAAAATAAAACATTGATAAGCTTGAGATACAGAGGTAAATTTTAGTTATGGAGGGAAAATATGAATTAAAATGATTAGAAGGGACCCATTGCTTATTTTGGCTAATACATTAATGAAATTTCAAGGTGTTCAACTTATCCAGGTTCGACTTAAAAAGGTTTTACTGTAATAATTTATTTTACTAAATAATTTAAATTTAACTAACCTGTAGACAATTGGAATACTGTCTGTTTCACTGATGAAGCCAAATCATTGACAAGCTTTGTTTGAGACTGTGATAAAACTGTGTTTGGTGGCTCTGGAAATTAAATAAATGAAAAATAAATATTTCACATTAATATAAAACTTATATATAAATACTAATGATTAGACAATAAACTATTTCTAACAATAATTATGTATTTTGTATTAAAGATGTTACCTGCTACATTCGTGATTCCCTTAATGCTATGTGCATATAAACTTTTTAAAAAAGGTCATTATTCTTAGACTTGGGGCAAATTATATGATCAAAGCAAAAAAAAACACAAAAAGCAAAAATTCCTTTTTTTTCATTATAATTTATTTATTCATTTTAACATTGCAATAGACTTGTGTAAGGTTTATTTTTAAAGGTAGCCTTTGAAACAAGCAATTCAAAAAAAAAGGAGAAAGTTACACAAAGACTTAAAATATGCCAAATCATTAAGGCATACAAATACTGTATTTATTCTAGATAGACTCACGTTTACATATTTCTTTCCTCAGTTCTTCGACTTGTTTAATAACGTCATCTAATATTTTGTTTGTATTGTCATTTAATGCTGTAAATTTTGATGTGGCTTTGTCTAAATCCTGTTCGACTCCTAAGCAAGAATCCATTATTGTGGAGTGAATCTACGTTTTCTTTGTCACTTGAATAATGGTGATTTTTATTTGGAACCAACGGCTATTTTTTATAAAAGTATTATTGGCCACGATTTATGAGCAAATCATTACAAAACAAATGTTTATTTCTTAAATCATATAGGAAATATGACAATTTTCCTCTCTTGTCAGATATAACAAATAACTGTCAATTTTTTTTCCCAATTTTTTTAACCTCCGGACATCTAGGTTTGGATTCTTATCCACTGTATAATAATTATATTTAATATAATTGATTCAATTATTAAATAAAATAGTATATTTTATTGGCAAATATTTTAAAATATTCCATTATATTTAACAAAATAGTTCTAAGAAAAAACAATAATGTTTTTTTTCATTCAATTAAAGAAGTCTATGACTTGTGACCATTCATTCAATCATTCCATTCCGTTCGAAGGTTGCACAATTATTGGGTTACGGGATATTGAATAGGTTATATTTTATTATTGAGTGTTACATATTCTTTAATAGTTGTTATTTATTATAACAATGGCTCAAAGTAAGTTGAATGATATGGCAGGGAAATTCGCCAAAGGTGGACCTCCCGGCCTTGGTATTGGATTAAAAGTAGTTGCCGTTGTCGGTGCAGCCGCTTACGGAATTTCCCAATCTTTATTTACTGTTGAGGGTGGACACCGTGCGATCATGTTCAACAGAATAGGAGGTGTTCAACAGGAGGTTATGGCTGAGGGACTGCATTTCCGCATCCCTTGGTTCCAATACCCCATCATTTACGACATCAGGTCACGTCCTCGCAAGATTTCTTCTCCCACTGGTTCAAAAGACTTGCAAATGGTTAACATTTCACTGAGAGTACTATCCCGTCCAGACTCCAACTTTCTTTCCACTATGTACAGACAACTGGGTACCGATTATGATGAGAAGGTATTACCTTCCATTTGTAACGAAGTTTTAAAATCAGTTGTTGCTAAATTCAATGCTTCCCAGCTTATCACTCAGAGACAGCAAGTATCTCTATTGATTAGAAGAGAATTGGTTGAGAGAGCTGCCGATTTTAACATAATTTTGGATGATGTATCACTCACTGAGTTAAGTTTTGGTAAAGAATATACAGCTGCCGTAGAAGCTAAACAAGTTGCTCAACAAGAAGCCCAGCGCGCTGCTTTCGTTGTTGAAAGGGCTAAGCAGGAGCGTCAACAGAAGATTGTACAAGCAGAGGGAGAGGCCGAGGCTGCCGAGATGTTGGGTAAAGCCATGGGAATGAACCCCGGTTACCTAAAGCTGCGTAAAATCAGGGCCGCACAAAGCATATCTCGTATGATTGCTCAGTCTCAGAACCGAGTGTTCCTGCCCGGTAACAGTCTTATGATCAATCTTCAAGATCCCTCCTTCGACGATTTATCAGAAAAGCTCACAAAGAAGAAGTAACATGAGGCTGAGAAAGAGCAAACTCTCACCCCGGAGCCTCTTTCGAAGGATGAAACTGTTGTAATTATAAGCGGGGCTTCGTCAGTTGCAATTTAAAATATACCTATAGCATTTTTTCAAGGGAATGTACTTCTATTTTCATGATGTGTTGCATTTTATGTTACTTAGTTGTAGGTTTAGTGTGTATGATAATCGAGAATTACATTAAAAATCTTAAAAATATTTGTCTTATTTCTGACAACCTCAAATCATTTCTGAATTAGTTATTATACCAGTACAAAATATTTAATATTTGTTCGAAAGATTAAACATTATATCCTTATATCAGGCTAAAGTAAAATTCCAGTTTAAATTCCATTAGTGAAATTTTATATATTAAGTTAAATATTGAAGAACCATTTTACAATTTAAAAAGACTAAATTATTTTTAACAAAGGTACCTAGGTAAATAATAACTCTTAAATTAATATCACAAATAACAGAAGTTATCCATATGTGGAGAATACTTCTTAAAAGTCTATCCTTTCATAGAAACCAACATAATTTTATGACTAACTGATAAGAAATAACCTTTTTTTTGTCTGTTTCATAAATTTGAAAATGTTTTAATTGTTTGCTGCTAATAGGTATCTATATTTATTTAGTATACATATATTTTTACATGATTTCTTAAGAATCATGAGTTATACACTTAATTCTAGTATTTGTCTTGTGCTTAAGACCTCTTTACTGTGTTAAACCTGAATTTTACAAACCCTTATTATAGAAGTTTATTCTTTCTTACGTTAAGGATATTCAAAATAATCAAACTAATGAGTGAAGTAACAAATACAACATTTTATGCAGTAAGTGTTGAATTTGGTAATATTTTTTTTTATTAATAATAGGTATATCTAACATATAAATGTCTAAATATTAATATTATAAATCTATCATAAGCCCTTATAACTACACACCTAACAAATTCTCGATTTAGTTTTGTTATAAGCATCAAACAAGGCTGTTATTTTTTAAATAATACAACCTAGTAAAACAAAAGAATTTATTAACAATTACACTCTAATTTTTAGCCATAGTATTTCATACATTGAATAAATCTACTTTTTAAGAGCTGACGGTTGAGGGCATCTGTACTTGGACATTTCTATTTCAGCCTCGAAATAGCTCATGTTATCATAGCAGAAATATTCTGGAACTTTGTAGGGTCCAGACTTGTTGGGGTCTACTCCTGGTCCCAGAGGTTCAGATGCATTATGTATAACTGCACTGCTTAGGCCAGGAACGTTAGCATTAACTGAAGCCGACGATGGAGTAGAAGACGAGCTCTGGTTCTGACCAGCCCCTTGACTACAACATCTCACGACAATATTGGAAACACTAGGGGTGCAAACCGCTGCTCTTGACAACATATTTGAACTACTTCTTTGTTACACAACCAAATCGTAAGTGAAAAAATAAATAGTTGTCAAATATGAATTTCTTAAAACTTGACATTCAATTTTTTAATAGACTATGGTAAGTGACACATTACTTCAAAGAATTAAGTTATTATATTTGGTGACATATTTTAGGACATATTCTTACTAGTAAAATATGGCTAATTTAAAAATAAAATTGATCACATGTATTTATGATATTTATAATGTATGTGTACCAGGATAAAAGTATTTGAGTCCTTTAAAATCAATGTAAATTGTAAGAAAATTGTGCAATATTTGAAGAACTATTAAATTATTGAGATGCATCTAATTTAACCTCAATTAATTATTAATAGTGGAGTCAATCGTTAGTTTCGAAGCATTGCATGCTTTCCTTTTCTTTCCCAAAATCTTGGCTCTCGCTTTCGCAAAGACGTCTGTGTTGTCTATGGATCTTTTTCACGACTGTTTTGGATAGTTTATCTACCTTGCTTATTTCGCCGATTTTTCGGAATAGGAGTGAAAAATGTTTATGATTTAATGTTTCTTTTGTACTTACAAGTACAAGAATGTGTTCTGATTACAGTTAAGTGTATCTCTTAAAATATTATACTGTAAAACGCTAGATCAGCCATTTACATGAAAGGTAAGTACAAAAAATTAGAGCCTCAATATTTTTTGTTTTGGTATAGAGCGATAGTTTTGTCCTTACAACAAAGATAACGCTATTGCGTCTTTATATTAAGAATAGTTGTTTTTCATATGTTTATGTTACCAGAATATCGCAAGATATTATGCACATATCGTCTACATATACTACTAATCATATGTATACCATTGCCGCTATTTTGTGATATATTTGTATAGTTACTCATATAACCCAACCAAATCTAGAAGCACTTGCAAGAAGGCCGTTCCGATTTATGCAATACGTATCCACACAGAGTATTATACCTTTAGTGGGATTTACGCGTTCATCTTCATTTATCGGAGTTAATGTGTGTTAAACTTAACAGGGACTTAAAATCAATATATTATTTTTAACAAAGGACTAATTCAAATTAGAAAAACTTATTAGAAATGTTTAAAAACTTGTCAGCAGTCAGCGAAAGAAGTGTCAAGTATTAATAAAAGTTTGTTTTTTACTCTGTGGTTTTAATACTATTTTTGGAGTATTGGTTTATACCGCTTCCAATTTTATTTTACGTTTCGGGAGTTTAACTTATTCATTATTCTTGATGCTGTTATGTTACCATTTAACATTATAAATTCATATTTATCTCAACGAAAAGCAGTGATTCTATAATAACTTTGAGAAAGAGACAGTTTTAGTGAAATGGCGGACACCGTTCCCGTTTGCGATGTTCTTAGTGAAGCAATGGAATATTTATCAAAACTGGGATCTAACTTGCGAGTTCGATCGGAAAATCTTAAAGAGAAAAGATTGAAGAAAGAAAAATTAAAGAATTCTCATGCCTTGCAGAAAGCCGCAAGTAAGGTTCTTTTGATATGTGAATTGTCGAAGAAATCTATTGAAAATGTTGAAACCGGCGTGAAGAAAGTACTTACTCGGATCGCCGCTAATCAAAGCAACGTTAGTGATGGCGGGAAAATTGCAAGTCGCAAATCGTCATTCGTTGACAACGATGTTAAATATGAATACTTTGATTATAAATCTCGCAAGTTAAAAATTAAACAAAAAGTTAACTTAGACCACTACATGTCAGTTAAAGTGTTAACTAAACCCTTGCCAATGGATATGCAAGAAAGGTATCCAGTTTATCACGACTGTGAATTATATAGAAACAGGAAGAAACAAATGTGCAACTCGGAGAACAATAACAAGGATTCATCAGAAACAAAGGAGCTGGACAGCAATATTAATGTAGAAGGTAACAGCTCTAATACGGATATATCTAATCAGGATAAAGAAAATCATTCAGAAAACACAGAAATTATTGATGATGTCAGGAAACGCAGACTATCCAAAACAAAAGGCAGTAAATCAACTAAAACCAAGAAATTTAAAAATATAAAAGTAATCAGCGATAGTTCGGGTAGTGATACAGAAAAGGAAAACAAAAATGAAAATGATGTGGCTGCAACTCAAACTTCAATTGAATGTGATACATATAATAAAGAGACAAGTAATGATGAAGCAAATACTGGTGATATAACATCTACTGTGATTCCGGACCCTGGTAGTACAGAACAAAATAAATACGAGGGAAATGAATTAGACACAAATTTAACAATACCAAAGGAAAATTATAACACGGAGAGTAATGTAACGTTGAATGAAAATGAAAATAAACAAAATGAATCAGATGTAGAAGAAATTCCTGTTACATCAATCGATAGTAATATAAATAGCAATGAAAATACTGAAAACGTTCCATCATCAAATGATGTGAACTGTTCAAAAACTGGTGATCAGCGTGAAGAAGAAATGTCTGTTGATAAAACAGATGAAATAAAAAATAATGATAGCCAGAGTTCAACAAATAAACCATTTATTAAATGTGTCAATATAAATAAACTATTGAAAGATGATAAGAAAGCATTCCCAACTAAAAATGATAAGGAAGATAATATAATACAAAAAAATAAGCAAAAAGACAACAGAAATAGGAGGAAAAGTAATAATTTAAAGGGTTTTGATCAAAATAAGAGAAAGCCTTTAAAAGAGGGTCAAAAACACCAAAGTGGAGACAGTGCCAAGAAAAATGATGATGATGAATATTGGAGAGTGAAGCGTAGTGAAGTGGAAAAGTTTAAGCCTAAAGATTTCCATATTAATATGATGAGACTGCCAGAATTCACTCAAGATTACCTAACAAGCAACGGCTTGAAAAGAATTACTCAAAATGGAAATACTGTGCTTGAATTTACCAAAGAGACTGAAAAGAGTATATCTAAAGACGTCTTGAATGTTAAAAGCTCTCTGTTGAATGACTCTGACTCAGAAAGTGAAGAGAATTTACAAAATCTGGCGGAAAATCTTAAAAAAGACCTTAACAAAACTAATAAGGATGATGGAAATCCTGATTCTAACGAAGTTGATGTAAGTCAAAGCAATCAATGTGATGAATCTATTGAAAATACTGAGAGCAATAATCTAGAAGACAGAAGTAAAACACCTGATGACACTGTTAGTAACAAAAATGATTCTACAATAGTAGCACAAGATGAAGTTAAATCATCCTTGCTGAATGATTCAACTGATGAAAGTAGTCCGAATAAGAAGAGGAAACGACATAGCAATAGTGTCTCACTACCATCGAAACGAAAACACATGATGGAGAGCATACACGCTAAGAAAATGTTGCTCACATACTCATCGAGCTCGGACACAGAGGATGAATCGTTAACGGGTACTCTGAAAAAAATAAGAGATTTTCTGTTAACAGGGAACTCTTCGGGCGATGAGAAAAATAAAGATAAAAACGAAAATGAGTCGTCTGAGTCGAGTTCGATATCTTTGAATAAAAGAAAAAGATCTCGAAGCAAGATTGAGGAAAATGTAAAAGATAAAGATATATCAGATAGTGAATCTAAGAAAACATCGAGCCACACAGATGATAACGAAGATGTATCATGTTCCAGTTCCAAAAAGGTTAGGAGAGAGTGATTATTTGTTTTAACATTGTAATACGCCTATAACTATAACTTTGCTTATATGAAGCGGGCTTTCTTAGCATTTATTGTATGTGTATAGTGACTTCCATTAAATGTAATTATTCATATGAATGAATTATAGTTATATATTATTGTTTCAGTAATACTGATATTAAATTTTGATTTGAATGTCTGTCTTTCATTTGAGTCTTCACATTTAGGTACACATAGGTCAGGTTACAGTGGTTAGGGTTTAAGTTTTTATCACAATTTCATACACAGAGTTACAATTATTACAGATGGGGCGATCTAAATCTATTGAAGGTAGCAGCAGCCAAAATACAGATTCTCAGGATACCTTTGACAAAGACATTGATGGGTAAATATTTCAGAGGGATGATATATTAGAGGCGGGGGAATAAATGTAGTATGTCTTAAACATATTAACTTGTATTTATATTGGGACTCTGTGAGAGTTGTGATAGTGATAGCCTCTATATCTTATTAAAACAAGACCTATTCCCTTTCCCTGTCTACATTCCTTTACTCACATACATATGTACATATATGTATATCGGTTCCAAAACAAATCAGGTTATTTGATATGTATGTTTGTTTGTGCTCATGTTTGTTACTACACAATATGCATGGATTTGGGCGGTGTGATGAAATTATTGGTATGTAGTCGAAATTTACAAGCTGCTTTAAAAAATAATTTATATTCAATGTTTCTAAAACAAACGGTGTATGGGGATTATTATTCGTGTTTGTTACAATTTTTCTTACAATTCATCTGATAATAAAATTAACGACGAATTCAAGTATGAAAACAATGTTTGAAAGCTTCAACAGTGGGTGATGGTGAAATTTTTGATCACTATAACAAATTCTGTTCTTTATTCTTACTCACAGTTGTTTACTACATGAAGATAATTGAGTTTTACATTCGTATTTACTTTGAGAATGTAATATTAGTAGAACTGGTTCCTTTGAAATTAACAGAATTTGATATTTTTTTAAAGTATCTCTTTGTATGTCTTATATTTGCAAAAGACAAAGTTTAAAATTGTTTCATAATAAAAATAGAAAAAATATATAAATTTTAAATATTGCATTATAAAAGTTTTTATTCGAGTACTTTTATAGTCCATTTCTATATAAGTTGATAATCTTATAAACAAAGCAATCGACCACGATTACTCCGTTCTTACGTACTATGGAATATCAGTCCTGATAATAATCACGTCTCAATGAACCCACCACTTTTTTAACAATTTTTTCATCATTAAACAACTATGTATATTTTTATTGTATAAAATTTCTTTAAACACGAAAAATTTATTGCATTTGTCATATTGACACGATCATTTTTTACTCATCAAAGTCTATTTGTCATTGAAAAATGAGTGTTGTACATTATAATTATAGAATAAACTACATAGTTATTGCCCGCGACTTTCTCTGCGTTACTTTCAAGTTAAGTAAATATATAGCTGACTGAGGGAACTCTGTTCTTCCTCAAAAGCAGCAGTAAATGACACGATTTTCTTTTTTAAATACAATTGTTTATAATCATTATTATTTGAACTTAAACCAACTCACAAATTTTAAAAGACTTGATTATAACAAACACTAGTGTATTCAACAAGCTGAGATGAAAGTAAGTCAATCAATCAAAATTGCTTTTTTTTTCGGTATTTAGCGGGGGAACTAAACCTAGATAACGCTAAAAAGTACAATTATTATTAATATATTTTTTTAAATAGTTAGTGAGCTCGTCTGGAGGCCGACGTACAAATATCTTCGGGGATTTTGTATTGTTGAGCCGCTTTAAGGATAGAGTAACGCTTGACGTTTGATTTTATAGCCCTAGTGTCTTCTTTCGCAAACGTACAATCGTTAGTTTGAGGTAATTTCTTTTGGTTAGTTAGAGCAACTATCGAAAGACTAAGGGCTTTACGTATAATTTCTAAAGCCCTATCATGACGACGCGAGTATTGATCCAGGCCATCCAGGAGTATTCTACATCCCACCAGCAAATAATTGTCAGTTTCAACTGAACAAATTTTTTACGGTACCTTTATCGCTTCTCAATTAAAATGCGTTATTTAAGTGCTATTGGAATGCCAAAATCTCCTCCTAATGCATTCATAAAAACATTAAAAAACTCAGTAACAAAATAAATTTAAATTATTTTTTAAATAAACACATTAATATAATAATTAAGATTAAAGTACTTACATCACTAGGGGCATAGAAAAGTTTCTGATTTGATCACGTTTTTACAAGATTGCTAAATTCTAATGAAACTATTTACTATACTATACTTCAAGTTATACCCACTCTCATTAAATAAACTTACAATAAGCCTTCTTTGGATCATATTTTATGAAATTGGACAGTTAAAAAAATGTGTTATAATTAGTATTATAATTTGTTATGTTGCGTTCAAAACCAAATTCTTAAGAAAATTTATTTAATAAAAAATTTAAGGTGTAATTTGAAACAATTATTAAATTAAAAGAAACTCCACTCTACAGCTTAACAGTCAATAAATATTGAAGAAACAAAAAACTTTTAAAAAGTAAATATTTTAAATTGTAAGCTTACTTCAAGTTTTCATTTTCACACTACATACCTTAGCAGTTTTTCAGTCATAAATCATGTGACATTTATACATAGTATTGACGCAGGTTACTGAGTGAGAAACGGGAAACGGTACGTGCGTAGTGGGACGATGTAAACTTGATTCATATTGATTACAAAAACTATCTATAAAATATATCAATAGGTCTTTTCTTCAGAAAAGTATAGAGTTGTGCGAAGTGTTTCTGTGTCTTAAAACTTATATGATTTTTGACATAAACATCTCTAAAGACTGAAATCTTCCAAATATCTATGAGCAACACACGGAGACTTGTCCTATTAATAAAAGATAGGAAAACGAAAAGTTTCTACGAATATTGATCACACGAATTATTGCCATAAAGTATATGGTTCGATATTGTAGTTAAAGAAAAAAACGTGATGAAATAAATATATTTTCAATGAATGATTTGTTCCAGGCTAACAAATTTAAAGTCTCTTGACAAGAAGCATCGTCGTCGAGAGTCCAGTTCGTCGGCCGAAACACAGAACACGAAAAAATCCACAAAAATGCCGAAGCCGTGCATCAGTGACGAGGTTTTCCTCAAGGCGGAAAGCAGTTCGGACAACGCGTCTGTTGGAGACAGCGATGGGGGATACGGTTAGTAAAAATTATATTATTACTATCTGCGCCCCGCGGTGTTACCCCCGGATTTCCGGTATGTAAAGTAGCCTATGTGTTATTCCTGGTTGTCAGCAACCTGAATACAAAATTTTATCAAAATCGGTTCAGCCGTTTAAGCGTGAAGAAGTAACAAACATACACACACTCACAAATTTTCGCAAATATAATATTAGTAGGATATACATAGTAGCTGACGTTGTTTTGCCATATAAAAAAATAGGGATTGGTGATAAAAAGTAACGTTTTTGGGTTGTATGTATTTTTAATGGTACATTATAAAAAATAAAAACAATAAACTTCGTTCCAAAAAAATTTATCAAGGGTGAACAACCCTTATGATTTAAAGGTATGAAAAATAGATGTTGGCCAATTCTCAGACCTACTCAATATGCTCACAAAATTTCATCAAAATTGGTCGAGCCGTTTCTGAGGAGTTCTCTGTCTAACACCGCGACACGAGAATTTTATATATAAGAAGATGTAATTTTGGCCAAAAAAAACGTGCTGGGTCCATCGTTGTATGGAGAGGAGCTTCAACAGTGCCTGGGACTTTCGACCCAGGTGTAGGTTTAAGAGGCCCCTATCTAACGTGCGTTAAACGCTCACCTACACTGTCCAAGCTCCTCTCTCTGCCTAACCAAATTTGAAAAGATTTACAGTACTTGTTAATGTACGAAAAATGAAAATACAATATCTTTTTAGAGTCTACTTACGTATTTATAAGAAAAGATCAAAATTAAGAATAGGTTTTCATAATCTCAGCTTAAAAGACAGGAATTTAAGGATAAGAAATTTTAAGTAGCTTCAAAATAATTTAATTAAAAAAAATCTATTATTTAATACATTCTTCGTTCTAGTCAGAATTTTTGAACGAATACATGTGTGAGAGCGAGGGAATCCTCATGGAACCAAGACCCTCGTTTCTTAAAATGCTTTCGAATCTGGGCGTTCAGTACCGATAACGATTGACGGGTTTCCATTTTGAAGCAAAGATTAGTCCCACACCCACAATGATACTTGTTTATTGCTAACAAATTTTAACAATGAATGTCAAGAACTGTAAAAAAGGAGAGATTCTTCTACCACAGTAGTTCCTAAGAGCGACCAATGTAGAATGAATACTGTACGATTATGCTTGGACTGTTATATGGTAAATTATGTATTACAATTGTTGGTACTTGAACAAAACTAATCACCTGATGTATTACCAAGATTATTAACGTCGTTGAAGTGGCTTATTTGATAACAATTAAAATGAAGGAATACGCGAAAAGGAATATTTTTGATATGATTAGCCTCTCGGTTCGACATTTATAAGATTGAAAAAAATTTACATCACTGACACACATATTTATATGTGCCCCCTTTTATTAGGTTTAACTTGCTCTAAAATTGTCCAAAGACATTTACTCTACTTATGTTTCTTTAACTATCAATTATTATCAATTCGTACATGATATTGTGCTTAAAATTTGTATTTTTACAAAAAGTTCGGTCCAACAGACTGATAACAGGCAGTATTCCGTTTCTCTTTCACATATGTATCTAATATCATACTAAGTATTACATATATGAGTTGATAGCTGAAAATTGTCTTTTGCTTAACTATGTAAACGCATAGTATGGGATTTTTTCATATATTTATCTGCCTATATGATATGATATGATAATATGATATGACATTGATACTTATATACTTATTTTTAATTAACGTGTTAAATGTTGTTTGCAGAAGCTGAAGAGCTTCCACCCGTCACGTTGTCAGGTTTGAACGGAGACAGCGTGAGTCTCCTCGCCAAAGACGATCTGCTTGAAGAGAGCGATTCGTCCAGCTCGCACGTTAAAAGCTCACAGGTTACAACACTAACTAAATATATATATTGGTACTAGCTTTCAGCCCGCAGCTTTGCCCGCGTGGAGTTCGGTTACATCGCGTTTCCAAGAGAACCTTTCAAAAGTCTGGGATAAAAACTATCCTATGTTCTTTCTCAAGGTCAACTCTATCTCTGTATCAAATTTCATTAAAATCAGTTCAGTGGTTTAGGCGTGAAAGCGCAACAGATAGACAGACAGAGTTACTTTCGAATTTATAATATTAGCAGGGATATATCTACATTTATTAATCGATTCTTTATTTTTGTTCCAGGATGGCAAAAAGAATGAATCTGAAGATGGCAAGTGAGTTGGTTTTCGTACATTTTTATTTGAATAATATTTTAAATCTTAGTTAACATAATTTGTAATACTATTATTTATTCAATAACTATGTGTTATTATTTACTTATCTTTCTTATATTCCAGTTTAAAATCCAAGTCTCGTCGCAAGCTGGCCATATCATCTGATTCTGAAGCCGGTTCCTCTCGCAAGAAGGACAGGGACGTGAAGCTGAGCGACTTCGAAGACTCTGAAGACGACTCCGAGCCTAAGAAGACCAAGAGGAAGAAGAAGGGCAGCGGCAGCGACGGCTCGGACGGCTCCTCCGCTGACGAGAGGTAACCGACATACTTACACACACACACACACATACACATACACACATACATACATACACACGCACATATAGAGATAGCCTAGAGCCAGAAAAAAGACGGGATACTTTTCATGCGATCGAAGAAAAAATATAAAAACCAAAATCTTTTTATTTACTTTATAAGTTAATAATGTATACACAAAAAAAAATCTTTATATTCTGAAGTGAGATTTGTAATATTTAATATTTATTTTTCTCAATATATTTTCAGTAAGAAGAAACGTCGTCGCATAAAAAATGTGGACGAGAGCGATGGTTCAGGATCAGAGACGGAAACTGAAGGTAGAAATAAACACGGGAGAAAAAATATACGGAAGGTGAGGGAATATATCATATTTGTACGCGGTAGAGGTGGGAGTGAGAGGTATAACAGCGAAATCTCTTTACAACCTACTAAAAGACTTGGGCTTGTCCAGAACTCACATTAATGCATTCTTGGAACGTACATCGAAGGCAGCCCTATTAGGTTCTTTCCAAATTTGGTTAGATAGGGAGAGGAACTTGGACAGTGGAGGTGAGCGTATAACGCGCGTTAGATAATGGTCCCTTAAACCTACACCTGGGTCGCAAGCCCCACGCACTGTTGAAGCTCCTCTCACTACAACGATAGACCCGACACCCAAATAGTGAATCCATTGAATGCTAAGAGGTTTCGTCTCATAATAATATTACTGTACTACACACTACTGTAGTGTTGTTTTAAATGTTGATAATAACATTCCTGTACTAGAAATCTTTAATATTGTATTAAATGTTACAGGTCATGAGTAAAAATCAATTGGAGGAGGCGACTAAAAAAGCAGCCAGGGAAGAAAAGGAAAGAATCGCTCGGATAGCGGAGAGACAGAAACTGGTGGGTTAATAAACTGAATCAATTATATATTACATAATTAGTAATAGATTTGACTGACTTAATAATTAAAAAGATAGTTTTCATTTAACTACTAATTATGAGTTAAATGAAAATTATCTTTTTTAGAATCATACTAGCTTTCCGCCCGCAGATTCGCCCGCGTGGAGCTCGGTTATATCGCGTTTCCAAGAGAACCTTTCAAAAGTCTGGGATAAAAACTATCCTATGTTCTTTCTCAAGGTCAACTGTATCTCTGTACCAAATTTCATTAAAATCAGTTCAGTTTTTTAGGCGTGAAAGCGTAACAGACAGACTGACATAGCGTTACTTTTGCATTTATAATATTAGTAGGGATGTAAGATTTTCGCGTTTATTAATTAAAATAACTAATATTTTCGGATGCACCATCGCGTTTTTTATTATTTTAAACTACATACTCCCGATGTTTCGCTAACTTTGCAGCAACTGTGATCTCGGGTAGACAAAATGAACATATATCATTATGGTTTATTTTCAACAGTTAATGTTAGTTTTTTAATTATACTAATTATTATTTTCAGTACAACAATTTAGAATTCGATGAATCAGGAAAGCCGGATGAGGTTGTGTTAGATAAAGTTGTTTTGGATTTTGATCCGGAGACCAAAGAACCTTTGATAGAGGTTGATAAAGGACTCGTTAAGAAATTGAAACCGCACCAGGTATGTTATATGGATAAATAACCATTTAATATAGTTTTTATACAGGGTGACTGGTGAATTACTATCAATATTAATTAAGGAGAATACTCGGTACATGATTCTCATTCGAATTATGTAAAAAAAATAGGTACTTAATTTTTGACCAAATTTCCGTATAAATAAATAAAGTGTAGACACGTTCCAAGTGTTCCAAGTGTGGATGCGTGCGGCGGCGTGCTGATACAACACCACGCCGCCGACGTGTGTGTTTGTGTGTGTGTGTATACCTAATCTGTAGGGTGTTCACACGATGCGTAATTAATTACATAACTTTTGGTTAACTTTACTTAGAAGTTTATTAATATTTATGTTATATTAATTTTTATTTTGTCATATATGATCGTCAAATATCACGTCCTCAAATATCGATAGTAATGCACCAGTCACCCTGTATATAAAGTAAAAATCTTTGCTAAGTAAAGAAATTTTTTGTCTAAAAATCTATTATTTATATCAAAAATTAATGAATTCATCGTGAATATTTTGAATTGATGAAAAATAAATTATATAATTTTTTCAGTTTATACAAAATTCAACACTATTAAATTTCGTCTATAAATCATGTTTAATTTTTTTTATATACAAATGTATCCAATTTTTTAGGCTAACGGTATAAAGTTTATGTGGAACGCATGCTTCGAAAGTGTCAAGAGAATCAAGAAAGACAAAGGCTCCGGATGCATACTGGCGCATTGTATGGGTCTAGGGAAGACGTTACAGGTCTGTAAGAATTAAATTATATATATATTAGAAAATAGTGATTTATCTTTGTCTATCTATATATGAGAAAAACCAATAATAATCGGTGAAATTGACATTCTGATAAAATACAAGATAACGATTTTTGTAATATTCGTTTCGTTGTCCGTGTGAACATGCAAAATACAAACAAACTAAAAACATGCAAACAGATTGTAATGTTAAATTCTATCCTATATGTCATTCTGTCTTAATCAACAATATTAGATGGAATCATCAAATTCATTACAGCATATATGTATACATACATATATCCTACAAACTTTCCCATTTATAATATTATTAATATATAACACATAATATTATACAACGTGTAACGTAATTAACGCACACCCTCAAATACCCCAATGCGTATATAATAATATAAACGCAATGCATACACCAAATATTATTTATATGAGCGTTTGCATTTTTATTTGTGAAATTAGTTATCCCAATTTCGTGCAAATAATATGGTCCGCTATTCAGCGACACTCTGTACTCGCCGCGCCCGCGCCCCTCTCTCCGAGTGCCGTCCGACAATAATAAGAAGTAGGTAACAATAAGTACACGAAATAACTACATACATTATGATTTTTCTTTCCATCACACTTTTCAAGCTTTAGATTGTTGACATTGAATTTTCTTTTTAATGTGAAGCCAATATTTTATAATTACTGATTTGTTAAATTAAATTTGTAAATAAGAATTATTAAACAGCTGATAACGCGTGATTTGATTAGACACCACAATACCTACGACAATGTTAAACACCGTCGGCCTGTTTAAATGGTGTGTATCAAAATATTTACAATAATTTAAAGATCATAAACAAACTTACAGTTTAATTTGCACTCGCACAGCGTTGTCGTTTTAAAACATTTTCAAAATGTCCACCGCCTTGTTTAATGCACTTTAATGACCGTTTTCGCAATTGTGGTTTTATTTTAGATAATACTGCAATGTCACTTTTCACTTTTACAAAGGCGGTTATTATCTTATTTTTTAGTTCCTCGGCACTTGTTATCTCTGTGTTATAAACTAGCGATTTAATTCGCCCCCACCAAAAAAAAATCGAGTCGCGTCAAATCAGCTGATCTAGGAGGTCAATGGACAAGTGCGTAGGTATTTGATGTATTGAATGTCAGTGTACCGAAACGACACAGCGAAATGCGCGACTAAGATTTTATTTGCACTTTACACTTGACCTCTTTTCGATAAGGTGGACGCGGCGTGACTAACTTACCCAAAACACATTTTGTTGACTTCGATGTTTAGTTATTATTACTTTATTCCCGGAATTATGCCTGCCGTCTCGCTCTATTGTAATGTTATTAAGCCGAAGAAAGAACGAGAAAGTAATAATTTTTGTATTACGCGGCTTTCTTTTATGCACTGTAGTGACCTTGCTGTGTGCCGGTGGTCGCTATGGTGTTGTGTGCGTAGTTATTATTAAATACTATTTTAGCCTTGAAATAAGTATCAGTTTTCTTTAATTGAATGATGATTACAAATTAAATATTTCATTTTAAAAATCTTAATATCCTGAATTACGATCCATTTTCGTTTCCATTAATTTTCGTTTCTATGAAGTGTTTAGATAACTGTGTGTAGGGTGACTATAATTTACTGAGTTCTATCTAAATTTGAGAAAAAAAATGACCTACATAAAAAACTATAAAAATCGATCCAGTATCCGATTCTGATCAAACTACTTTCAGGGTGTGCGTTAATTATGTTACACGTTGTATAATATGTTCCAGCATATAACATAAAACATACATATGTACATACAATCTTAACCATTTATAATATTATTAGTATACTAGCTGCGCCTCGCAGTGTTACCCGCGGATTTCCAGGATCTCCGGGTTGTAAAGTAGCCTATGTGTTATTCCTGGACGTCAGCTTCCTGTATACAAAAGTTTATCAAAATCGGTTCAGCCGTTTGAGCTTGAAGAATTAACAAACATACACACACACTCACAAACTTTCGCAATTATAATATTAGTAGGATTAGTATATAATGATAATATATATATGTCGCAGGTGGTTTCCCTCACCCACACACTACTGACTCACAGCGAACTCACAGGCGTGAACCGCGTGCTAGTAGTGTGTCCTCTCTCCACGGTCCTCAACTGGGTCAACGAGTTCCGTATATGGTTAAAACACACTGAGAACGAATATGACGTCGAGGTTTACGAATTGTCAAGGTCACTTGTATATTTTGTGTCTACACTAGTTTTTTAACTTGACCTCGTTTGATCTAAAGTTTAGAAATGGACTTTGAGAGATAGGAACTGAAGATATGTTTATTGGAAGTGAATTGGAGTTTAATAGGATAGGTTTAAAGTTAATAGGGTGTGAATGAATGAAAAATAATTGTAAAAATATGAATTTTAGTAATATATTTAAATCAAATAGGAGGTTAATATAATATAAAAATTTATACTCCTATTTCTTTTTAAGTAAATGATTTAATAAGATACTATATATAATAAAAATCCCCTATATATTTATATTGTTACATAGTTTAAAGTATTGTTTCTGTTGTAGATTCAAACAGAACAGCGAGCGCTCTTACCAGTTGTCGTCGTGGTTCGCGAGCGGCGGAGTGTGTGTGCTGGGGTACGAGATGTTCAGGAACCTGTCCTCCGACACCAACAAGAAGTTCAAGAAGAAGATGATGAAGAGCTTCCAGGAGAGCCTCGTGGACCCCGGTACGGACACACACACACACACACACACACGCACAAGTCGCAACGTTTAATTAAAGTTTCATTACCATCATAATTTCAGCCGAAAGATATCCACTGCAGGACAAAGGCCATAACATAATCTAAGTTTTTTTTTTATTTGAATGACACATCAACGGTATAATACAGGGTGACTGGTGAATTACTATCGATATTTGAGGACGTGATATTTGACGATCATATATGACAAGATAAAAATTAATATAACATAAATATTAATAAACTTCTAAGTAAAGTTAACCAAAAGTTAGGTAATTAATTACGCATCGTGTGAACACCCTACAGATTAGGTATACACACACACTCACACAGACGCGGTGGCGGCGTAGTGTTGTATCAGCACGCCGCCGCACGCGTCCACACTTGGAACACTTGGAACATGTCCACACTTTATTTATTTATACGGAAATTTGGTCAAAAATTAAGTGCCTATTTTTTTTACATAATTCGAATGAGAATCATGTACCGAGTATTCTCCTTAAATATTGATAGTAATTCACCAGTCACCCTGTATAATGTATGTAGCACTTAAAACTAAACATTTAAAACTGACACTTAACTGATGTGTGCACAAATTATAGACGTACACAGCACTGCTAAAGATTACTGTCTAGCTGCTTACAAAAATATTATAAAAAAATAAGTTAACAAAAGAAATTTCAATAACAAAACTATTACGAAGTTTATATATAATATTCTAATTTCGGTGCTTTTAATAATAGGAGTCTTCCATGAATCAAACCAAACGGTATTTGAAGCTAATTAATATATTTGATTATAGTAATGTAACCTTATTTTCCCAGGTCCGGACTTGGTGGTGTGTGACGAGGGACATCTCTTGAAGAATGAGAAGACGAGCCTGTCTCAGGCAATGAACCGAGTGAGGACGCTGAGACGGATAGTACTCACTGGAACACCGCTACAGAATAATCTTAAAGAGTGTTAGTACAACATATATACATATATTCACATATATAATATAGTCGTCGTCATCAGCCTATCAAAGCCCACTGCTGAGCAAAGCCCTCTCCTCACATGGAGAAGGTTTGAGCATTAATCACCACGCTTGATCAAGACGGATTGGCGATTTCAAATTTATAATTGTGAAATTATAGTTCTCCTTTTCCTCACCATGTTTTCCTTCACTGTCTTCCAGTGGAGTCTAAATACTCTTAAAAAAGTACATATGACTCGGAAAAATAATATTAGTACTTGCCAGGATCGAACCCGCGCCCTCATACATGAGAGGCGGGTCTTTTAATCACTGACTTAGTATATATAGTGGAGCCCCGGTAATCCGCCCCCTAGCTAAACCAGTACCCCCATCATAATCCAACGTCGTCTAATTGAAGATTAAACAAGTTTCAACTTATTTCCTCATGACTATTGTGTTGAATGCAAAGGCTATTGCTTTGATCATGATTGTTTAGTTTAACTCCATACATACATGCGAGAGGGTAGCGGTGCGGCCTAGCGTGTATTCATTGTTTACTGTTCTGTAATTTATTGGATTACAAGGTACTCTTTCGTATGAATATTGGGGTGTGTTACGCAGTATTTAATAATCCGACAAATTCGATATATCGACACCACCCTGTGAAATTTTCGTCGGACTACCGGGGATACTATGTATAGATTGACCATTTGTATACCTACACAAATATCAACAACTTGAACAGACCTTAACTAACATAATATATGCAATAAGTTCATCTCATGTTCGTAATATTAATAAAAATAATAATTTTCCAGATTACTGCATGGTTCAATTCGTGAAGCCGAATCTGCTGGGGAAGTACAACGAGTATCTCAATAGATTCGTCAATCCTATAACAAACGGACAGTACACCGACTCTACGGAACATGATATAAAAGTTATGAAGAGACGGTCACATGTACTGCACAAGATGTTAGACGGAGCTGTACAGGTAAAAATGAGGTCTTCAACAAATTTAGGCGAAATTCACACTTAAATCCTAGTGTATTTATTGTCTTAGGCTTTATTTTGACTTACTGTTTTAGTGTGTTTAAGCTTTATGGATAATTTTTCATTAACCACCAGCAGTTATAGACAAGTCTAGTTGTAAATAAAAAAATGGAGAGTTTGTGGGTTTGTTTGTAGTCATTAATTTTAATAATTTTTATTATCTTAGGAGCTTAATATTTTCGATTACTAAAATTGTGTTTATTTTAGTCCCTTTATTGTAGAATGTAGACGCTTATAGATAATATATTATCTCTGTGTGATTTACAGCATCTAGTAATTCTAAAAATACTATTAATTTATCAAACCTATGTAGGTTTATAAATTAATAGTATTAATAGTAGATATAAAACCTACTGAGTTTTAAAACCATATTATTTAACCAGTAGGTACCTACTCTTTAACTTGCACTCTTCATTAATAATGGGTTATATCAAATCAGCTGTTGTAGATAAATTTTACACATAATTTTAACTTCTATGGTCAGAGTTCAAGCAAAAAAAAACTTGTTTTATTATTATTATAATTATTATTTACTTAGCTTTTAAAAATTAGTTCAGATTTATTTTTACGTATTGATGTAGTAACCTACAAAAGTTTAATTTCACTACTATATCAACCCAATTTACAGTTTTAAAGTATTCTATTAACAAATAATTATCAAATTCGAGAACAAAAAGATATAAAACAAAGTCGTAGTATATTAATAGTGTGTTTTGTTGACAGAGGCGAGACTACGGGGTGCTGGCGCCCTTCCTGCCTCCCAAACACGAATACGTGCTGTTCATAACACTCACAGAAGTACAGATCAAGTTGTATCAACACTACCTTGATAATTATTCTAGGAAGTAAGTCGCGGGGAATACATTTAAATAAATATATATAGGCAAAAATACTTAAAAACATATAATGAATTGGAACTAAATAGTAAAGTATATATATTAGCTACACATATTTAATGTACATTTTCTGGTAATACTAAAGAAAACATTATTGTATTAAGTTCTATCCTTTTTAGTAAGAGATTAATTGACAAACTTCTTGAATTTATTGCAACAGTAATTACAAGTACATAATTTAAAAATTTTAATTTCATAACTCATTAATAACCAATATTTGTCACTTACAAAACAATAATTAAATAATTTAATCAATCATATCTTATTATTTTTTGAAATAACTCAACAATTTATACATTTCACAAAAGAAAAAAGTTAATTCCATATAAAATCTCTTTTATACTACTACTTATTATAATTTTTTTGGGTAAAGAATTTGGTAAAACAATATAATGTTTAAGAAGCATGACAGATTACACCATAAATTTAGAAAAAGATGTTATTCATTTAATTATTATATTATTAAAAAGTATTTTTTGTAGATTACAATTAAATGTAATAATTATGTTATTTGTAGACCGCTGGCTGGTAAATCTTCAGGATTCCTGTTCCCCGACTTTCAATCCCTACAAAGGATATGGACACATCCACTTGTACTTAAGTATAACTCGGAGAGATATGAAATTATGCAACAGAAGAAGGTAAATATATCATTAAATATATATATATATATATATATATATATATATATATATATATATATATATATATATATATATATATATATGTTATTATTATTTATTTACTACAATCTGTCTCCTTCGAGTGACATTCAGAAGTATGTAGGTTTTGTGCTTTCGTAGATTCGCTTAGTATGTGACCTGTGTCACATCCTCAATGTTTAAACAGTACTTATGTTTACTGTGATTGGATTAGGTCTTGAGGTATTTTGCGCTTTAATCGTCGCGCTTTGTTATGTTTCTCCATAAGTGGCCGAGCCAGAGTATTTGGGTGTTGCAGGATTCGTTTTTTGTAGGACTTGGTATGGCGTACAATGTCTTGCTTGACAGTGGGCATTCGTAGGTCATGGTGTAGTAATTCGTTAGGTACAAACCAGGGCGCATTGTTTATCATACGCAGAGCTTTATTTTGAAACCTCTGTATGATTTCTATGTTTGAGTGAGATGCGGTGCCCCATAATTGTATCCCGTATGTCCAGATGGGCTTCAGTATTGCCTAGTACAAAAGTATTTTGTTTTCCAGAGAAAGTTGGGGCTTTATTCCTATGAGCCAGTAGAGTTTTCGTGTTTGGATACCAAGTTGCTTTCTCTTAGTGAAAATATATTTTTGCCAGGTAAGTCTTTTGTCTAAATATAATCCAAGATATCTCACATGTTCTGCTTGTGGAACTTCAATGTTGTTTAGTGTGACTAGAGGACGGGATCTTCAAAAAGTAAACGTAACATTGACTGTTTTTTTTTCCTTGGCTTTTAACCGCCACTTTTTAAGCCAGTCTTATATGGCATTTAGCCCTTCTTGGAGTATTTGTGAGGCAATTTCTGGATTTCTATGTGCAGCTAGTATGGCAGTATCGTCAGTAAAAGTCCCAATGGTTAGTGACGCTGTTGTAGAAATGATTTTAGTATTCCATACAGGTGGTGTTTTAGGGCGTTTTTTAATTTAAAAAGAAGACCTGCATGCCAAACGCGGTCAAAAGCTTGAGATATGTCAAAAATGCACTGGTACAGTAAGACTTTGCCTCTAGTGATTCCATGTACTTATTCGTTAGTCTATGCACTTGGTCGACAGTGGTATGTTTGTTGCCGAACTCAAACTGATGGTCAGGAATTAGTCTCTTTTCCTTGAGTATAGGTAGAATTTGTTGCAGCAGTAGAGATTCATATATTTTGGATGGGATGGGTAGCATGCTTATTGGTCTATATGATTTTTCTTCTACTGGTTGTTTGTCTGGTTTCAGTATCATTATAATTTGCGCAACCTTCCACTCTAGGGGAAAGAACTGCAGTCTTGTCATGGCACTGAATAATGACGTCAGAAAGGTTATGCCATATTCTGGTAGTTCTTGTAATATGCGGTTTGTAATAAGGTCAAATCCGGGTGACTTTTTTGTGTCCGATTTTTTTATGATACGGGCAACTTCTGTCTTTGTAAATTTTAAGGGCATTTCCTTCGTATCTTTGGGAATATTTAAATGGTCAGTGATTTCTACGGCATCTACTGAGAAGCCTTCATATGGACGAGGAGAAAAAACTTTTGAGAGATGTTTTGAGAAATTTTCGGCTTTCTCTTGGTCCGTCCGTGCCCATCAGGTTTTCTTATAGGAGGAAAAACGCTAACAGGCCGTTTTAGTCTTCTGGTGGCTTTCCATAATGAGTAATCTGAGGAAGCGGTAGCATCCAGGCCAATGAGATAGTTTTGAAATCCGTCATTACGATCCTTGTCTAAAGTGTGTTTCAGCTGTCTGTTGATGTGATTAAGATGTTTTTTTACACCAGGGTCTCTGCTTTGCTGCCAGTGCTTCCTTATTCTCCTTTTTTGAATTATTTTATCTAGTATATGTTTCGCTACGTAGTTGTCCGTGCTTCTATGTGGTAGTAGTGGGGATGAGGACCAGGCTGCATCCTGTACACTGTTGGTGAAGACCAGAACAGTTTCTGTTATTTCGTCCTCAGTTTTTAGACTAACTGGTTCCTGGAATGCTTTGTCGGTGAGCTCTCGGAATAGGGGCCAGTTCGTTTTTTTGTTATGCAGAACACATTTTTTGGCGCGTACTTGGGCGGTAGTGTGTAATTCTACTATGATTGGAGAATGGTCTGAGGACAGATCCCAGCAACTCCGACACGATATGTTCCTATTTGAGATTCCTTTGCTGACACAAAAATCGATAACATCCGGGATTTTACTTTCGTCTGTTGGCCAGTAAGTGGGTTGACCAGACGAAATCACGTTCATATTTCTTGTTTGTATGCATTTAAAGAGTTCTCGCCCTCTAAGTAGAACAAGCCTAGAGCGCCAAAACGTATGCTTGGCATTACAATCACCTCCCGCAATAAATCTGTCTCCGAGGGATTAAAAATAGTCATTAAACTCAGTTTCCTTAATAGTATATTAAATTATACGAGACAAATATAAAAAAACACGATGAGTTTCTTTCGCCGGTTCTTCTCAGGTCAGGGTATTTTCTTTTCCGAACCGGTGGTAGTGTCTCAAGTGACCATCAATAAGAAAGTGTAATGCTTCTATATTGAATAAAGTTATATGAGTTTGAGTAAATCCCGGTGGACAGTATAGGGCCGATACTGTAATGTCACTGATCCAGTCCCTTATTACGACGTTTGTTGCTTGGATGTAGTTTTTACGGTACTCTTATAGTACATGATGCTTGATGTCAGACCTGATAAGCATAGCAGAACCTCCTCGTGCTTTATTGTCTGGGTGGTTAGTGTGATGCATATTGTATCCAGGTATCCTGAAGTAGCTTTTAGATGTGAAGTGAGTTTCCGAGATTAGTAAGACATCCATGTGATGAATTTTAATAAATATTTTTAACTCTTCCGAGTGATTTGACAACCCATTAGCATTCCATACACCTATTTTTAGTGCTGTGAATGTAAGGGCATTTTTGAGATTAAATCGGTTAACGTTTTGGGTCATGGTTAGCAGTTGGTTCATCAGGGCAACAATTGTCTCTGTAATGGCTTTGAATACGTTGGTTTTTTGGTTGACATCTTCTTCGTTAATGGTTTTCATTGTAGGTTTTTTGGGGAGTTCTTTTGTGGCTGAATCATACGATTTTTCTTTGTTCGTTGGTTTGTTTGTTAGTGCTTGTTCAACACTTGTAAGTCTTCTTTTGTAATGGGTATCGGACTTTCAACAGCTCCTTGTTGACTGTACAGCCTTTGTAGTTAGCTGGGTGGTTTTCCTCGCAGATGACGCATTTAACCTGGTTTGATCTTTCTTTCCGTGGGCAGTGTGAAGTGTGATGCGTACCTGCACATTTGACGCATCTGGGCTTTACAGAACTTTTACATATTACAGAACTTTTGTGTGTGTGATTATAATCTTGGCAATTGGTGCATTGAGGAATTGCTCGCTTAGGTCTGGGTGCTTCAAACAAAATACGACAGTGTAATAGGGATTTTACGCTATATATATCTTTATTATTTTCACGTGCTTCTAGTTCGATGTACCATATTGAAGTCGCATGTTTAGTTCTTGAGTTTTGGATGTTCCAGACATTTGTCACTTTATGGCCAAGCTCATCAATTGCTATTTTTATTTCTCCTTTATCTGTCCAAGCGTGTATATTTTTGAGCACCACTCTAAAGCTGCGATCTTGTTTAGGCTAGTAATTGAAGAATTCTGTGTCTTTTGCTTTCAGTTATTTGTAAATAATGGAGTATGATTCTGCTGTTTTTGGTTGTATTTTAACTCTGTCGTTTCTTAGTACTTTAATTTCATACTGTCCTTGTGCAGCTTCTTCTAACAACTTTTGTAAAGGTTGTATGTTTTTGACGCCGTCAGTAAATAGTGGTGGGGGTCTTATAGATTATGGTGCTTGTGTTTCAGGATTATGTGCTTGCACTATATCGTCGAGCGGTATGAAACTGTTGGATGTCGATACTGTTGGTGCTGCTACCCAATAATTCAATTTTGCTTGTTTTTGGCTAGGTATTGATGCGTCTGGGCTGGATCTCAGCCTTTTTCCATAGTGCACTTCTGTATACTGTTGATCTTCGGATTCCCCAACTGTTACATCCGATAGATCAATGGTCGCTTTGTCTTGATTAGTTGTTCCGCTAAAGGAATTTGATCTTGGCCGATTCATAAACATTCCCTTGTGGAATAGCTGTTGTGTCATCGTTTTTGAGTTCTTCTTATCTAATTTTGGTATATTTTCAGAGGTATTTGAACTGTTCATTATGTTCCCACGAGTGAGGACGATTTAAAGGTCGCCTGGGGTGACGCCTATTCCCAGGAGAAGGCAAATACAACAGTGGTTGGCCGTTCCACTGAGGTTGTCGTTAGAGACTGATTTCCCATCAGTCATACATCCTCTCAGCACGTTGCCTACCTTAGGATTGGAATTATTTTTTAATTTTCTTTGTAGTGAGGTTTTCTTCCTCGGAAGCCAGACAATTAAGCCAAGCCTCGTAGGTGTTACGAGATTCAGAGACCTTCCTGCCTCTGGTCGGTGGAGTATTCTAGTTAGTTGTCCGTCCCTCGATACTCAGTGTTGTTGGACCAGGATAGATGGTAAATTCTACGGAAGCGAGCAACTCCATCCCCCAAATATATACAGGGTGACTGGTGAATTACTATCAATATTTAAGGAGAATACTCGGTACATGATTCTCATTCCAATTATGTAAAAAAATAGGTACTTAATTTTTGACAAAATTTCCCTATAAATAAATAAAGTGTTGACACGTTCCAAGTGTTCAAGTGTGGACGCGTGCGGCGGCGTGCTGATACAACACCACGTCACGACACGCGTATGTGTGAGTGTGTGTGTATACCTAATCTGTAGGGTGTTCACACGATGCGTAATTAATTACACAACTTTTGGTTAACTTTACTTAGAAGTTTATTAATATTTATGTTATATTAATTTTTATTTTGTCATATATGATCGTCAAATATCACGTCCTCAAATATCGATAGTAATTCACCAGTCACCCTGTATATAATACTAGAGAACCCGGCGAACTTCGTATCGCCCTATAATCAAGAAATATCTGTTACGTTTTTTATTTATATTTTTGGAGTTTACCTATTAAAGTCATAAATGTCCGTGTTTTGAAGTGCGACAGAATGATTGACATATTAGTTAATTGTCAAATCTAATGTAAAAAAAAACGTTTGTATCAAAAACTACTAATAAATTAAAAAATAATAAAAAAAACATTGTCCAGCGGACAAAATTGTGAATCTGAACCATTCCCAGATCTCCTTGAACACACACAAAAAATTTCATCAAAATCGGTCCAGTCGTTTGAGAGAAGTTCAGTGACATACACACTCACTGAAGAATTATATATATACAGATATAAACATTAGTAGTAAGTAAAGAGAGATACTACACATTAATAGTGTCATTGACTTAAAAATCAAATGTAATATTTTTAATGTAATGTTTTCAGAGGGAGAGAGAGGAAGAAGATTCTGAGATGTCTGATTTCATAGATGATGACTCCACACCGGAGGTAAGTGTATTGATGTTTAATGAACATTAAAATATAAAGTTATTATGGTTATTACTTATTATTGAAGAAACCTTGAGATCTTTTAAAACATTTTTCTTACTATATTTTAGTGTTATTTCTGTATATTGTTCAGGAATCTTCTACAGAAGAATCGTCAGATAGTTTATCTGATATGAGCGATGACAGTCGAAAGAAAAGTAAGAAGAAGAAGTCGGGGAAGAAAGGTAAAGGAAAAGATAGCAAGGTGACGCGACGAGGCACGCGAGCAAATCCAGGTACGATAATATAGCTTACAGGAATGTTCTAGATCTTTTAATAGGAAGTAATATTACTCTAACTCTTAGCCTGTTGGCTTATGTATTCTTCTTTGCGACAAGTATTCCAATCATACATTGCTATTTATTTGGATAGATATTTTTCAAGTAGAATAAACGCATTGTTTAACGTAAACAAATTCCGTCTCTCCGAAATTTTCAACGCCCAACCCTTTTTAAAAGCCCTGAATCCCACAAAGAAGTTCTGCGACCTACATAACCCCCATTAAGGATAGCGTAGATTATTATATATCTTGTATATTTGTAGTAGTTTTATGACTTCTTTATTAATTAGCGTAAATCATTAAAATAAATATCATACACAATAATAAATGTATAATAATTAGTCAAATTGCTGCTACATCTACCTGTACTAGTTATTACATATACAAAATAATATTCATATATAATTTTGTACATATAATATTTGGTTCTTACCACGTATTAATTTATATCAAAATATATTTAAATAATTAATCTGATCACATACAACTATTACATTAGTTTTATAAAACAACTGATTGTGTATTATGTGTGATTCCAGTGGAGATGGAGGACGAGCCGGCCGTCGTCGAGTCAAGGGATCTGAAGACGGAGAACCCCACCGAGTGGTGGATGACGCTGGTCAGCGAGGATGAGCTGGACGACATGCGGCACTCGCACAAGCTGGTGCTGCTGTTCGATATACTGAGGCAGTGCGAGGCCATTGGGGACAAACTGTGAGTTGAACACATACTTGGTAATCATTGGCAATGCTGGGTAATCATTGGTAATACTGGGTTATCATTGGTAATACTGGGTAATCATTGGTAATACTGGGTAAACATTGGTAATGCTGGGTAATCATTAGTAATACTGGGTAATCATAGGTAATACTGGGTAATCATTGGTAATTCTGTGTAATACCGCATACTGAAACAATACAACAATATTGAGATCAAGGGCTAAAGTAATTTAATTTACACCTTAATAATCATATCATATTCTACATTAGTTATATTTTTATACTTAGCTAGTGTTATGAGATAGCAATACATTACATAAATGTATCTAATTCATATAAAATTGACACCAAATGTACTTCAATGTTAACAGTGTGTTGTTGAAAGTTGCTTATTACACTTGTATCACACACAAAGCAGTGATCTTGTGATAAAATATCTGCATCTAGATCCATGTCCCCGGATATACATTTTTAATGTTCCGGTACATAACTGGTACTAAGATGTTATCTATATAGATTTTTGTTTAGAAAACTTCAAAGTGTCTGAGTTGATTGTGTCAATTAAACTCTTATTTCTGTTCATCAGGCTGGTGTTTTCTCAATCTCTGTACTCGTTGGATCTGATCGAACATTTCCTGGGTAAAGTGGATGACGCTACGCAGGAGGGGAGAGTCGATGAAAAACTAAATGGACATGTTGGTTAGTATATACATATATATTATACTAGCTTTCCGCCCGCAGCTTCCCCCGCGTGGAGTTCGGTTATATCGCGTTTCCAAGAGAAAACCTTTTAAAAGTCTGGTATAAAAACTATCCTATGTTCTTTCTCAAGGTCAACTCTATCTATGTACCAAATTTCATTAAAATCAGTTAGTTCAGTGGTTTAGGCGTGAACGCGTAACAGACAGACAGACATAGTTACTTTCGCTAATTTATAATATTAGTAGGCATAAAGTTATGTGATAAAGAGCGAGGAAAAAAATATTACTTTATCGTGTCATTTGACTCTTGGAGAATTCAGGGTTTTCACATATTATATTTTATATATAAAGAAATATTTAAAATAACTGAAGATGTAGCATGTATTTTTATGATACGTAAGGATCTTTGAATTTTTTTTATTAAGTTTTAATATTTATACATATCAGAATAGCAATTTTCTTTTCACAAATAATACATATTAGTACTTGTTCTAAATAAATCAACATTTCTTTCTAATTATACATCATCATAACAGTACTTATGTTCAATTTTGTCAAACATACTCGTCATTATATATAGAAGTAGATTTTCCGTATCATTTTATTTATTGTTATTAAATATTTTCTCCCAGGTTCCTGGTCGCCCGGCATCGATTACTTCAGACTGGACGGGTCCACGTCGTGTGAGAACAGATCTATATGGTGCAAGAACTTTAACAGGGAAGATAACCCTCGAGCGAGGTGAGAATTACATTATATAGTTAAATCATTAACTAGTACAAAGATATCATTGTTAATATATTCGAATATCAGTCAATATTTCATTCGTAACAATATGAAGTATAAAAACTTCTATAGTACTATAATGTATTTAAAACAAAAACTTTAATCCAAATATGTGATATTTAAATTTCATTATCGTATATCACGTATAACAAATACGTATGTAAAATGAATATTATTAGTTCCACACTAAAGTTATAGTTTAACAGTAGATTCTTTTCAAAGCCCCAGTAGGTTCTTTTCAAACTTGGTTAATTAGAGAGAGGAGTTTGGACAGTAGAGCGTTTAGTTCGCGTTAGATAGGAACTTAAACTTACACCTGAGTCGCAAGTCCCAGGCACTGTTGAAGCTCCTCTCCTTACAATAATGGATCCTGCACCCGCACGGTGAATATATTGAATGTTAAGAGGTTTCGTCTCAATACATATTATGGTAGTTGTGTATTATTAGTTCCATACTAGTCATAGTATAATAAAATGTATTATTTATGTAGATTGTTCCTGATCTCGACTCGCGCGGGCGGTCTGGGCATCAACCTGGTTGCAGCCAACCGGGTGGTCATCTTCGACGTGTCGTGGAACCCCTCGCACGACGTGCAGAGCATATTCAGAGTGTACCGCTTTGGACAGAAGAAACCCTGCTATATATACCGGTTCTTGGCTATGGTGAGGATATATAGTTGTATATACATATGTACACTTGGATAATATAGACTAGCCGGTTATATAGGGTGACAACTAGAGGTTCTAGATTTTAGAATTATAGTTTAGACTAGAATTAGATTCTAGAGTTATAGTAAAAGTTTCGTTTAGAATTCTCTGTTAATATACATAATATACATATAAATGTCACAATAATAAATTAATTTAATTTGTAGTTATAGTAGTTTTTAAATTAGGTGAAAAAATGGGGGCGCTAAAAAAATACTATTCTCAAAGTGGGCAGTAGACAAAATAAGTTTGGGAACCACTGTTCTAGAAGAACTAAGAAACTTACTTGTATGTAATAAGAATTACATTAAAATTTATAACCTATACCTACATGATTGACCCGATGATACGATAACAATACCATTCTATAGCTTGTGTGGTGTCAGGAATCTTCGGGTTCACACGGCTTGGTGTTCGTTCCGCGGAGTCGGCAGCGTCACTCATTATATGATATTTTATCTATACAACGATATTGCCCCGGCGATGTTTATTTATTTTTAATATGTAGCTTGTACCGTGTACGTAATAAGCTTCTTAAAACATAAAAAATAATAAATATTTATTAAATAAAATATGTACGTGGATTCTGATATTAAATGTAGATATTAAAATTTATATGATAATGGACTTTATTATTATTTTCAGGGCACAATGGAAGAAAAGATCTACGAGCGTCAAGTAACGAAACAGGCGATATCAAAACGAGTTATAGACGAACAACAAATAGATCGACACTACGCCGAGAACGACCTCGCTGAGCTATACAAGTTCGAACCGAACCCGCCGCCCAGAGAAATACCGCCGCTACCTAAAGACAGGCTGTTCGCTGAGATGCTCAAGGAACACGAGACACAGGTCGATAACTTACTAGCAAATAAAATAGAGCAAAAATCACTTCAATAGAGCAAAAGTTACCTAAATTCTTCTTCTACCTGGCAATTTCCCAGCTTTAGCCAGTGTCTGTCCTTACATGTTGTGAATAGTTTTGGCTAATTGTTTTACGACCGGCCGCTTGCCTGACATTAACCCTCTTTTGGGAATAAGCATTAATCAATGATGTTTAAATAATCTTAGAAAGTACATATGATTTGGAAAAATCACATTGTTACTTGCCCGGGCCAGAATCGAACCCGCGCCCTCGGCAACCAGAGGCGGGCCCTTTAACCACTAGACCGTCACTGACTAAAAAGTTAATAAAAAGTTACCTAAATTAAACGTCTATATTGTAGTCTCTTAGAGTATATGTTGCTACATATATTTTAATTAGACATGTACACTGCAGTTTCTTAGACTATTTTCTGTCTCTTGGTATCTAACCTACAAAGTTTCGTCTCCCCTGACGAGTTACTACAGTTTATATTATTACAAGTTTACAAAAACACGGAGTTATACATTCATAAACCTACGTCGATTAATTATTATGTGTGAATATTTATGGATGAAATACGGGAAACGTTTCGTGTGTAGTGTAAAATTGCAAATTTATGATAGGCGTATACAGGGTGACTGGTGAATTACTATCGATATTTGAGGACATATCATATATGACAAAATAAAAATTAATATAACATAAATATTAATAAACTTCTAAGTAAAGTTAACCAAAAGTTATGTAATTAATTACGCATCGTATGAACACCCTACAGATTAGGTATACACACACACTCACACAGACGCGGCGGCGGCGTAGTGTTGTATCAGCACGCCGCCGCACGCGCCCACACTTGCAACACTTGGAACGTGTCAACACTTTATTTATTTATACGGAAATTTTGTCAAAAATTAAGTACCTATTTTTTTTACATAATTCGAATGATAATCATGTACCGAGTATGCTCCTTAAATATTGATAGTAATTCACCAGTCACCCTGTATATCGTATAAAAGAATTACTGGCATATTTAACTGCAAGAAATATCATTGAAATGTAATATAGGTTCTGTTGGTTTGCTTTTTTAAGGTTTGGAAATCGAAAGATTTAGAATTCGACATTCTTATGAATAGTAACACAACTGTAACAGTCTTCGTTTCAATATAAATTGCATAAAAAAATATATATTTTTTCCATATTATTAAAATAATCTTCACTTTATTACTTCCATATTTTAAATACACCTACACAATTTATGTACTAGAAAAACTCTTGTAAGCATATGTCACGTCTAAAAAAATATTTATTTACTATCAAGTAGATAAATAAATACAAAATAAGTATACAGTCTATTCATTTATCTAGTTAATCATGATTCTTTCATAAAAATATAACCGAAATAGATTCGTCGTGAATTTGTACGTGGTACAAGTAGGAGCGAGAGGTATAACAGCTAAATCTCTCTACAACTTACTAAAAGACTTGGGCCTGTACAGAACTCACATTAATACATTCTTGGAACGTACTTCAAAAGCAGCCCTAGTATTTTCTTTTCAAATTTGGTTAGGTAGAGAGAGGAGCTTGGACAGTGGAGGTGAGCGTTTAACGCGTTAGATAGTAGCCCCTTAAACGTAGGTTAGATAGGGGCCCCTTAAACGTAGCTAAATACCTGAATATATGGAATTCTGAGAGGTTTCGTCTCATAATTAAAGGAAACTTGTAATATTTCCAGATCTACAAATATCACGAGCACGACTCGCTGCTGGAGAACAAGGAGGAGGAGACTTTAACGGAGGAGGAGAGGAAGGCGGCCTGGGAGGACTTCGAGAACGAGAAGACGCGCCCGCCGCCCGCAGCCTTCAGCTACAACATGCACAACGGAATGAGTACGACCATACATGTAACACATAGACGAACATACACAGCATTCAATGAATGAATAACGATACCTCCTAAGTATACTAACAAATTTAGGTATTTTTATATAAACGTACGTGATAACTCGTGATCTTAACGTTTGTATTAAAAAAATTAAAAAAGAACGATAATTACCGAAATAATTTCACGTATACTAAATCAATTGCAACATCACTAAAAATCATACATTGTATACTCATCTAACTAACATCGTACCAGTGTACGCGGGGCGTGAGGGAGGACGCGTTGATACAACTACATCGAGCTCAGTATACGATGATGAGCGTAGAGTGCTAAAATGTAGTCAAACAGGGCGCGAAAAATTTTAAATTTACTCAAAAATACCATAAAATAATCACACAGGAATAGATGATATGGTTCTAACGAGGGATGAAGAGGGTAAGTGGACAACGTACATGAATATAACTGGTAGTTATACCATTTCACTATTGAGCCCCGTCGGCGTATACCCAGTCATCTACATAAAATGTAATTTAAAAACAAAAATCAGCAAAATCATTATATGTCAAAGGAAGTGCTTACAATTTTTATTAAAAAAAAAACATTTACTTTATTTCGAATTAATTTGATTTCATTAAAATATAAACGATTTGCCTTCAAATCACTCTCCTGTAAAATTTGAATGATGTCAGTTGACTCATTACACTAAGGAGGTATCGATAAGACTTCAATGATCATTCATTGGATGAGATACAAGACTTTAGCGAGTACTCATTGAAATAAAACTAATGTTTTTAGGATTTACTACGAGGTTTTGACTAAAAACTAAGTTTGAATCAAAAAATATTCCTGAAGTTTCGGTTACTTTACAACAACCGTGATTACGAATAGGATGAGATCTAGTTTCAGATGACGTGATTAATTAAAATCGCGTAGTAAATCCGAATATATTAGTTTTATTTATATATTAATTAATTCGTAACTGAAGTCTTATTAGAAGTTATATATGTTATGAGTTCAAATATAATATCAAAAGATCTTATACTAATTTATTGTAAGCATGTCTTTTTCTTATATTGACATATTAATTGAAGTTAATTAATTTATTTCAAGTGCCAGGTCTATTCGCTCAACAACAACAGCTGGCGTATGCAGCGCTAGCGGCCATGTTGAGGAAGGAAACGCCCGGAATAAACGACAGTCAAATAAGAGACATGCAGACACTGCTATACAACTCAAACCCAGCCGTTAGTACATATACAAGCTATAGACTTGTTTTGTTTATAGTTTTTTTGTTAATAGTAATAGTTGAAAGTTTCATAACTACAGGGTGTACACAACCCGTGTCATGTATACAATAGTTTATACTTTTATTGAAATAAAATTTATCTGTTCAGATATTCGGTGGATATGACTATGGCGTAAGTTGTTGTCGATATTTGTTTAGAATTTTGTTTTTTTTTTGTTTTCGTTACGCCATATTTGTATTTTCTTTGGAGCATGAGTTATTTTATATATACAGGGTGACTGGTGAATTACTATCGATATTTGAGGACGTGATATTTGACGATCATATATGACAAAATAAAAATTAATATAACATAAATATTAATAAACTACTAAGTAAAGTTAACCAAAAGTTATGTAATTAATTACGCATCGTGTGAACACCCTACAGATTAGGTATACACTCACACTCACACATACGCGTGTCGTGACGTAGTGTTGTATCAGCACGCCGCCGCACGCGTCCACACTTTAACACTTGGAACGTGTCAACACTTTATTTATTTATACGGAAATTTTGTCAAAAATTAAGTACCTATTTTTTTTACATAATTCGAATGAAAATTATGTACCGAGTATTCTCCTTAAATATTGATAGTAATTCACCAGTCACCCTGTATAACTATATATTACACGTTGCATTTTTATTTTTTAGTTGTATTATTATATATATTTGTTGTTTCTGTGCAGCTGATGCAGAAAATGGGTGAAATATATAAATACGCTCAGCCGGGTATGATGAACCCGGGCATGATGAACGCAGGGATGGTGAATCCAGGTACAGTGTTGATTAAATGTTAAATAAATATATATTCCAATGTTAATATATATAAATATTACTAGATGACTTTGAAAAGTTGTTTTGTCATAAAAAATAGGGGTTGGTGATAAAAAAGGAAAAAAATAGGGTTGTATCCATTTAAATACTATATTATTTAAAAAAATCGTAAAAAAATATAAAGAAAATAGGGGTGAACAATTCTTATTACTTAGGGGTATGAAAAATAAATGTTAGCCAATTCTCAGACCTACTCAATGTGCTCACAAAATTTCATGAGAATCGGTCAAGCCTTTTCGGAGTAAAACTGGTACAAACATTGTGACACGAGAATTTTATATACATATAAAATATTTTTTATCAGGCGGTGGTATGGGTGGCAGTAGCGGCCTTCAGTACGAGCCGCCCTGGCAGCGACAACAACAGATGAGAATGCAACAACTCATGCAACAACAAAATGTGAGCTTATTACAAATATTTACGTTCTTTTAAATATAACTAAGATTATCTTTATACTGCTATAAAACTTTTATACAGATAATGCTTAAAAATCATCAATAGATAATTTTTTTAAGATATCAATTTTTCTTCCGCGTGTAACCTGGTAAAGTGATCAGACACTATTCAGTTTATATAAAACAATATCAAAGAATCTTGTAACATATAACAAATTTGAAATTTTCGGGTCAAGTTGTTGAGTTTTATCTACCTACCGTCACTAGATATAGTTCGTATAATCGATATTTTTTAACGGTTCTTGAAAAATTAATCGTTCGATTCTATATCAAATGCTTCGAAAAACAAAACCATAAATCAACGACGTCAAATTCAGAATATTAAGACAAAAAAAAAAACAATTCTCGGAGCGTAATAATACAAATTTCCGAGTCAAGTTACTGACTTTTATCCACCTACCGCCTCTTGTATAAGTAATTTAATCGATTATTTATTTAAAAAAACTCAAAAATCTCATTTCTATATCAAAAACGTCGAAAAATATAATTAGAACATTAAGTTACGTTTCCTAACGACCATAAAAAAATCTCGTAGCATAGTAATACAATATAGAAGTTCCCGACTCAAATATTAACTAAACAGATGGGTGCAAAGTACTACGCAGGGGGTCTCGGCAGTCGCGACCCGGTGGCGATGGCGCTGCAGCAGCAGAGGGCGAGGGAGATGATGCTGGGCGAGCGGGCACGGCCGCGGGGACGACCGCCGGGACGAGCGAACATACACCCGCCCGTACAGACTACCACGGATGTAGTCAACCTGGACTCGGACTAGACTGGTCGGTACATGATACAGACGGACATACATACACACACACACACACACACACACACACACACACACACACACACACATACATACATACCGCCACTGATGTAGTCAACCTGGACTCGGACTAGACTGGTCGGTACATGCAGACGATCATACATACAGACAGATACACTAAACACATACAGATGTTCATAGTTGTTCGCAGCTGTAGCTGTACTACATATATGACATACATACATAGTCAGTCCTTAAAGGCTCGAGTCTCGTGCACGGGTTCGATCATGGCAAGTACCAATTTGATTTTTTCGGGTCATATATATACCCGAAAAAACCAAATTGCGTATTTAGACATCACTGATTAAGGCATTCCCAAAGAAGTTTGATGTCAGGCAGGCGGCCGGTCGTGATAACAATTAGCCAAAACTATTCACAACATGTAAGGCAGACCCTGGCTGAAGCTGGGAAATTGCTAGGTAGAAGATACATACTTACATATATACGTACAAACATACAGACACATAGTCCTTCACAACTGTAGCTATACTATATGATATACACACATACATAGTTGACATAACATAACTTGATATTTGATTAGATTGAATTTTACTGCTTTATGTATATACAAGAGTAGGACTTTCGTTGAATGTTGTTCATACACATTTCGTACATAGTTACAGATATATAAGACATGCAGACATACAGATATACAGTCAACCTCGCGACATCACAACGTGATATATAATTAGATTGGATTTACTACTTTACGTATTTAAGAGCAGGACCTCGGCTAAATGGTTGTTGTTACACATGTCATATATGACTCATCAATACATAATAATATTTATAATTAAATATCTTTGTTTTTGTTTATATAAATTAATTTGTACAAAGTTTATACTGCGAAATTATTATTGAAGAAATATTTTCATTTAGTTATTTATAAAAAATGAACATTGTAATTATGTTACCCACATTAAAATAATTACGACCTAATAATAATTAATACTTTTTAATAAATTTAAAAAGTATTGACCCACTCAAGACTTGAACCTGCAAGCTCAAAAAAATTTGTCTCGTTTTAATAAAACTATTACTTAAGTATAATTACTTACCATCTACAATAATAATTGATGTTTAGCACAAAAATAAGTTTTGGATGTTTTTAATAAGGTTTAAAATTATATAAAATAATTATGTATGTAAACCTCCATTGTTACAGATTGGTGTAAATTAAAGTGTATAGTGAACATTAAGGTGCTACGATCATGAAGTAGGCTTGAACTAAATGTGGCGTGGAAGAATGAACTGGGTGTATACCGATATATAATCAAAAACCGAATGGTATAATAATATAAATCTATCTATCGCCTCGGCTCACTGGCCACATATCACGAATCTCATTAATTTCCCAGAAGTCTACCTAGTTATCAGAATAAACATGAAATAATTCTCAAACGTAATGGTTGCGGTCACATATCAAAATGAAATAAACGCTACCTACTTATTAACCGCTACTAGCACAAGTCAGATTTTATTGTAAGTTTAGAATGTGCTCAAAACTATGACTATTTCAACAATGTAACTTCTGGATTTCAAAATTATAATTAAAATTATAGTACATTATAGTTAGATGTGTAGCAAGTTTTATGTGGATAACGATAATAAAATTAAACATTAAATAAATACTAAACATAAAGATGGTGTACATATATATTATATAAGAGTATCATTTACAATATTATTTTATATAAAAGAAAGTATTCAAAAAATTTCTCACATTATTGTTATCCACATAAAATATATTGAAGCATCTCATGAGTAAGTGGTATATATTAAATGTCTTGAGATGCTTTTGATGTCGGCTTGACTATTTTATATATCTCTCAGTACAGGAAATTAGTGGTAAGCTATATATATGTCTGTAGATAGAAACTTTGTGTCTACCATCATACATGAATGTCGCGACTTACAACATCTTAAATCATTGCTTATTGTGTTATAAATATCGTTACGACAAAATATTGCATTGATACATTTCACTAACACCATTGCTGCCGAATATTAATTTCGTTATATGTTTTAGTAAATATAGCTGCATGTAAATTTACAAAACAATCAGTTCAGGATCTATTAACAGCTTTCGATCCTAAATATAATGATTTCTATGCAACTTTTATTGCAACTGCATATATTAACATTTTCTTCTACATTCTAATATAACTAACACAAATAAAATCCATTGAGAGATTGTTACATGTATTACCAACAATTGAATTGTTTATGCTCTCTTAACTCATTTATTATTGTATAATCATGATTATAAAACCTTATTTTGGAATAACTTATATATATGAAAAATTAATTCTTAAATTTTATTAAATATATCATTCCAAAAATACAAAAAATGTTCTAAGATCCTCATAGTATCCTATTTCCAGCAATTTTTTAATATAATTGTTAATAAAAATAACATTTTGTTATCTGATGTACTAATAAGCCCTCTATTTATTTGTCCGTCTGTCGGGCGTTTTAGTTGTGATATTGCTTAATCTTAAATTTTTTGTATACGTTTATTTTATTAGGTCACATTGAAGTGACTTTAATTTTAGATTCAGCGATTATTATAGTTATTATTTAGATAAGTATAATATACCAGTTAACAGATAAAAAATGTAGCATTTCATTTTACGCTGTTAGATATTTTTTTTAATAATAAGACATTTTGAATGTTGATTTTTTTACAATTTCTTAGATTTTATGCTTACCCTATATGTTATTTATAGTTTTACACAAAGTATAATGAATGAACAGTATTTCATATAGAATTTAGGATATTTTTTATCTAATATTATAGTAATATTTTTAATTTCTGGTTGGAAAAGAGAAGCTTGAGGTTGAATGAGATTGATACACAAGTAAGAAAATTGCTATAATGGTTTATTATTTATGTAACATATAATTGTAACTGTAGAAAACTTCCTATTATTTTGTAGTACAATTGAAGTATAATAAATGATTTGGAAATGTGTAAATGACTCTTTTTGAACATACTTCTTGAAACTTATATTATTTTAAAAACTACTTATGATATTAAATATTAAGATTTGGTATACCAGTCTTAACACCAATAGAGACTTCTATATACTTTAATATCCTACTGGCCAAAAATTTTGAATCTTCTGGTTTTGATATATTGCCACTTATTAAATCAAGTTTATTTTCTGTGGTAAATGATATTATTTCACTAGCATTCACAGCCATAGTGTTTATTGGTAAACCACTAGTATTTAACAGCACCACTCGTCGTATTCTAAGATCTGGATGCACTTGTTCTAACATTTTCCTCGCCCATTCAACGCAGAAGATTCTACTCGTGTCCATCGCTAGCACGACGAAGTCTATAGCTAGTTTACCAGTCAAATCTGACTGTCTTACGATGTCTTCTAAACTAAAAGACCGCAGTACAACGAGTTTCCATCTATATTCTCCTTTGGTGTGAACGTCTATTATAGATTCAGAAACACTTTCTATAATATGACCATCAGAAGAAATCACAGCTACGGTCAGATTGTTTTTACAACAGCTTGGTCCTACCCAGGGAACTATTAAAAAATCTTCTATTGTTGACATTTTTCTACTATTTTGTACGTTCAATTCAAATATTAATATTTATACTGATATGAAAGAAAACAACGATCTTCTGTCAACATGTTTTAAATAATGACAGTTAACTGCTTTTATATTATTGTCAGCTTAAAAAAATTGATTTCTTATGAATTACACTAAATATGTTCTTAATTTTTCTAAATTTCTGAAACATTAATAACATTCAATTAATGCGAGTATGATATAATTAAAAATAGAGTTTATTTAAACAAATTGTGAATGTTATAATTTGAAAACATAATATGACATATTAGGATACTATTACTATAATTTACGATTACTCTGTGATGTAGTATAATAGTATTTGTTGTTTATGTCATCCTGATAGTATCAAGCTAAGGCGGGAAAACAAAAAAAGTGAAATGGTTTTTCTTCTATTGTTATATAATATTTAATATATATAAAAATCTGTAAAATTATACATCGACATAGAAATAATGAGTAGAAGAGACGAAAGATTTCCTGACAATGGTTTTGAAGCTTGGGGTGGATATATGCATGCTAAAATTGCAAAACTCGAAGAACAATTTTCAGAAGGAATAGGAAAAGAAAGTAAATTGTCAGATATATTTAAAGGTGTCAGTATTTATGTAAATGGTTTCACGGTGCCTTCTGCAGACGAATTGAAAGAATTAATGGCTATACATGGAGGAGTTTATCACACTTATCAAAGAAGTAATGACTTCATTATAGCTTCTAATTTACCAGATACAAAGGTAAAAAAAATGAGCTTAGCAAAAGTAGTTAAGCCAGATTGGATCACCGATAGTATAAAGGCAAATAAATTGTTAAACTATAAAGAATATTTACTCTATCGAAATTCAAGAACACAGTCTACAATCAAATTTAATCCAGAGAATAATAAAACTCAAATTTGTAACGTCGGTAATACAAAAACGTCGCTAGAAGAAACTAGTTTGTTAAAAGAATGCCAGATATCTTTGAAGATAGAAGATTTGGTTTCAAATAATTCTAATACTGACACAAAATCAGCTGAATGTTCCAATAATCAGCCTACTGTTTCCAAAAGTAGTGATAACTCTTCCAAAACTCATAACTATCAACCCAGTGACTCCGTTAATAAAGATAAGTATGCCAAAACTGCAGCGGACCCAAATTTTATATCAGAATTTTACAACAACTCAAGATTGCATCATATCTCTCAACTTGGTGCATGTTTTAAACAACATGTCAATGATTTGAGAGAAAATAGTGACTTTATTTTTCCTGCCAGAGAAAGTTTAAAAAACAAAATTGTAGCTTTAAATAATGAAAATACATATTCAAATGTCTGTTTTCAGAACGGTAAGACTATTATGCATATTGATATGGATTGCTTTTTTGTATCGGTTGGGTTGAGAAATAGACCAGAATTAAGAGGAAAACCGGTAGCAGTTACTCATTCAAAAGGTGGTCAGCCTGGAAGTAAAAGGTCTGGCAATGATGCAATTACTGAATCCAATTTATATAGACAAAGGCAAGCAAAAAAAATTGGTATTGATCTGGAAATCACTGACAACATTGAAACAGAATCTGCGGAAAGTGGGTATGAGGAGGAATCAGCATCTTACGGTTCGATGAGTGAAATAGCTTCTTGTTCTTATGAAGCAAGGGCTAAAGGCATTAAAAATGGGATGTTCATGGGGAAAGCTTTGAAACTTTGCCCTGAATTAAAGACAATTCCATATGATTTTGATGGTTACAAAGATGTTGCTTTTACATTATACAACACTATAGCTAATTACACATTAGACATAGAAGCTGTGTCATGTGATGAAATGTATGTTGATTGTACAGAACTCTTGAAATCAATGAATGTTAGTGTTATTGACTTTGCCACTGTTTTGAGAGATGAGATAAAGAGTAAAACTAACTGTCCCTGCTCAACAGGATTTGGTGGAAACAGGCTGCAAGCTCGCTTGGCTACAAAGAAGGCTAAACCCAATGGACAATTCTTTCTCACAGCTGATATAGTTAATGATTTTATGTATAATATAGAACTGAGTGATTTACCAGGTGTCGGATATCAGACGTCACATAAATTAGAGTCTTTAGGATATCAGACTTGTGGATCCCTGTTAAGTTTGAGCTTAGTAAGTCTTCAACAACATTTAGGAAAAAAGACTGGCGCACAATTATATGAACAGATTCGTGGACAAGACTCACACCCATTATCATTTCACACAGTAAGAAAATCCGTTTCCGCTGAAGTGAACTACGGTATTCGTTTTGAGAATAATGACCAGTGCAAAGAGTTTTTAAAGCAACTTTCTGCTGAGGTCCATTCACGGATGCAACAATTCAAAGTAATTGGTAAATGTATTACCTTGAAATTGATGGTCAGGGCTGAAAATGCTCCAGTACAAACTGCAAAGTTCATGGGTCATGGCTACTGTGACGTCATAAACAAGTCTACAACATTGCAAAATGCAACTAATGATGTTGAAATAATAACAAAAGAAGTTATTTCAATATGCAAGAAACAAAACATAGATCCAAAAGAAATGCGTGGAATAGGAATTCAAGTCACAAAGCTAGAACCGATCAATACCAAGCCAATAAAAGGAGCAATTAACAAATTTTTGACGTCCAAATCCTTTCCTAAGTCTGAAAAAGATATTTCAAATGAAAACATTGTTGACATAGGTGTAAAAGTTAAAGTACCTACGACGCCGAAAAAAGTTACAACTTGCACAAGCAAACAAAAATCTCCTATTCTAAATATATCTAAATCTCCGAAAGGGAAGAGAAGGGGACGACCTCCTAAACAATCTAAAGCTCAAGTATCTTTTAACCTGCTCAGTAGATTTTTTCAGTTAAATACTGAAGTAACTGTCAAAAATGAAATAAAAACAGAAGAATTGAGCAAACCCGTAATTAAAGAAGATATATCTAGAGAAGAAAAGCCAAAGCCCCAGGGCTTACTCGGATTACCTTGGGATAAAATAAGAGAATTACTCCGAGCGTGGTTTGAAAGTGGACAAACTCCTAAATATTGTGATATCCAATTAGTTGCTGGTTATATGCGGGAAATGGTAATGAATAAAAATTTAGAACAACTATACATATTAATAAATTTCATGAATAGAAGAATAGGCGAAATGAACGATAGTGTTTGGAAAGAAACGCGAAATTTTATTATAGACCAAGTACAAAATGCCATGATAGCTGTTTATGGAAAGAAGTTATTTGTTGCAGATGGATAAACACAAGGAAATAAATTTTAAATATGTTTGTATTCCATATTTCCCCTCTGGGCTCAAAGAGGTTCTGAATCTGATATTTTTGTATTTATATAGAAAAAAAGAGGCATTTTTGCTTTTATTCTGTACTCTAGAAGTGTAAACAATTTGTCTGCTGAATAATAATAATAAATAATAATAAATCACTTTATTTCCAGAACCATATCAGAATTTTACAAACACTTATTATTTAATAAATTTACTACACTATAAATAGACAAATAGGAACTTAAAAACTAAAACAAGGGCATGTAGCCCTAGGTATTTAATGCATGAATTAATTTCAATAGTCTGTCCATTAAGCCGAATTTGCTGGGCTGGGAAAAAGAAGTTTTAATTGATTTTATTAATAAATACAATTAAAGAGTCGAAAATGACAAAACAATTGCTATTACTATAGCTACAAAAAATCAGTGGGATTGGACATTTGAGTTTTGACAATACAATAGATTAACAGTCTGTTAGCCATTTGAGTTCTGACATGTAAACAGACATTAGTGCGAGGTGGGACGCTCTTTACATCTAACAGACCATCAAACGCTTTAGTAAGACAATATTTATTTAACATTCTTGTCAGTAACCAGTTAAACTTGTGAGTAGTGACTTATATATGATATTTTATAATATATCTATTTAGCGATGTCCAAGAAAACCCGTGGACCGAATTTTTCATCAGGTGAAAAAGAAGTTTTAATAGAACTTACTGATAAATATAAGGAAATAGTTGGAAATAAAAAAGCCGATGCCGTAACTATAGCTGCAAAAAAAACAGGTGTGGGAAAAATTAACAGAAGAATTTAATACCCTCAGCTCTTACTGTATTAGGACAGAAGATCAGCCACAGCAGAATCGCTCTGCGGGCCCTGTGGCTTACCAAAAGAGCGGCGCGTGGGACACCCGTGGGGTTTTAGTCGGTAGTGCGTCCTTTTCAGGACGAGAGTCCGACATAACTCTTCTTGCTTTCTTCCCCAAGCAGGAGAGTATGCATGCAGCATTTCCCCACGATAAAAAAAAAAAAGGACAGAAGATCAATTGAGAACATGTTGGGACAACTTAAGAAGAACTACTAGGAATGAGAAAGCTTTAGCGAAACAGGAATCCAACTTAACAAGTAAAATCCCTAATTATTTCTTCTTTGAGGACTGTAAATTCATAACATACACATTGTTCATCATATAGTATTAAAACAATTTTAATTTATTTTCAGGAGGAAACAGAAACGGAAATCCTTCTGGTACATTGCAAGCACAGATTGAGTCTTTGCTAGGACCAAGTTTAGATGAGGTTGATAATGTATTTGACTCCGACAACCATTCTATAGAAGAAAATGACACATTGTATGTAGAAGTTCTATCAGAAACTGAAACAAAAGTAAGTGTTTATTATTTAAACAAAAATGGTTGGTCAGTTTTTGTGAAACTGTGATTGTAAAATTAATACAATGCATTATTTGTATATAAAGTATATATGTATATAAAGTATATATGTAAATTTAAATTCATACTTGTTTATTATAGGTAATTAATTCTATGCACTTAAAAGCTATTTTTATCTCCATTCTAGGAAGACAAGAAAACTGATGCTGGACGTTCACAAGTACTAAAAGTAAAAAGAATTTTGCAATCTAAAGTTAGTATTGCTTGTGTATATATTACAATGATATTCTGTTCCATGTAGTAATATTTGTACAAAATGTGTATAAAATATCTAACAATAATTGTATCAAGTATTGTAATTTGTGTTAGCATAATTACCAATATTTGTTTCAGAATCCAGATAATATTTGTAGAAGTTGGACACCACTAGCATCAAAGACCAAAGTGTTCAATCATCATAAACGGAAAAATAATTCACTATCCTCATCATCTTCATCATTATCATCACCTCATCAAAAAAGACCAAGAATTTCACTACAGGACAAAGTTATACAAAATAAAATAGAATTATTAGATATATTGAAACAAAATGCTCAGAGAGAAGCAGAATTTAAAATTAAATTACTCGAAGAACAAATTAAGCAGGAACAAATAAAAACGCAAATTTTAACACTATAACTAAAAAAACTTTAATAGTAAAATTAAATGAAACTAATATTTTCGGATTACCTGTTATTTTATTCAACGCTAGGATAAGAGAAGTCGTCTGCTCGTGATCACGGTTCCTTCAAAGTAACTGAAACGTCAGTATTATGTAGTTTTTACAATAATAAAATATGCCTAGTAATCCAAAAAAAATAGTTTCTTTTAATATTAGGTTAATTATATGTATTTAACATTATTATTATACAAGTTTTCTGAGTAAAGGGTTTTATTTCGAGTTTTCCTTCTCTTACAGAGGTATTAAGAGCGTAGTATCACTTAGTCCCCTCTTAGATCCTGGCTGGTGACGAAGTGGTAACAGTTTGTTTTCTTACGCCGACACTATTAATATAAAGCATTATTTTGGTGCATGCTTTTAAAATAATTATTGATAAACTGTGTGCGTAATTGGTTTATATTCTTGGAATTCTTTTCTTTGTTCTCGTGTTTCCATGGTTAATCAATCCTTTACAAATTGTAGGTAACTTGATTGGGGTAATCTTGAGGTAATTCTAAATGTAATGTAATTATGAAGTACACTAGTCGCAACAATAACTGCCAAATAGTTTTTCAACTCAATCTGCATTACCAGAGAAAGTACAGGAAACTGTTGCTAACAATTCCATTGATGTTCTACTAGTTTTCTGCTTAATATTTTGGTCTCAAATTTATAAACTTTCCTTAGAAGTTCTGGGTTTATCCAGTGGCATCATTATATAGGGCTTATTCATATACCCACTATCAGCAATCAAAACTGCATCACCATAGTGACCTCTTTCACACATTTCATTTCTGAATGAAGAATTCCATATTGTCTGATCTTGACTACTAATAGGCCATCTTGCTACTAGATAATTTCTATAATAAGTCTACACTAGCAATGGCTTGAACATTAATTGACATGTAGTGTCACGTCTAAATTAATTACTTAATTACAAATTTTAATTAACTAAAACATTTAGGTAGACTAGGTATAAATCTAGACAGCTAGGTTTAGGCTCAGGCATTACTGGGATACCGAGGGTACGCTCCTTGTATCGGTTTCTCTAGTTCGATTCCTAGTTTTCTATCGGTGGCTTCGACTCGACGTGTGTCCCGCCGGCCGGCCGCTGGAAAGGTCGCACAAGGTCGGGGTCCGAAGCCAACACGATGAATTTAACTCCAGTGGTAATTCCTGAAATGCCGGAAACCAACACGTGTTACGGCATTCATTACATTAATCTAAAGCGCAATAAGCCAATAGCAATAAATAGCTTAGCAGAAAAAATGCATCTAAGAGTAATAATAATTAAAAAAACTACGCAATTATTTAAAGATATTAAAATGATTTGTTGGTCATGGTTGAGGCAAATTTAAATTAATCAGAAACGGTTACATAAACCACTGGCTATTAATAAAAATATAAGAGGGTATTTCAATATAATATAACAAAGAAATTATGACTATTAATTTTTAACATATGTACTAAACTACACTAAAAATTGTTTTTACATATGTATTTATAAGGGAAGCTACAACAAATATTTATTCTAGCTCAAAGGGCTACCATTAAGACGGTATAAGCATCTTAAATCTAAATAATACATAATTAAAATCAACAAGGCGAAGCATTAGTTAGGCCATAAGCATACTAAGTTAACTAGAACACTTATAATTAAATTTTAAAATGCACAACTTACCCAGTACGGGAACAAATGAGACGAAACTTCTCAGCATTCCATGGATTCACCGTGCGGGTGCCGCGTCCATCGCGTTGCAGGGAGAGGAGCTTCAACAGTGCCAACACTTATAAATGTAAATTCCCGAAAGGGATTAATAGAATTTAATTTTCTTAAAACCAGATTATAATAATTAATATTATATTTACCTAAGACCGGAACACGGTCCTTAGCGACAAGATACACGTAAGAAAGTAGGTACCTATACTATGTAATAGTAATGCAGCGACGAGTGTGCGCTTGCGGCCCGACCCGTCTTTTTTAAACCCGAGAATTGTAAAGGATATGTATACGTCTATAGCTATACCTGCGATTTATCTAATACGATAGTCAGTGAGGACAGTGTGTTTGTATATAAATTTTATATATTTTTTTTAGAAGTATATATTTTTGAATGTAGTAAATATAGTTTATTAAATTTACATATATTATAAAATAATATGTTACAGTAGCCTTTGTGGTTGGTAAAATATTCAGCATTTTCTGCACTTGATGAGCGGATTTCAATATGGGTACAATCTATAGCACCCAGACTTTTTGTAAACCGTGCTATATTATAAAAACTTAGCTGAACTGTTCTTTGTTCAGTTTAAGTGTCTAGAAATTTTATAAAAGTCCGTCTAAGAGAGGCTATAGCAGCGGTGACCTTATGTACAATTCTGTGTGTAGTTGAAGCAAGTGCTCATGGCACAATATTCACCAACTGTCATTTGTTTTGAACCAGCTGCATAGTATCGTAAGTCAACCGAAGATGGGTTATAAAAGAAATAGATTCATTTCTGTAACAAAATTGTGTTTATAAGACTTTTCAGACCTCGAATATTTAGGTATATACTCAGCAGCTCTTTTTGTTAAATCTAAATGAGGCATTTAAACTTCACACAAAACACAAAACTTCAAAAATATAATTGTCTGTCAAAATATTTACTTCCACGATAAAATATTAACAAGGCTTTATTAAATGAGACGTTAAAGGACTATCAAATTATTCTTTCTTGATATAAGACGACCAAAATTGAAGTTATAGCGTTAAATATGACATGTTTCCTACGATGCACCACTTTATGCCTTTTAGACCAGTGGCAATAGCTTTTAAAACATAATTAAATTATAGTAGAATGAAACTTATTAGAAAAGGAGGGGAATATTATAAAAATTAAAGGAAAAATAATTTACGGGCGATCTGGGGTCGGGGTGGGTATTTAAGGGTAAAAAATGGTTTTTCTCGATTTCCGACAAAACTAAAAGTTCTACGGAAAAAAGGTATATGGCAAAGTTATAGGTAATAAAAAGAACTCTTTCTATTTATTTTTAATAGTTTTAGTAGCTTAATGTCAATTTTCTGTAAATTACCTAAAAGAGGGACTATCTGGAGAACTTCTAGAGTATTAAAAATAAATTAGAAAGAGCATTTTCAAAACGATATCGAGTGTCATTTCATTAAAAAAGACATGATTATTTTATCCAAAAATGGTACTGTAAGTAAGAAACTTATATTTTTTTCTTCACCATCAGAAAATAGAGATTTTAACTGATAGAAAACATACCAAATTTTTGAAAATACTGATATTTTGACTGTTGATTTTCGATTGAAATTGAGGCTGATTTTCGGTATTTATTCAAAATAAGCTGAAAAAATAAATATTTCCAATCAAATAAATTACAGTTTATTTGGGACATCAAAAGGTAAGTTTTTACCAAATTTCGTGACAAAATATTGTTTTTTGTAAGAGATAAAAATAAAAACCAAAAACTTGGTTTTTGAATTATTCACATAAATTTTGAGGTTATGTGAAAAAAATGTTAGTACAAAAGTTTTAGATCTTTTTATTACCCTACAACTTTGCCATATTACTTTTTTCTGTAGGACTTAGTTTTGCCGGAAATGGAGAAAACCCATTTTTTACCCTTAAATACCCATCCCCATACCCTTCCCTACCTCAGATCGCTCGTAAATTATTTTTCCTTTAATTTTTATAATATTGAACTCCTTTTCTAATGAGTTTCATTCTACTGTAATTTATTTTCACTTTTCATTAATTTTAAAGGCTCCTGCACTGGCCTATTGATCGCTTACATCCCTCTCGATACGCTACTTGTATAATGCGGCCAAATTTTATATATAGTTGATTGCATACATATATTTGGCACACAAAAATATTTCCTTTCAGTTTACTAGTTGTAACCTGTCAAAATCGTGTTGTCAATTTTTATAAATTGACAGTTGATTGATGACAATTGAACTCTAGAGCAGAAATTAATATTTAATGTTTTGTTATTATGTTTAAACAGACAGCGCGTGGTGGGACGCTCGATATATGTAACAGACTATCAAAAGCCTTAACAGGAAGTTATTATTGGTGAAACTGGGTATAAGTCTTCCAAACAATTTGATCATAAACTACTAATTAAAATAAAGAGGACAAATAAAATACCATATATTTTATAATTATTTTAATGCTTCTAAAACGACGTTATCGTCACAAATTTTATTGAACATGTATACATTTCATATTCCGTATTTCATATAGTAAAAGACATCTATTTTACATCGACGAAATAAACACACGTCTTGTTACAAATATCAAAAAAGTTTCGCAAAAATGGCAGTTTACGGTGTTAATAAAAAGCATGTTTCACTTTGAAATGCCGTTAGTTCATGAACCATAATTGTAAAAAAAAAAAATACATACATTTTATCCTTCCCCCAATATTTCATCATTTTCTAATTTTACTATCACAGATGCTTGTATGATAAAAGCGATGATAGTCGTAGCAAGCTTCATAACAAATAAAAATAACATTCTGTTTCACAAGAAAAAAAAAATAAGTTAAGCTCTTTGTGAACCATCTTTTAATAGACATTTACTATTTAGTTAAAAAACTTTTTCTAGACAACTACGTGTTAGTAGTTACTGTGAGATATGAAGTTAAAAAAATTAAACACTTTATATCAGACTACCGTCATTGACATGACTGAATACATTTTTTAAAATATTATATTTTACATACATATATATTAGTTTTTTTCGGACTGTACATTTATAAGATATGAAAAGCTAAGTTTTATATACGAGTTGTTACTACATATTATAAAGAACATTTATGTTTTATTTATGTAGACACTAATAAAATGTTGATCTATACTTATTTAAAACTTTAATTCTACAACAGTCGATGCAAAATGATTATGCAATTTACACATTAAAATTATTGAACGAAAATTTTAGGTACCATTTTTTGAAAATCAGTTTATATATAAATGACGGTAGTTTTAATTTTATTTGGTGTAACTTTAAGCGGTTGAGTTCGCTGAAATCGAGTGTTTCAGCTTTGAATCTATGATGATCTCGTCTCCTGATCGTATGTTGTAAGAGTACAGCTGTTTTGTTGGATATTTCATTTCTTCTGGACCCTGAAAATTGTGAACTCGAGATTTAAAAAGAGCAATATGTCCGATAAATTAGACGAAGCACGGAGCATTATTTATGTTATTTTTATTCTGATAAATATACAATGCAAAAAGCACACGAGTTTTGTAATCTAATTCAAGCTATGAATTTCATTGTTTTAAGCACTAATAGAAACTGAACTATTATATTTTCTGATTTACATATCGTCGGGGATAGTGCAAATCCGCGTAACTAGTATTGGATAATTCCGAGTATCTACATTAGAAGCAGATTATCAGAAGAACGTTTAAGCTGAAATATTTTCTATATTAACGACTTTTAAAATAATATTTTCACAATTAGTAATAAATTAAATACTAAATTATTTTAACCTGCGAGTCTCTTAGTTCCTGATCGACGTAGAACAGTCTCATCTTGGACGCCGGGAAGCCCGCGAGCCTCTCCAGACGAGTCTTGAGATCTGATACGGTTCTGGAACGATTAATCATTAATGAATGATACATGACCTTGAAAAATTACTTCAATTAATTTCTTATAATATTTATAGCATCGAAAAAATGGTTATGCCAATAGAATTTAAAAATAAAGTAGAAGTGATGTTTATTTTCACACTACTGGGATTTATGTTATGATTTGTAGCGTTTCGGGTAATTTGAAGTTTTTATAGTTCTTAACTACGTATGAAAGAACAGACTTATAAAATACATACATGAATAATTTAATTTACAAAGGGATTGTGATGTGGATTTCAATATAGTAATTAAATTCATTACTTGTCAATATTATTTGCCTTACTTCATTGAAATTAGTTTCAATGTATCAATGTAATACTACTCTCAATACCTTTTGAAGTTAATAATAACATATCTATTGGACCCTTAGTCGTCTATGTCAGTATAGCTAGTCAATGGCTCACTACTACCCCGCCTAGAGCGCACCGCACGTCCCCGTTCCGCTCCGCGCAAGTCGTGAGACTGCCGAGCGAATGCCGCCCTTTCTAGTGGGGTACGTGAGCCAGTGTATTATATCTATTGTATACATACATACACTATAATATCTATTACCTGTATACATCTATGGTCCGTACTTCGCTCGTGTCGCCACAAGTGAAAGTGATCTGCACTCGTTTCTCTGGCCTCAAGTCGACTGAGACTAACGGGTCGAGCTTACCGTGAACACCGACCAATTCCCAGTACCTGAAAAACGGGAATAATCAATAGAGATTAAAGTTTTCAATCTATCTTTGATATTTGTTTAAAATCGCTAAATTTTCCGTCTAATGTTTGGGATAGCAAATATGATTATTGCTTTAATCTGTACTATCTAACAGACTTACGTCTTCGATTTTTGTTTATACTCAAAACGGTACTTGTTTCTTTTGCTGAAAATAAGTTTTCAACCTGGGTTTTATATTTAAATGTCAATTAAATATACTCGTTTATAATAAAGCCATTAGGACAAATATCTGTCAGCTGATTTCAGTGGATATGGAATTATGAGTATTTACCAATAGTAAATACACCCACTATCTCCTTGTATGTTCTCAATATCCATTTAAGGATTTCTTTTTATATATGGTGAGGTCAAAGTGATAATTCATTATTTTAAAACATAAAATATTTAGACTTGTTATTTCAAAGAAAGTTTCAAAACTTCAAATCTTTTGTGGGTCTTGGAATGGAAAAAAATTGGCGAAAGAAATAAAAAGAGCCTATAAACTAGTTAATGTAGCTTCTGACACGTTCTTGAGGAGTTCAGCGTGTACATAATTAATCCAATAGTTTTAAGCTTGTATAGACAAATATTTTCTAAAAGAAAACCGGTTGTATTCGTTAAACACTTACCTACATCTTCTAAACCAAAATAAATAATAAAACTTAATTTATTCATGCTTATTTTAGGTTCCGAGAATACGTTTTGTTCCTTTTATAAACGGTTTTATTTATTATATACGGAAAAGCGGAATACAAAATTTGCAGGTACATTCTTTTAGAACTTTTCTCGGAAACAAAGTAAGAGTCTTATATCAAAAAATAGATAGACTTATATCTGAAGTATAAAACAAACCTGTCAGGTCGATCAGACTCTGGTTTTTCCATGTAGTATCTGATGAAGGCCCTTTCAGCGGCGTCTCTTTCTTCGATGGGAACAGCTCCTCCGCCGTTGAGTGTCCTCACGTGAGGCAGACGAGCCACCAATAACAGACGACGCTCGTGTTCAGTTGATTCCACTCGCTCCCACAATGGCCAACCCTATTAAAAACCATTTATAAAACAGGAATTAGTTTTTTTAATACTGATATTTTCCTGTTTTTGTTGGAGGTAAATTATTATAATGACTTAATTTCAAAATAGTGTTTCTGTGTTTTTTTTGGGTCGTCAATACTTAAAAGTCATAGCGTTTTAAAGCACATAAAAAATTTAAGTCACGATTTTCGACGATCCTATCATTTGTTTATTAACTTCAAGGTTTAATAAGGTTTAGTTTATTAGAATACTTGAAAAAAAATTATGATTATAATATTACATAATCCTGTTTGTTAATGTCATCCATTAAATTTTGTGCGTCACAAAACAAGAATAGCAACCTCCCTTTGTTTTGTAACAGCGTGCATTCAACCTTGCCGGCTAGTCGCTGGTTTATCCAGAAATGGAACGCGGAAAGTTTAGCTACAACTAAAGAACTGCGGAATTAAGATAATCGAATAGAAAAAAAACTCAATTAAATTAGTATTATAAGAAGGATGCGGTAATTGAGAACGAGAATTTTAATTCCGCTGATTCACTTGTATTTTTTAATAATAATTAATAAGTAATGAATATTTAGCAACTGTCTTATCGTAAAAAAAAACAGTAATAAATCTCGATTATATTGTTCGAAATCTTTAAAATGTTTTGATGTCATTTCAAGGACTTTATCAAACGAAAACCAAAATTGAATAGAAAATATGAAATCGAAATTAAGAGATGGTAGGATAAAAGTATTTTTTAAGCAAATTATGCATCATTGTGTTATTATTATTAGCTCTTAAGAAATATAAAGTTCTATACAAAGATTTCAATTATGGATTTATAATAATAATAGCCAATCCGTCAATTCCTATTTCATAAAATTATTAAAAATTCAAGGTTATTTATTTCAATTTCGAAAACGAGACCAAAATAAAGAGATTGCATAATACATAAATATAGAAAAGGAAAGCCAACCTAAGTTTATTTGCTATTTATGCAGAGCGAATCGCTGAACATAAATGTTACCATATTCAGTTGGTTGAGTATAAATTAGCCGAAAACATCTGCAGTCGACACTTCCCGACCGTTTATCTGTGTACGGGGAGCGCACACGCATGGCAACCCCAATTTATTAGTCTACCGCCAAAAGTGGGGGTCTGGGGGAAGGGTTTTGGTAAATTTCCATTTAAGCGTACCATTCTGTAATGGAACCGTTCTGAATCATTAATCTCCGTGTAGATTACAGCAATGTTTATTTTACGGCTGTTGAAATTATATAATTGTTTGTTATTGAAACCGATAGATAAATATTTACAAATAGAAATAGTCGTATTATTGATAATTATGAACTTAAATTTTCACGCTTACCATTGATGAAGTATTTTTATAGTTTAGTTTGTTTTCTCTTTTGTTGTATGTAAGGTACATTAAGTATAATAAATTTGTCTTGGTAACCACAAACAACATTTGACCTGACTGCAATTAAAGTAACACAAGTACAGGTCACGGGGGCATTATGACGTCAGAGTCTTCGTTTATTATACAATCCCATAATCTATAGTCTTAGTTTTCTATCTATTAGAAATTATGATTATAATATTCGTTTATAGAAATTTAATCCTATTTAATTTTACAAAATAAACTCATTGAACACGTTCTAAAGTGTATGTTAGTTGACAAAGGCCCCGAGTTTATACTTCATAGGTACCTTTCAAATCGAATCACTGCAGGGGTTTAACTGGGTCGTAACTCACAGTCGGTGCGAGTGAATAATGAGACTAATTTGACTTTGAATCAATAAATATAATCGGAGATTAAGATATTTTTATATATGTATATGTAGACATGAATTTAAATCAATAACTTTATCAAATTTTATAAGGCTAAAAAAAATAATCTTAGGCATTATTTTTAATATAGGTGATTTGTAAATTATAATATACCTAGTAGTACTAATTTTTCAAATATCGTAAGGGGAAATTGAGCTGAATTATTAATATTTCAGTAAAATACAATCTGTAACATATTTAATTTTATATTTTTATGAATTATTTCATCTTATGGCTACAAAACGAAGCCAACTGTCATGGCGACTCGTGTTACGTCACAGGTTGCAAAACAAAGAGCTGTTTGGTTGAGCGGTTAACAAGTTTACAAATTATCTATTAAAATAAATCAAAGCTACATATAGTATAGTATCTCAGTGTGAAAGTTCAACAAGCAAAACACCAAAAAATCTATTTGTACGCACCCATTTCGACAGGAACAAATACGTAAAGAATGGTTAGGTACAACTTGAAAAATATAAATGTAGTTTCGGATTCCAAAATATATTTTTGTGAGGATCTTTTCGATGTTAGTTTCAACTTTCTTCCTGCTAATTGTATTTTTTAAATATATAAATGTAATAACAAAATTTGCTGTTCCCGATATTGAGAATAATTTTTATTAGGTGATTTTTCTTTGTAACACTTTGACATTTTTTGAAACACTTTTCTAATAAACTAATACTTTTTAACTTATAACCGATATTTTGGTACAGTTGGGAAACGACATGACAATTATATGGAATATTATGTCATGGAATTTATATTACAAATTCGGATAAAACCAAACGCTTTGCCTAGTAAATTTGACTGTCAACCAGATAGACAAAAGCGAACAGGCAACAGCTTGTAACGACCATATGTTGTAAAATAACAAAGGATGATAATAGAAGAATTCTTAAATGAATCAGTTGAAAACAGAATTGTCCTTACTACTTCAAGAAAAAGCTTCTTTTACTAATCCACCTACTTTCTTACTTACTCATTTAATATTACAATAATAGTAAGAATAATAATTATAAACTTTTGCCTGCTTACATACAATTCATGAATAGAGATAACACTTGGTAGCAAATTTTTAGCAGCTTTATATCGGTAAAAAAATAAATATTCCAAGTATTTTATCACTTTAAACCCTCAAACACCTAATCACACGTTTTGTGATGTGAATCATTGGGGTCATTTGATACATAAGGATATTAAAAAATCAGACAAAAGATTATATGCGCATGCGCATCTTATTAATGGTGGGCGTGTAACGGACGGTCACTGATCGGATCAGATGAATCATTTGAGACTCGCATGCTCCAGGTGATAAAGATTTATTTAAACTCTGTTTTATTTCGTTTTCATATCTCCATCATTAATCCTGTTAGCTGGTAAGTCAGTGGTGGCCTAGTGGTTAAAAGGCCCGCCTCTCGTGCACGAGGGCGCGGGTTCGATTCTGGCTCTGGCAAGTACCAATGTGATTTTTCCGAGTCCTATGTGCTTTATTAATGCATTCCTAAAGAAGGTTGATGTCAGGCAGGCGGCCGATCGAAAAAAAACAACTAGCCAAAACTATTCACAACATGTATGGCACGCCCTGGCTAGAGCTGGGAAAATGCCAGGTTGAAGAAGAATCCTATTAGTTGGTACTGTCATCTTCTATATATATAAAAATGGATTGCTGTTCTTTAGTCTCGCTTAAACTCGAGAACGGCTGAACCGATTTGGCTAATTTTAGTCTTGAAACACTCCTGGAAGTCCAGGAAAGGTTTAAAAAATGAGAAAAATTGGAATAATTGCCGGGAAATTCCTAAAAACAGCCCTTTTCTATTTCCCATACAAACGTTTTTTTTTACATTAGATTTAACAACTAACTAATATGTCAATCATTCTGTTTGATTGAAACAGGAAAAACCTGATTATTTATGGCCTCTTAGACGGAATAGAGTTCGCCTGGTCAGCTATACTTAGATATATTACTCTTGACCAAACTAACGCGGACGAAGTCGCGGGCAAAAACTAGTATCAAATAAAATATGTACTTTAGCAGTTTTATTACAATTAGACTCATGATTTAGGAAGTTAAGACAATGACAAATCTCATTGAGGTATAACGAAATGTAGGAGAGATTTACGAGTAAAAATTTTGATGAACTAATTTCAACTGCTCAACGTTGATCTGATGAAGATTTTACAATTTAGAACGAATGATGGTCGATTTGATTTACCATAGTCGTCGGCAAGATCTGTTTTAGTGGGATAAGGTATCTTTCTAATATCAATATCTATCTATATCTTATTTATTTCATATATTAATTGTATATGAAGTAATATTATAAAATGAAATACATTTTACTAGGCTTTACTATAATATATTATAATCGTATTTCATCCTTTATTAGTAAACTGCACAAAAAATTTTTGAATTTTATATTTACATTTATTTCATTATGAAAGTTATTCATTTAATTATTCTAAATGTATAAATTTGAAGATTAAATTACGGTATATACAATTCTTTGTAATTCTTTACTACATTAATTCTTCTCGGACTTTTAATGAATTAAATTATGCATTCATCCAAAGCATTAATTATAATTAATTGAAGTCAACTTTAAAACTTGCCATTAAAGATTTCTATGAACTTTTAATTATATCATAGAAATGGCTTTAAATAGATCCCTTTGTATTTTGATACATTCAACTTTCATTATGAACAACAAACGATAAGATTTCGTTTTTATGTCAAGGCTACATGAGGCGGTTGTCGATAAAACGTGGGGGAACTTTCACGCAGAAAAATATTTCGTTTTTCCAAGATATGAGAGGCGAGAAAATCTTATTATGTAGTATATAGTATGTAGATCCTTATTAACTTTATATAGGAATTTTATGGGAATTTTTCTTCACCCATATGCATGTTTTTTAAATTAATTTTCACTTATGAATTATACAATAATATAGACTTAAAATTTACGTACCGTTTGATTCAGTCAAAGTATATTTTATGAAAATAATTCCCAAGACAAAGTTCGGATAGTTTTATATAACTTTAATACAAAATCTATTTAAAGCTTTACGATTGAATACAGTTACCTTAATAGGAGTTTGATCGTAAACGTAAAACAGGTAGTTTAAAGTTTTCCCTTACATTTCGTAGTGTGACTGTCTATAGTTTAACCTGGGAAACTTATAGTAAGCGTAATTTACGGCATTTTTTTTGGCAGCCACGCCAGCTGATAGACTAATGACCTTGGCATAGGATAACAGTTTCATTGTGGTCGGTAATAAATTCACTTGCACTGATTAATAGGTCAAGGATGAAACTATACGAGCTCATCTCCAAACAAAAAGTAATTTTTAATACATAGGATAGAAGACATTGGATATAATTACATATAAACGAAAATCCTATTTAATTTACAATTTTAATTTAATTTTATCTTGTTGTCTATTTGACAAAATATTGGTTATTTTTTTTTAAGATTCAGTTATGTTGGAACTTGTTAATTGAGATACATTGTTTCAGCGTCTTACTTATTTCTAGAACAAAATTAAATAGGTCTCGTTTAAACTCCATTAATTTTGATTCTCATTTTGACAACGACGATAAAATTATTCAGACAAACTGGGAACCAACGACATGAATAAATACGTGATTTTTATTTATTTAACAATACATATGTAATTATTGACACGACTTTATTTAGTGTAAACGAAAAAACGATCCTAAAAGTATTATTAATATACGATTTTTGAAAACAAGACTGCTCTTTACATCCTTCGTGTAAGAAACACTTACATTATAATAATATTAGAAGCGAACGTAAGTATAAGCAAAAACATCAAGGAAATTAAGAACAGCAAAGTAACTAGACCATCTGACTAATAGCATTAACGTAATACTTAAATATAAGGCAATTGTCTGCGTTCGATGCAACGCTTCCGAGATGCAAACGTGAAAGGATTGTGGAAGGTCGACAACATGAGTATCGTCAGCATTAAACCGATCGATTAAAGGAGTTTTACTTAAAAAAATCTTAATTCATTACGCATACTACATATTATATGTCTTAAGTTTATGACGTACTAATGGTTAGTACAAAATTAATAACCGCGAATGATTCATTTATAACTTCATTGTGAATCATCAATATCATATTTTTCTTTATTTATTTTATACTCTAGCCTCATCCTTTATTTAATTTTGACATTATATTCATTATTTTGCAACTCTTCGACATCTCACATCGCCATTTTTATTATAATGTCATTTAGATTTGACAGATGACATTTGTTCTAATTTTTGTGATCTTGAACTATAAAGTACTTTTGAATTGTGTTTAATGTAAGTCGTCTTATAATTAATATAATAAATTTATACAAATACTTATTACAATAACTATAAAACCGTGTATTGCTCCTAATAAATCCGTGTTAAGTTTGTAACATATCATTTAAAACACATGCAACACTCTCACGTAACCCGTAGCGTGACGGTCATTTCGAAATCGTACCAAATTTCTATTTATAATATTTATTTTAGAGTACAAACTCAATTTAAATATATGGGACTAAAGGGCAATAAAACATTCAAGGCTATTTAAATACAGATTAATACATATAAACCTTTTATATGGCCGATTAATTTCCGCATACGACTTGTTGAACCAAAAATATTTTACATAACGTTTATACATATTCAAAACTTTGTTGCTATGCAATTAAAATGTAAATCTTTTGATTTCTATTTGATATGTTACATGATGAAACTACGTTCTAATATACGTTGTACGTTGCGCAAACGCTATGTGGGGCGTCTCTAAAACCGGGAGACCTTCACCTACATGATAGATCCCGAGGGACTCGAATAACATTTTTATACGACACAATGATGCTAGCTAAATAATGTAATGATAAATACTTTCACAGTTTCTGAACGTACACTATATATTTGACAGATGCGGCGTTAAATGCGCATTTGACAGCTTATATAATTAAATTATTGGCGAACTACCTGAGAATTTAGATTGTAAATAAACAAATATAATTATTTATATTGGTTATAAATTTTGTATGAGTTATTTTTAATAGCTTGCAATAAAAATTTTAACCTTTTCCCAACAAAGAGATTTCGGAATATTTAATTTTTATTCGAATGGAATATAGTGTAGGAAAACAATAAGGAGTATTTATATATTAATTTATCGGTAATCTTATAGCCACGTCTTAATTGTACTGTTGGTAGGTTTTAGTGATGTAACTATTGGCGCTGGTGATCAAGTATTCAATACATTAATAGATACAATGTAACGTCTCTGTAGCTATGAGAATATATTTATATGATATAGGTACTTGGTAAGATAAAACTTGTTCCTAACATATTTATAAGGCGATCAAACACAAACATATCCTTGTGTATATTATGTATTGATGAATATGGCTCACATTTGTATGAGTTAGAACTTAGAAGTTAGCTAGTATTAATGCTTCTTCAATTTTCTTAGACGGATCTGTGTGCGTTACTATGTTAAAATATTTGTTTTTCATACCCTGAAATCTGTTCATTATTTCATGAATTAAAGGTGACATATAATCGTTCTAATCAATAATATTTTTCATGTATTTGTCATGACTTTAACTTAGATACGTATAAAAATTATGATAAAGAATGATATAATTATCATTTGATGATGAAATGCTGGAATAATTAAGACATTACTTCCAAGAATAAACCAGGAATCCGGGGCAAAACCCGGGCCAAAAGCTAGTATGATGTAATTTAAAACGTAATCCATTTGATATATAAATAAATATACGCGGTACCAATCGATTGCTCCGAGTTTGAATTCAAATCATAAATTTCAAGTGATTGTTTGAAACCACCAGAATCCTTGATCCGTATACAACATACATTCCGGCTAATGTATTGCAGAGTATATTTTAATGCAGTACCGTTAGTACGAGTTTCAAACGGTTACCTAAACACTAGCAGTTTAAACGTTTACCTTTCATATCTCAGGATGTATATGTATTACAAGTTACAGACAATGAAGAAGCGGTGATGTCTATGTTAAAATCGCTGTGCAAAATCATTCTAAGGGTACATACAGTTGCTTCATAATGTGTAAGACATAAAGCAATATATTGAGAAATAAACATATAACCTTTTACTACAAAAGTTACGCTTGCGATTCATTTTTTGTTAGAAAAATTTGTATGCAAAATTAAACACATTATTATACGTAAGAATCTGTGATTCAATATGACTATTTATATTATAACTCACCTGAACTCTTAAACTCTTCAATGCAGGAAACCTCGCGAGTCTATCGACCTCATCCCACGTGGTAAGAAGAGTGTTGTTCAAGTTTAAGAACCGCAGACGCCTGAAATATAACGTCTAGTTCAATTTGGACGCAATTTTCAGATAAAAGAAATGATTCAATGCTAAATGGATTTAATATAAGCCGTAGGCTGTTAGGTATCCAGAAGATTTGTTCTAATATGAAAATAACGACCTGTAATGAGGGTAGTTTTAAATTACTTACTGGAAGGCATCATGGCATTTCTTATTTCCATTGCTGTCATCACATTTCTCACACGGGTCAGGCTCCAAGGTCGTTATGGGGCAGTCATTCACCATAAGAGTTTCCAAGTTGGGGAAGGCATAACCCAATTTGGATATTTCCCGCCAACTACTGACTGGGTTGCCAGAGAAATGGAGTTTCTTCAGCTGCTCGTGAACCGGTTTTGAGGTTTCCACGTTTAACCTTGAGCAACCCTCACAGACGTCTTTCTCATCCACGTCTTTGGCGCTCAAATTGACGTATGAATACTCGTTAAGGCTCAGATGCAGCTCTTCAAGAGCTGGTAGAGCTTTAAGGAGTCCGAGAACACTCTGCCAACCGACGTAAGTGGAGTTTAGTACGAGATTACTGAGAGCATCCCAGCGATGACGTAACGTCTGAGCAGCTTGTATCTGAGCTGAGAGTCGGTTGAAGCTTAAGTTAAGAAACCTCACACGAGGCGTCTGCTCCAAGACGGCAAATACCTGAAATGAAGTACATTCTGAAGCTATACCCATTACCTTTCATCATCGTCATTAAGGTTTCTTATATTCTAATTAATAAATCACAAATTCTTTGATCGAATGAGATCTCGTTACTTCATCTATAGGGACATAGAATCTCAGTCGTTTTTTGCTTAGCTATCGCGCTTGAATCAGTGAATTAACCAATCAATATATTAATTACCTCTTTCCAGTCAGTTAGTTTATTATTCGCTAGGTCTAGTTCCACTACATCAGCACATTTATCAGCTAAGGCACACGCGTCACCGGCGCAGTCTATGTCACAGTCATTGAGCACCAAGAGGGTTGGTACGCTGAGTCTCGGCGATCTTTTTGGCACAAATATGGCCACTGGCATGTCATCTATAGGTGGATTCACTTCACCCTTAGCCCCATACTTCCTCTCCAACGCTTCTAGCAGAGACGGCATTATGAACTGCTGGTCAAAATAAATTACTTATTAACTATTTCTTCTTCATCTTCTTTGCTTCTTCCCACGTTAGGTAGGGTCAGCTAAAACCACTTATCAAACTACGAAAACAGTAAAACTCCATATATGTATTGTGGCAACGAAACAATTGATTAATGCATTTTCTTTGTTAGTTCATAAACGTTAGGTATTTTTAATGTAACCGATTGCAATATATCCTTCCAACAACATACAATTCCGTAATTGAAATACTTATGTTCGCTGATTTGTAACTTAAAGAATGTAATAATAAAATTAAAATAATCAGAGCTTTATTATCAATCTAATTTATCAGTACAGTGCAAGGGCATTATTTTAATGTCGATATTGGTCAACTGGTCAAGTATCAAGGGTAAAATCATGATTTAAGACTTTTTACACTCGAGGTAGTAGTTAAGTTTTATATAACCAAGTTATATCCCTTTCAAATATTAGTCAACCATCTCATAGTTCAAACGTGTTGAGAATAGTTTAATATTATATTATAACGAAAAGCAATGCTGTTTAAGGAAATAAACTAAGATTAATCGAAAGATAAATAAACTAAAAAATAATGTCATTAAAAATTTTAAAAAAATGTTTGTTTGCATTCTTCTTTTAGTATAGGTACTGGAACTTGTAACTCTTACTTTAAAATGTATAATTTTTATAGTATAAATACGCAGTTTTACAACGAATTTTTTTTACCATAGCCATTATAAATGCTTGAAATATTTCATAGTCGCCATGACCTACCACAGATTGCGGTAGTTTCAAATTTGGCCAAGCTGTGTCACAATACACTTGGTGATCATAATGACATTTCTGTGGTGACAATACATATAATGATAATGACATCAAGTTAATGATATTACGTAACAAAATAACTTTTTAATTTCGATAAATGAGCATCACGTGACCAATTAAATATTAATTAAACAAGATTTATAATGAAACCTGATTTTAATAGGTTTGTATAAAGATCAAATTATTATATGAATATTAATAAAGACATATTTTTGAACTACTCTATTAAGGAATATTTCTCTGTTCATAACTAACGTTCAAAAACAATCTATTTGCAAGATTCGTTCAACAATAAATAATATTAAAAATTATTTTATTTAATGTATTGTTTATATAATATTATTTTATTGTCCGATAAGCAGACACGTGGCGTGCATGTGTTTTTTTTTTTTAAATATAAAATTAAAGAATCGTGTTTGAACGCAATCAGTATGATTGTGCGTTCAATTAAAACATCAAAACGGACAAGGTTATTGTGGAAAGTGAATTAAGAATGTTTGCTTTAATTATAACAATTTTTGCAATAAAAATTTTATTTAAATATTATTGAAATTATATTTATTCATACGTATTTAATTCTCTATTACCTACAACGTTTATCTATTCAATTACAACGATGAACAATGGTCCGTTCATTAACGATTATAATCTTCGTGGCTGAGTGCTGAGACCTTCGCTTTAAGTTTCAATATTAATATACTTATTATAGACAAAAGGATTAAAAAAAAATCACAACAACTTAAAAAGGAGGTTATACATATGTTTTACTTACAGTGTGTTATGTAAACAACACTTTAAATGTGTGTGTAACTTGATGTTTGTGTGAGTGACACTACATAACACTCAGTCGTAGCAATTTTTGTTTAACAAAGAGTCTGCGATGTTTGAATGGTGCTTTAAGAGAGACGAAAAACAAAACATGAAAAAAAAAGAACTGCTTGTTTTAAGCATACACCATAGACTATAGAGCAATGCGATCTTATATAAATATTAGAAAAAAAAATACGATCTATGGAACGCAAATTGTATATAAACATTTATTCATAATAAAACCGCAAATAAACCACACGATTTTATAAGAAATAGCGTATTATTTTACAAATTTTAAAGCCGGATATTCAACTCTATTTCTATGTGTATAAAATCTAAAATATTATGTATATTTTTTTATCTTATCTTCAGATTTATCTAACAATACACGGCACTCCAATTAGAAGGTAATAGGGAATTCTTACTAAATGTCTTCCTACGCCAATTAAAAATAACACATTTATAATGATATACACGTTATATATTATAGAAATTGTATAAAACTTTATGTAATATAGAAATTATACATATATAGCTTTATTGAGGAAAATTATTAGCATGTGAAAACATACGGAACATTAATGAAACTTTTCTTATGATATAAAATTAATTAACAAGGCGTTGCAAATTTTCACACTCGATTAAAAATATTATTAATCAAACATTTATATAAGATATAATATTTTTATTAAATAGATTAATACGTTAAAGTATATTAGAATTAAATTCTAGACATACAATAATATTTTAGTGTACATTCGTCAGTCATTTAGGGCTTACAGGATAGCGAGGGTAGTTAGAGACTAGACGAAGGGTAACGAACTTATGTCTGGAACTATAATAAAAGATATTTAAATATCTTATTTTAATTCATCAGTTCCATTGTAACCTTTACCTTTATCAAAAAAAAGGTTCATTTTTCAATATACATAACTCATAAGTAAGTATGTAAAATGTTTTTTTATTAATCATTCAAATGACCTTCATTTCGTCATTCAAGAACTTGTTTAGTTCATAAAAAAACTTCGATAGTTCATTCAATACACAGCACGTGTTGAACCAAAACAAAACTGTGAACAATTAATTCGACGTCCTTCGATAGATAAAAAAATAATAACAACTCCGTACATTATGAAGTATGTGATGATAAACACAAGAATATATTAATTGAAATAAATATAACAATTATGATTTACAGATAAAAATTATATTACATAATTGTGAAAAAAGGTTTAATTAAACTCGTTAAAAAAAAACTTAAAGACTTTACACAGATTAAAAACCCTTCTCGATAAATGTATACAGAATATAAACTTTTTTTTATTTATTTATTATGCCTAAGAGATTTTGAGTTCGTTTTTGGTTATAAAATATATATGGACTAATGTTATTCAGACTCTTTGGATATACTAACTAGAGAAGAACAAAGTCTAGACGATTTGGAATACATAAACACAACTTATAAAAACTAAAATGTTTATAGATCCTCGGAGAATTTTCATTGTGTATATGAGAATGTTTTTTTGTAATAATATATAGAAGAAATAAGTAAACGATCTGACCTATAAGTATTTAAAAAGAGTTACAGATAATGATTTATTATACGCGAGTTTTCACTCGGGACTTTCCAAATTATTCCGGGTGTGTCTTTGGAAAAAATTAAATATTTAAATTGTATTATATATCGCAATAAAGTGGCAGTTAAATAAGTAAGAAAACAAACATTAGATACTATAATACAATTAGGAGAAGATTGATTTGTTAACTGCGTAAAATGTATAAATATTTTTCATACATTACAGTACGTTTACTAGAATAAGCAAAACGACTAATTAAATATACGTAAGTTCATGTAATTTTCTACGAAGATTTATTAATGAAAACCTTATGCAGATGTTACAAAATAATCAAACAACGTTGCTATAACCATTTCACATACTTAACCCAAATACTAAACGTTTTAAAGTTTCTTATTTTAAATCCGTGTTTATCTAATCGTATTTTTTATAGAAAATCCTTGAAATAATCGCTAGCTAAAATTAAGGAAACTACGCATAGTAAATGCAAACATTGTTTACATTTTAAATGACACATCTTTGAAAACAAAGCGTAAAACCTTTTTGCGTATATTTTAACTTCAGCTAACAAATTTAAATGTTATATAATTCCGATGCCTATTACGAGATTGAGAAAATAGTGAAATCTGTTAATAACGTCGTCTCGCAATATTTATAATCCTTCCATTAGAAATATGAGTTGAAATTAAAACAATGAGATCATAAGCGATCAAGTATTGAACGGCGGAGTTTCGCTCACACTGTTAGCAAGGACGGCACTATTTCTGAACGTGTTAGGAAATGCGCGGGAATATTACGATTAAAGATTATGAAAAATAAAGAAACAAAAACTATATATATACATGTCTATTCTTTTATGTAGATAAAAAAATGAATTTCACATCGGAAGTTATAAACTGGGCCACGGTCGAAAAATAGTTATGTAGGCACTTGCATGTTTAGTTCATCTTGATTTTTTTTTACACAAATCATTTAAAAATTTAAAAAAAAACAAGCTGTTATTATTAATATAATCGTAAATGCCATTTTTATGGCTATAGAAAAAAGACTAATGAATAATTTATTGTTTATTAGACCTTATGCAACAAATTGATTCTAAATAGAATAAAAAAAAATTCATTCAACACGTGTGTTTGTTAGATAAAATAAAAAATATTTTGTCACGTTTGAATAATATAAAATAATGTATTTCCGAACAAATTATCTACAATAACAAGGAAACGGTTTTAACTACGAGTTATCCTCTTTATCTCGGATTTCTTTTGTTATCTATAATGCACTATTACGATATCTAGGAATTGTAGGTGTAGGTTGAATATAAACATTGCTAAAATATACTCACTCTGTTATCCTTAGATTGGCAATGGAATCATTTATATAGAATTGTCCAAATAATAAATTTTTCGATCCGATTTTCACTTGCACATTACAGTCGTTTTAGTTAAAAAAAAATAACCGAAACTGGTCAATTCATAAACAAAGAAAAAATCAAAATATCGCACTCGTTGTTTTAGTCCTAAATAGATTTTCGGTTTACAAGCACTCTTGAATATTAATAATTATGAATATATCCACTGTATATCAGCTGTTTACATGTTTTGCAGATTCGTTTCTAAGGTTGCCATACGCTCCTTTAAACGCTCTGAAACCAAATGACAAGGGAATGTTTACAATTCACATCAATACATTGCACAGACGCAATATTCCAGTTTTACGCACACACAAACAGCTGTAGTGTGCATAGCCAAGTATCGACTGGTGGTAGGGATCGAGGTCAATGACGTTATATGAGTCTTGCTAGAAAGAAAACCCATTTTTCTAGTAAGAAAATTTAAATAGAATTTATTTTATTAGTTTGGAAATATTTGAGATTAGTAGAGAGTTTAAAATATAAATGTTGATTGAAGTTTAAAAGTTTATAATGATTTAAAGTTACAACAAATTTTCTTCATAAATCTTAGTTTATTAAATTGACTGCTTACCATGTAATCGTTTGTTATTATCTAAAAAGTATAGGGACAATAAATTTAACATGTTACATTATAGTATTACTTAAATGTAAATTATTTTTACATTTTAATTTTCCATTTAATTATTGAAATCGTGGATGGCACGTTGTCAAAATAATGGCGTCTTTTATTTTTAACCAGTATTTTTAGTACTAAATGTTATCGATATTTCTAAAATATAAACTCACATATATTATTCAGTAATTTTATATTTGGTTCGACTATATTTATACAATTTTTCATACTTATTATTTGTACTACTAATTTTGAAATTATATTATTAATCTGTGTTTATATCAGTTGTTCTTTTTTATCTGTGAATTTTGTAAACCTATCATGTATCAATTTGACATTTGACATTGACAACATAAATGTTTTAAAACAATAACATCCTGAAAAAACTAATAATAATAACGGATATATTTATGTTTGTATCATTAAGTATATGAAATGTGCATTCATTTATGTAGAAATGATATTGTAAAGGATGCAACTTGATGATATAAGACAGTGTATGGATATATTCAATTACGTAAACAATCGTTGCTAAGTCCTGATAAGTGATGACTGTGCTATATCGTTTTCTGGATTATTATTATAAGAATTCGTCTGATAAGAAAAAATTAGTCAAGTAATGGTCTTGTAAATAATTCGACATAAGAATAAGCAACAAGTTTTCAAGTAAGTAACTTTAATTAATTGTATTGATAGAAAATAAATTCATAGATATTTTTGGGAGTTTTGTTTAATTATACGAATGATATATAATTTATTACGTATAGTTTCTGCATATTTATATACATATTAATTATATTATTAATTGGAGATACTGTATAAACTAAGAGATCCTTAGTAAATCTTATCAAGTGTATGTCAGTCTCAAATAAAATTCAATCACTTATTGGTTATATAAAGTCATTTGATTTTTTTAATAATTTTCATATTCATGGAGTGAGTTTTTTTAATGTAACTTTACATATATATATATTAACACACTCAAGTTTTTTGTAATAAGAAATAGTATAGGGAGTTAAATGAACCTGTATTTTTCTTATTGGTTTTTTCATATTTGGTAGCTTTATCTTTTATCATATAAATATAAAGTATGTACTTTGGTCATAACTACATAATGATGATTACATTATTTTTATATGAAGTACTTAAAATTGCTCAATTACAATTAATAATTTCATAATACATATTATATTGGCTATATAGAAAACTATCTACATAAAAACAGCAATACATACTGAATAGTCAAATATTCTAAACAAATAAGAGAATATAATCTATATGTATTGAAAATATTATTATATAATAATCAATATATACTATTATGATTCATTAGCACGCCTCATCCGTTTAACGCTTCAATAGTTACAAGCAAGTCATTATTTGTTAACGATAAGCATAAATAAGGTAGTCATGAACAAACAATGGTATATTCTATTGTAATATTGTACTGTGTTGTGAAATATCAATAAATGTTATCTTTCAGAATAAAACTGAAGATTATTCAGTATGTTGAAGGTTGCAGTGACTTCTAATATCGGTAGGAGGTGGATGTCGACTGGAATGAAGAGCTCAGGACTGTTTTTCAGACAGGTTTAATTTTATATTAATTTTGATGATAATATTTGTGATTTTGTATATAAATGTGTATATTATAGTTGCTTGATGTTGTTAAATGTAGGTAGATTGCTTTATTATATTAGGTTCCGTCATGCGGTTTTGCTATCTGCACAATTGGAATATAATGATGGATATGTCTGAGAAGCAATATTAAATTCCAGAGGATAAATGTGTATTAGCATCCAGACCAGACATATTTTTTATATTAGTGTATTCTAAAGAACGCTATGATAATAGAGCTTACTGTTTCTTAGGAAACTAACACTAAAGAACTAACTCGTAATAGGTTCGTCGTTGATTTGTACGCGATACAAGTAGTAGCGAGAGGTATAACAGCTAAATCTCTTTACAACCTACTAAAAGACTTGGGCCTGTCCAGAACTAATTTATTCTTAGAATGTACTTTGAAGGCAGCCCTAATAGGTTCGTTTCAAATTTGTTAGAGAGAGGAGCTTGGACAGTGGAGGTGAGCGTTTAATGCGCGTTAGATAAGGGTCCCTTAAACCTACACCTGGGTCACAAGTCCCAGTCACTGTCGAAGCTCCTCTCCCTGCAACGATGGACCCGGCACCCGTACGATGAATTCATTGAATGATAAGAAGTTTCGTCTCATTTTTTTAAAGTTTAAAGAACTGCTTAGATAATTACTTTAGTTAAATTTGATATTTAAAGTATGCCATGCAACATTAACATAAGCAGGATTCAAACTTAACCTCAATGGAATAGTCATTACCAATTGCTAACTGCATATTATTTTTTAATTAAAAAAAAGATTTTAGAAATTTGGTCAAAAATTAAGTGCTTATTTTTTTTTACATAATTCGAATGAGAATCATGTACCGAGTATTCTCCTTAAATATTGATAGTAATTCACCAGTCACCCTGTATTCATATATGTTGGGCAATATAGTGTTGAATAATAAAATCAAAGGATACATTGTAATGTATTTTTTAAATGTATTTTTTAAGCATTTTAAATGAAACAGTATGTTTAAATTTCTTCAGGTTAAATTAATAATATAGCTATTTAGCAAAAGTCATGATTTACTTATTATTGTTGTCTAGATTTATTATAATGTAATGAGTTGTATGTTCAAGGTATTTGGTAATTTAAGACCTTTTGTTTGTGTTACATTATAACACATATGTGTGAAGTTCAAACCATATTATGTAATATATATACTATCTTCTATCTAACATCTATAGAAAGACTTGTATGTTCTTATAAGATATAATATTTTGAGAAAATAAATATAAAACAAACTAACCTATTTATTTCTCAAAAATTAACAAATATATGTATTATTTGTATATATAAACTATATAATTTTATTTTAAGTAGCATTGAACTTTTGAATGTTATTTACTATGTATTATTTACAATTACATAACATGCACACACACACACATACAGAGATGAAACCTCTGAGCCCTTAATGTATTCACTGTGCGGGTACCGGGTCCATCATGCAGGGAGAGGAGCTTCAACAGTGCCTGGGACTTGCGACCCAGGTGTAGGTTTAAGGGTCCCTTAACAAACGCGCGTTATACGCTCACCTCCATTGTCCAAGCTCCTCTCCCTACCTAACCAAATTTGTAAAAAACCTACTAGGGCTGCATTTGAATGAATGTATTAATGTGAGTTCTGTACAGGCCCAAGTCTTTTAGTAGGTTGTAGAGACATTTAGCTGTTACACCTCTCGCTCCCACTTCTACCGCGTACAAATCCACGACGAACCTATTTAGAGTGAGTTCGTCAGTGAGCTCGTAATATTTATTGACCTTGATGGTATGGTCTTTGGGGATGTTGGTATTTCTATGATTGTATGTGTGTAATTATTTATGATTCAACTAATAATTCTTTCTGTATTTTAATTTATATTTTTAACCCTGAGGTTATATGAACGAGACCGCTTATGGGTAATGGGTAGCCTGTTCTTTAGTTTTTTTCTTTATTTTTTTCTATGAGTAATATATATTATACTAGAAGACCCGGAAAACTTAGTATCACCCTATAATCAAGAAATATCTGTTACCTTTTTTTATTTATATTTTTGGAGTTTACCTTTTATAGCCATAAATCTCCGTGTTTTGAAGTGCGACAGAATGATTGACATATTAGTTAGTTGTCAAATCTAATGTCAAAAAAAAAGTTTGTATCAACAACTACTAATAAATTAAAAATTAATTGAAAAAACATTGTCCAGCGAATAAAATTGTGAATCTTAACCATTCCCAGATCCCCTTTAACACACACAAAAAATTTCATCAAAATCGATCCAGTCGTTTGAGAGAAGTTCAGTGACATACACACTCACAGAAGAATTATATATATAAAGATATGTATTTCTTATTACAGCTGTTCGACACAGTAAGCAGCACGTATACATATCTCCTGGGTGATATGAACACCGGCGAAGCTGTTCTCATAGACCCGGTGCTTGAACATGCTGAAAGAGATGCTGGCTTGATCAAAGAGCTTGGTTTCAAGCTGTTATATGCGAGTGAGTTTAATTGTATATAAAATCATAACAATTTTTTAATGAAATATCGGTTTTACTTTTTTTTTTTGTTTTTAATATCAGCCAAAGATTAAAACGTTACTTTTAAGCTTAAATCAGAAAAGTGTACATAAGTTTATATAATCGTGGATACTTTCAAGTTGCAACAAACGTTTCATCTTTTTCTATAGTGTTACAAGTGGCGCCATCTGTGATGTGCTAATTATAATATACTGTAATCTTTGGAATTATTTTTATGACTAATTATAATACTGAACTAATATAAGTTTGTAATGGCAACATTTAAATATCAACTTGTATTTGATAACTATAAATACTGGCTTCAGTAATTTTGTAAGACGTTACTGGAAGTAACGCTAATAATTAAACATCAATTCTGATACTGTGCCTCAAACAATAGCTTCTATTTATAATTCTGCCTTGTGAATCGTGTGTCTATGGCCATCCAAAAAGTTATTTCTTCATCTTTTATAATACGATTTTCTTAATCTGATAGTCTGATAGTAGTGTTTTTTTATTTATTTATTATTATTTATTTATATAATACATTACAAATTTCTTTTACAGTGTTACAAAATCTTTGTCGGGATTATCCGTACACCGGCATTCATTGAGTACACTCTAAACTTTTAGTACATAAATATACTACCTATAACACTATAAAATACATAAGATTTTGAGTAACTGATGTTTGTTTAATTATAACTCGTATGTGAGGGTATAAGTTAAAAGATTTTTAAATTATGTTAATAATACAATAGGTACTTACGATGCACTACTCGGCCGGTCGGTCATTAAAGCCATATTTGCGATAATGCATTTGAAAGAAATAACTTGTAGATAGTGCAAATACAGGTGATCCGTTTCCCTTTATGAGATATTATTTAATTTTATTTAATTAGTTATATTAGGTATTATTCTTAATATTTAAAAAATATTTTTTATTATTACTTATACTTATTTCTCGTTTAAAATCATTAGTAAGATTGTTCAAAAATGTTGGAACAAGATATTCTAGTATCTCGCTTAAATGTGATCAATACATGTCTTACTAATTTGTTTACTACACTCTTCTACACGGGTGTATTCCGTGATCCCACACACAAGCCCGTGATTATACATAACAGTGCTATATTTATGCTTTATAGGACAGTTATATTTTAAGACTAACTTTATATCTCCTAATACATATATATCCTGAGTCTGTTCTATTTTACTAAGAAATATGTGTAGTTCATTTACAAAAAAGTGCTTTCTATTACTAGGTGGTCTATACATAGCACACAAAGTTGCCTTATAACCCCATGAAGTGTTAATTTGACCAAAAATAAGCTCGAAATGTTGTGGTTTGTAATTTTTAGTGGTAAATTTTTTAATTTTTCGTACGTACATTATAATGCCTCCACCTATACTATGCGTCCCGTAAGCAACTGTGTGTGCATATTATATCCCTGCAGGTTGTACAAATAGCTTAGCGATACTGATATATTAGCTTCAGTGATTATATTATATTGTGAGGGTAGGTGGCTTATCTTTTATCCATCTTGCTTATCTTTTGCCCAGCAACCATTAAGTTTTAACTTCTTCATAATGACCTCTATTGGGGTCCTATATCTTGAATTTAAGCAAAAGTCTTCATTAACAAAAGCTATAGGTATATAATTAACGACTTCTTAATATATCATCTTATTTACCATATAAATAAAACAACGATTTTTAAATACAGACACACACACACACACACACATATACAACGTGTAACATAATTAACGCACACCCTGAAAGTAGTTTGATCAGAATCGGATACTGGATCGATTTTGATAGTTTTTTATGTAGGTCATTTTTTTTCTCAAATTTAGATAGAACTAAGTAATTATAGTCACCCTACACACAGTTATCTAAACACTTCATAGAAACGAAAATTAATGGAAACGAAAATGGATCGTAAGTCAGGGTATTAAGATTTTTAAAATGAAATATTTAATTAGTAATCATCATTCAATTAAAGAAAACTGATACTTATTTCAAGGCTAAAATAGTATTTAATAATAACTACGCACGCAACACCATAGCGACAACCGGCACACAGCAAGGTCACTACAGTGCATAAAAGAAAGCCGCGTAATACAAAAATTATTACTTTCTCCTTCTTTCTTCGGCTTAATAACATTACAATAGAGCGAGACGGCAGGCATAATTCCGGGAATCAGAGTAATAATAACTAAACATCGAAGTCAACAAAATGTGTTTTGGGTTAGTTACGCCGCGTCCACCTTATCGAAAAGAGGTCAAGTGTAAAGTGCAAATAAAATCTTAGTCGCGCATTTCGCTGTGTCGTTTCGGTACACTAACATTCAATACATCAAGTACCTACGCACGTGTCCATTGACCTCCTAGATCAGCTGATTTGACGCGACTCGACTTTTTTTTGTGGGGGCGAATTAAATCGCTAGTTTATAACACAGAGATAACAAGTGCCGAGGAACTAAAAAATAAGATAATAACCGCTTTTGTAAAAGTGAAAAGTGACATTGCAGTATTATCTAAAACAAAAACCACAATTGCAAAAACGGTCATTAAAGTGCATTGAACAAGGCGGTGGACATTTTGAAAATGTTTTAAAACGACAACGCTGTGCGAGTGCAAATTAAACTGTAAGTTTGTTTATGATCTTTAAATTATTGTAAATATTTTGATATACACCATTTAAACAGGCCGACTGTGTTTAACTTTGTCGTAGGTATTGTGGTGTCTAATCAAATCACGCGTTATCAGCTGTTTAATAATTCTTATTTACAAATTTAATTTAACAAATCAGTAATTATAAAATATTGGCTTCACATTAAAAAGAAAATTTAATGTCAACAATCTAAAGCTTGAAAAGTGTGATGGAAAGAAAAATCATAATGTATGTAGTTATTTCGTGTACTTATTATTACCTACTGCTTATTATTGTCGGACGGCACTCGGAGAGAGGGGCGCGGGCGGGGCGAGTACATTGTGTCTGACCATATTATTTGCACGAAATTGGGATAACTAATATCACAAATAAAAAATGCAAACGCACATATAAATAATATTTGGTGTATGCATTGCGTTTATATCATTATATTCGCATTGGGGTATTTGAGGGTGTGCGTTAATTACGTTACACGTTGTATATATACAGAGTGACTGGTGAATTACTATCGATATTTCAGGACGTGATATTTGAGGATCATATATGACAAAATAAAAATTAATATAACATAAATATTAATAAACTTCTAAGTAAAGTTAACCAAAAGTTGTGTAATTAATTACGCATCGTATGAACACCCTACAGATTAGGTATACACTGACACTCACACATACGCGTGTCGTGACGTGGTGTTGTATCAGCACGCCGCCGCACGCGTCCACACTTGAACACTTGGAACGTGTCAACACTTTACTTATTTATACGGAAATTTGGTCAAAAATTAAGTGCCTATTTTTTTTACATAATCCGATTGAGAATCATGTACCGAGTATTCTCCTTAAATATTGATAGTAATTCACCAGTCACCCTGTATATACTAGAAGACCCGGCGAACTTCGTATCGCCCTATAATCAAGAAATATTCGTAACGTTTTTTTATTTATATTTTTGGAGTTTACCTATTAAAGCCATAAATCTCCGTGTCTTGAAGTGCGACGAAATGATTGACATATTAATTAGTTGTCATATCGAATGTCAAAAAAAACGTTTGTATCAACAACTACTAATAAATTAAAAATTAATTAAAAAAACATTGTCCAGCGGACAAAATTTGTGAATCTAAACCATTCCCAGATCCCCTTGAACACACACAAAAAATTTCATCAAAATCGCTCCAGTCGTTTAAGAGAAGTTCAGTGACATACACACTCACAGAAGAATTATATATATAAAGATTGGAATAAAATTACTTTCCAGTGAACACTCATATGCATGCGGACCACGTGACTGGTACGGGAAGATTAAAATCCTTAATTCCTGGTTCGAAGAGCGTTATAGGGAAGGCTTCGGGCGCCCAGGCTGATATACACCTGGCTGACCGGCAGAAGGTCCAGTTCGGAGGTCAAGAAATACTGGCTGTGTCCACCCCAGGACATACAAATGGATGTATGACATATATATGTCATCAGCAGGTAATACATATTTGTCATCAGCCTATCAGAGCCCACTGCTGAGCAAGGCCTCCTCTCACATGGAGAAGGTTTGAGCATTAATCACCACGCTTGCTAAGACGGGTTGGTGATTTCAAACTTATAATTGTGAAACTGTAAGTCCAGGTTTCCTCACGATGTTTACCTTCACCGTATGTCAGTGGTGTCTTATACTCTCAGAAGGTACATATGACTCGGAAAAATCACATTGGTACTTGCTAGGTTTGAACCCGCGCCCTCGGCAACGAGAGGCGGACCCTTTAACCACTAGGCCACCACTGACACTAGTAATAGATATTGGGAATGATGAAATGTTCTTTGTTAAAGCACCTTTATAAGTGCGAGATATATAACTTGTCGTATAGAATCAGTATTCTTGTAATTTGAAACGAATAACATTTTAAAAGAGCAAAATTAATTCGGTAAGAAATAAACATATCAATCTTTTTTAAAAATTTGTGGCAAATGAAATAACTGAATCAATAAAGAAGGAACAAAAAAATAGGGTTAACACAAAGAATTTAGTGAAAATTATTTATTTAACTTAATTTTTATTCGTATGATTGAATCGAGCTTTAAAGACAAATATCTTGACCAAAAATATATATATTTTTAGCAAGATGTCTCAACTCTTAAGAAGCTTAACCACTCAGTTATATCTTACTAATATTATAATTGCGAAAGTTTGTGAGTGTGTGTATGTTTGTTACTTCTTCAAGCTCAAACGGCTGAACCGCTTTTAATAAAATTTTGTATACAGGAAGCTGACGCCCAGAAATAACATATAGGCCACTTTACATCCCGGAAATCCGCGGATAACACCGCGGGGCGCAGCTAGTACCACTATAATGTTTAAACGATTTTAAAGTCTCTATTTACCAAATATTAATTCCCCAGGGCATAGCATTCACGGGCGACACTCTGCTCATAAGAGGCTGTGGTAGAACGGATTTCCAGGAAGGTTCACCTGAAAAATTATATAAATCAGTTCACGAAAAAATATTCACACTTCCCGGCCATTACACGCTCTACCCCGCACACGACTATAAGGGACAAACAGCGACATCTGTTGACGAAGAAAAGAAATATAACCCGAGATTAACGAAAACACTGCCGGAGTTCATTGACATCATGAATAATTTGAACCTACCCTACCCTAAGATGATTGGTGAGTTGTAATTTTAATTTGTGAAGTAAAACGAGGTTTATTAGGTTTGTTTACAATGCATGTGGCGTCGATTATCAGGATATTAGTAAAAATGTTTTCGTAGCTATAATGACATGATCGGTGTATAAAAATATATATAAGGCTCATATAATTAAAGCACTATTGTACTATATATACCTACAAGTGACATTTTGACTATTTCAAAAATCATAGAAGAACTATCAGGACATAAAATTGTAGTTATTTCATTTCTCGGAAGAATTTTCAATCTAGAATTGATTATTAGTTTCGCTATCGTCCGCCCGCGGCGCCACTGTTCCATTACTTATGAATTTTGTGTTCTTACCAATGAATAGTTTTTCTCTGAATATATATTTTTACTACAACATTTAACTATGTATATCTGATTCATGCAAGCTCAGTATAGTTTAAAAGCACACATTTTTATTTATATGTTTCAATATAAGCAGGTTTTTATTTACTTCTATGTTTTTTAATATAATAATATTTGATTTTATTTTTTCAGATAAAGCAGTTCCTGCGAATAGAGTGTGCGGATTATATTAGTTGAAATAATTTATATGTATTAAAGAACTTATATTGTTACCCAGTTACTAATATTCACTCTCTATAAGCAATATATATTATGTATATGTATCTAAAATTTTCATGTATAAAAATACGTTATTTCTAAACAATATTTATCTGTTATAAAAATGTCTGTATAGTATTAATAAATAGTGAGTTAATTTTTTTATATGATGAAAACAAATTAAGTATTTTTAAGAATAAAGTATATAACTTGAATTAATTGTTTCTAAGTTTATAGAAATGTCAAATATGTTTATTGTATATATTTTTATAGAATTATGTGATGAATATTATTGTTTTAATAAATATTTATTTTTAAAGGTTGTTTTATTGTGTTTCTTTTATATACATATATACAGAATCTTAATATATTTCATTTATCTTATTGTGGGTTAAGAATACTGTAATTTCAGTAGAAAAAAGAAAAAATTGTCTGGCTTAGCTTGTTGGCTTTGTCAAATATGTTCTTTTTGTTCAGTATTACTTAACAGACAATGACTTACTCAACAAGCGACCAAACCAAGTAGTTCAGAGTTTTGCCGCTAGATGACGCTATACTTAGTTATAATGAAATGTTCAATATAGAAATGTTTGTTATAATTAGATATAGTAAATAGTATATTTTATGCTTCTATAGAAATACAATTGCTATTGCTTCTATAGAAATATAATTTATAAAACGTGAAATATTTGTAATTTTTTTAACGAATTAATATATGTATATAAATCTTAATTAGAGTTCCATCTTCCATAAACTAGTTAGAAATCATTTTCGTTCTGACTAAAAAAACAAATAATCATTTAATACAATATACCTACAATGAATATTTTACAAACGAATCCAAAAGTGCTGGAACTCTGCGAAAGAATAGAATTGTGAATTTTGGCAAACAAAAGTTACCTATTGTGTATGTAATAGTTTTGCAAGCTTTTGTTCATCTCCTTCTGTTATAGGTCATAGTTTGCTTTTAGGAAATAAAATAGTAATAAATAATTTCATATTTAAATATTTTGAAACGACGTTCTGATAAAAAAAATATAAGTTACACATTACGTCAATATAATTCAAAATGGCGGAATCTTCCAATTAAGGAACCAATAATTTTATGCGCACCCACTCAATGTTACATTATCGAAACAAAACTAAGGTATAAAAAGTCACCCAAACATTTATTTGTTAAAAAAATTAAATAAACAAGGAATATTACCTTAAATTGATTCGTCAAACCTTTATATCCATATATTTAGAACTGAAAATCCAATCAAAAGGATCTGAAGTTGAAAATATAGCTTTATTTTTGTCGAGGTCAAACGAAATCGACAAACAAACATATCACAATAAATCAGTCTAGTTCAACAGTGCTGTTAAATTGAACCTATAACGGCGCTGGAAATAAGTTAGAATGTTTATAAAAGATCAAACTTTATTACGTGGGTCGTGCTCTCTTGTCTACTTTAAAGATTTTCTTTTTAGTGTTCGTCTATAGAATATTACAATCTAAAATATACATTAGTTTTCCTTGAAAATAATTGTAGGCATCCATTATTAACAATTACAGTACCAAACGAGTCTCTTTTGCAGCATATTTGCAAGTTTTTAAGGTCAGCTACAGAGTTTTTGTAACTTTTGACATTTCGCCAAGAGTCAAGTCCTGGGGGAACTATGTCTCAGGGCCACGGCATTAACACCGCTGGAACAAAGACGGAATTATTAATGTACGCCTTGAGCGTTCGTTAGTCTTGTACTCAACTTAACTTTACACTAACTTGTCATTGTAAATCCATTCGGAACATGTTTTTTTATTAAATTTTAATTATTTTACGTTAACTCAAGTTTGTAATCGATCTGTAAAGTTTTAATTAATTGCTCGAAGATATTAGAAAGGTAAACGCTTAAAGGGAAATGATTTATGTTTTCCGGAACTAACTTATAAATTAAAAAGCTTCTTCATAAGAATTAGATACTGAAAAATCATTGTATGTTAGAAGTCGAACTAGTAGAATGCTTAAATTAATTAAGTTGAAATTATTAAATATTCTATTTTGCTATAAAATTTACGAGTTCCTCCAACATGTATAATAGATTTTTTTGTATATGGATCACAAACATAGGACTTACATTATGTGAAGGAATGTTTTACTAGAAAATTCTTATAATAAAAATAGGTTTTATATTTAATAATAAAATCTTTAATTAATATTTTTTGTGACTCAAATATAAAGAGCAAGGTTTACTCTCCAATTTATGCTGTCTAATTTAAATTGTCTTACTTTAAACTCGTTTCCTTAGATACTAAAATCGCTTAATTTTGCTCAAGGAAATTGTAAGGACAATTCTCTGGAGCAAAATCTCATTACAGTAAAGTATATGAAGGTTATTAAAGTAGAAAATAATAAATTACATGGCATAGTATATAAAGAGTTTTAAGACACGAAGGTTGAAAATTGTATTAGAAAATTGAAAGAAAAATTGTTTAAATATAAAGTAACTAGCTTTCCGCCCGCAGCTTCGCCCGCGTGGAGTTCGGTTATATCGCGTTTTCAAGAATACCTTTCAAATTTCATTAAAATCAGTTAGTTCAGTGGTTTAGGCGTGAAAGCGTAACAGACAGACAGACAGACAGAGTTACTTTCGCATTTATAATATTAGTAGGGATACTCATGTAAAGCGAATGGCTTGTATTGAAAGTTCTAGATAGATCTATTAGTTAATTGAATAAAGTTGAATATAAAACTTTGTCTGGATGTAGACTTTGTATCCGGGAGTAGAGTAATCTTCTTTCTTTCAATTTGCAATTCGTTTTAATAAGAACTTACCGGTACAGAATTGACTATACATTTTTTATGTACTAAAGTTATCCTTGCAATACATATATTTCATTTACATACAATATACGTAAAAGTATTAATTTGCGTTAATACTTCCTTATATATAAACTTAACTGGTTTTCGTAATAAATATATGGATCCGTTAATGAGTAAAAAGAAAATAATAATATCATAATTATCTAATATATTACCTTAATTCCTAATTCCATTACTTTGCAGATGTCAATGGGCGACGCTATCTTCATTAGGCCGTCTGCTCGTTTGTTCTTTTTAGGATATCAAAAAATATTAATAATTCAAATTACTTGAACCCATCTTAATATAAATTCAACCAAATCATTAATTTTACGGCGTTACCTTACTTTTGATTTAATTCCTTTTCGCTTATTTTTTGTGATTATTCTGACTTTCGGAGAACTACAGAAAATATTATAACCATAATATTCAAAATGTAACATATATATAATTGTAAATATCTTATTCGTTCATCAGTTTAATTAATATATAATTTGATACAGCAGCCGTTCTCTATTAATTATTGGAGTAAACAAATTTTATTATGCATACATAGAAGACGAGAGAGTTACAAATAAAAAAAGAACTGTCTAGTAATCCGTATATCAATAAATAAAATATATAATAGCTATTTATTTAGTGAAAGAAAACATCGTGAGGAAACCTGGACTTATAGTTTCACAATTATAAGTTTGAAATCACCAACCCGTGTTAGCAAGCGTGGTGATTAATGCTCAAACCTTCTCCATGTGAGAAGAGGCCTTTGCTCAGCAGTGGGCTCTGATAGGCTGATGATGATGATACATCATTCTAGATCTTTACTCTCCTATTGTTTGAGTCTTTATCAGACTGTCAAAGAAATAAGTTATGTATGTCCCTCAGTAGAATTTATGTTTTCGTTATACATAGTAAAGTTCAATTAATTCATTAACAGTCTCTCTAAGACTTATCTTAATATATTTTTCAGTACGGAACCCCTCGGATGCTAAATCATAGAATAAACATCATAGAGTTTTATAAAAATATAGATTATAAAGCGTGTTTTTTTAATTTTCAAATGTGTTTATTTTATATTTAATACATATACTTATATTGTAATACATACAATACATATATATAAACAATACATATTAATAATAAAACATTTATTTTCATATTACTCTTCTGTTGATTGTGCATTCTTTTTCAGTAAGTACTTCTTTTTTTTATAATCGTTATTTCACTGGTACCGTTGCTGTTATATTTTGTTATTTATGTGAATTTTTAAAGTAAATTTTACTCATAGAAATTAATTTCTCAATAATATTATATTCAATACATAATAATAGATACAAGGGCCCTACAATTCAATATCTTTCCACGTACCTACGTTGATAAATGTAGGTCAAGTGAGCGAAAATTGAGAGAGCCAATTAGGTTATATGTTCGTTATAAAGCTATTTACTTATATATTTTCTAATTATTCCATATATTGGGGTAAAAACTATTAATTTTATTTCATTATACATACATTTATTATGTATTATACAGGGTGACTGGTGAATTACTATCAATATTTAAGGAGCATACTCGGTACATGATTCTCATTCGAATTATGTAAAGAAAATAGGTACTTAATTTTTGACCAAATTTCCGTATAAATAAATAAAGTGTGTACACGTTCCAAGTGTTCTAAGTGTGGACGCGTGCGGCGGCGTGCTGATACAACACTACGCCGCCGCCGCGTCTGTGTGAGTGTCAGTGTGTACCTAATCTGTAGGGTGTTCATACGAAGCGTAATTAATTACATAACTTTTGGTTAACTTTACTTAGAAGTTTATTAATATTTATGTTATATTAATTTTTATTTTGTCATACATGATCGTCAAATATCACGTCCTCAAATATCGATAGTAATTAACCAGTCACCCTGTATATTACATAACAGAGCAAATAGTAAATTAGTAATTTTTTATTTAGATCATTGTCGTTTTGAAACATACGATCGTTCTGAAACTTTGCATATATATTGTAACAGCAAGAAGCGTGTTATAAGGAATAGACGAGGAATGAGAATAAGAGTTCCCGCAGGATATACTAAGCATATACTTTGAAGGTAGCGTAGAACATTCTAGAAAAACTAAAACATACAC